TTGCGAACATCACGTGTGCCGGCAGATTGCAATGCCTCCCGGATCGAATTACAATATAATAATGGATAGATCCATTTACACAAATCACACATCTTATAGCTTAATTTTTGTCAACTTTATATAACTTACCGCAAGTTTTTTAGATATATTTTTAAATATACTATTAATTATTGCATACTTTTCACAACACCCACTATTTTAACAAAATCTATATATCTGTACTCTAGAACTGGAAACTATTTCCACCACAATAATAACTAACAACGAACGAAAGATTTAAAAAAAAAACCTAATTAAATCTGTAGACGAAGCCGAAATCAAATCAAAACCAAACGTAACGTAATTTAATAAAAACATTGTCTTATAATATAAAAACTATAAGCTAGACACAGTGTAGGTGTGGGCACTCTTGGGTATAAATAATGGTTAACTTTGCAATTGGAAAGCACACATTGAAAAACTATGTCTAAGAAAGCTGTTAACCAACATACCAACATAACTGAAATCATTCATCTATACGTAGATATGATATTATATTATAATATTTGGGGAAATTCAGTCGAAATAATACACTATTTACATACTAAAGGCTCAAAATTAATTAAAGCAATTAGTGGTGGAGCAGACTATCTTGATGCTTGTGTACCTTTATTTAAGAAGATCAAAATTTCATCTCTTTCATGTATTTGCTCACAAAAACATAAATATCAGTGGGAAAAATTGGTTATGCCAAAATTTTATCTGGAATTATTTTTAAAAATCACTATAATCCTTTAAAGATATATAATATTTATTAAAACATTGAAAGATCTTAGAAATCAATGTATTATTGTACTTACACCACATCCTTACAAATAAAGGATTATTATTATGAATGTTCGTAAACTTCGTGTTCAGGACACTTAGTAATTGAATTCCGCGAGAGCTCTAACTCGCACCGTAGCGGCCTGTCAAATTGAATTCGTCGAAACGTTTATAATTTGGCAACTTTTAATTGTGTTTGTTACGTTAATTATGTCATCGCTACGTACAAGTGTCGGTATAAGGCTGGCGTGGCCCCGGGGCGGCGGCGGCCCGGCAGACGGCGATGCGCGAGGGTGGACACAATGTAAACTTTCTGATACTTATCGACGGCAACATCTTGTGGACAATAATGTGGTACTTCGAACTTGTTTTCACAAAACACTACTTTGTTGTTTCAGCATTGAATAGACTGAGAGATGTACATAAATAACAAATGGATATATGTTAGAGATTAAGTAACCGATTAGGTAGTGTTGCGTAGGCCGATTGCAATCGTTCCGGATTTTGCTAAGTGCCAATTCGTGGTTACTAATTTCTTCGCAAACCCGATTAATCAATAGAATTATTCAATATTTCTCAAAAGCGATTTGAGACGTAATTAGTTCGCTGACATTTTCTTTTGATTGAATGGTGCTACCTTATAAATTTGGCGAGTGCAGGCGAACCAATACACCCCCCCCCCCCCTCTTGAGAGACGCGGTGTACGGAGGGCTGAGGACTGAAGGACTAATAATTCTGATAAATTACCTTCTATCCCGCTCAGAATTAGTAACAGGCGGATTTAATGGCGCACTTAGCGGACCTTTCCTTGTTAAACCGAACGAATGATGAATGGCACAGATGTATGGGCTCGCTAATGAAATTGTAAAAATACGTGTTTCCTCAGTTACAACCTGACCACAGTGTACGGAATTGTCAGTTGGAATTAACGTTAACGAGTCTCCTTTAAAGTCTCTCGTGGAGATGCTAAGTCATTGTTAACTTAGAAATTAGTAGTGGACCGAGTGAATTACATATTATAATCAAGACCAAATTTAATAATAATAGGTAATAGTTAGATAAGACACATGACATTTTAAATACATATAAGAATATCTGCTAAACGAAATGTACAAAGGTACAAATATAGCATTGCCAATGTAGTTTCAAAGAAGGTTATAATTTTATAAATTATGTATATTATAAATAAGTGCTATTTGTGAATCCTGTCTGAATATCTAAGATTCCGCTTATGGAAGCATGACGGAGCGTTCATATTGTTGAACTGTGATTCGGATGGCGAAAACAAAAGCCTAACTCAATATGAAAACGAGTTGTGAGTTGGCAAGTTTCTCAGCGCCGCAGCCGTCAAAGTACAGTTAAGTTCAATACAAAAGCAGACAAAGTTATCAGCAATCTGCGCACGCACAAACGAGAAAATATTATCATCTATTGTTACACTTACGCTCACGCCGAAAAGTTGTGCCATGTAGGTGTTTGGCTTAATTTCATAGATTGGAAAAACATTTTTTCTTAAAAGCTTGTTCAAAGTCAATATTTTGTTCAAATTATATTTTTAGCCATAGAAAAGGGGAATTGCTATCTTTCTTAGCAAGATGGCCGCGTTCGTGTATACTTTACCCCACAGACAATTTGGGGGGTGCCCTTATCGCGACACAAGCTCCGTGACGCGTGCTTATTTACGCGACCTAATCCCCTATTTATTCCTTGAGATGTATCTAAAATTAGGGATCACGCGAAACGAAGTTAATTTGCTAGAGGGTAGAAACATTACTGAGAACAATGTTACGTCCTACAAACCCTGTGTTTCCAACTCGCTTTATATTCTAATATTTATATATGCTTTAAAAGACACTATACATTATTTTAACGTGATTCGCATAAAACATTTTGGCACCAATTCAACGTAAATCGAAAGAGAAACTGATTTACCCTTTTCGTTGTACGTAAGTACTTTTAAAGTATATACTTCATGTTCGGTCCAGATTTCGCTCTGCTAATATAAGTGTATAGAAGCAGGTATCCAGCCAATGTTCTCGTTGTAATTACTGCCCGCTAATGGATTTTTTATCTGCCATCTCGAAAGTGGGCTAGCCTTGTTATCAGTTATTGTAAGGCCGTCTTCCATGTAATTATAATTGTATCTTTTGTCCGTATTAGATCGGTAAGCTTATCTACTGAGAAATACGTGTTCGAAAGCGCCTTAGTTATTTATTGACCTATTGAAATATATTTATACACACTTATTTTCCTCCTATTACGACGAATACAAAACGCTATCACCGCTAACCAAAAAACCTGTATCCATATAAATGGGAGAATTTATTTCACAACCTCTCATACCCTACTTGTAGAGCATTCCGAACTAAACGTTCCGACAATATATTTTGATAGGCGAGTATTGGAAATAGTACCCCATTAGGGCGCTGCGGAGAAAATATTCGCGATCGGATCACGGCCGGATAAGCGTCGCTGTAACAAGAGGAAATGGCGTTTCTAAACAAAACACAATACCTATCACCTCTGCCATCGTATAACCGAACAGTTTATTTCCAAATCTCCAACTTTATGTATTCTAATTTTAATAAAAATAGGAAACAGAATGTTGTATTTAGAACTTTCTTGCAAATATATGGGTAGGTTCTAAAGATGAATGACAGGTGTGTCGTGTTCACAGAAGCACGTGGAGGTTCCCAGGGGCCATTGCGCACTTAGAGGGAAACGTATATAATGATTTCATTATTTCAGACATTAACGTAATGACGCGGCTTGAATTCTCATAGTAGATTTAATAGAAAGCTTTTTATTACGATACACTTTAAAAATAATTGCACGCTCGGAACTCATTCGTATTTCGTATTATATTTGTATCTCGTACAAGAAACATAAATCACACCGTGAATGAGCGAATGGACAGTGAAGAATAAGCTTATTTGTAGGGAACGTGTACTTGTAAAAAATGTTTTAGCGGAGGACTACATATTTAAATACTTTTATAGAACAGTGGTCCGTAACAGTGACGCGACGGAATTCCACCGCGAGTGGACTCCGAAAACTTTTAGTGGCTCGGTTTGTTTGTGGCGGCCCCCGCTCGTTACCGCTTCCAAAACACGCTGAAAGTAATTTGCGACGTCACTTCGTAGCTCTACAAGGTATTTACAAATGCAAAACAAAAAGCCGGCGATGACGACGCTAGTTTCAAACCGGTACAGTGAGAATTCACGCGGCCACAGACACGACCGTTGCCAACTCCTTGGAGCGTAAGTTCATTCTTCGTATCGCGCTAACATTTATCAAATTAACTTATACTTCGCTGTTTCATTTCATTGTTTTACACAGTTCTCTTAGTTCTCGCGTTATATTTACAGGAACATGAAACAGATCAGATCTTTTATGCTCTTTTGATTGAACTCGGGGCCGGTGATGATAAAAATAATAATACAAACCGATTTTATTTGAATAAAGTTTGACTTTAATTTAATCTATCTAAAATCGTCAAAATAAATGTACAGCCGTTATTTTGCTACAAGTGCCACATTTCTCAGTGTTTTGCAGAGTGTATCCACTCCACACACTTAGGTTATTGCGTCTTGTCAGAGTGTGAGGTCAACGAGCAGCCTCCACAAAGGTCCTAACTCCCAAGCATTAAAGCCTTTGTCAACATGCTACGTACACTTTGTGAGATAAAATTGTATTTTATCTTCACTTTCGACCGCAATTTCACATAGATATTTTGCGGCGTGTGAACTGAGATGTTTACAAAGATCGAAGTCCTTTTGTGATGGAAGTTTGCTTTCATTTTTAGCTTATTGTCGACAATTATGACAACTGTTTGGATGTAAACTATTTTAGTTCTGCCCCTGATGGTCCTCCCAATACAATGATAAAGGAGGCAAAACAAAGTCTGTCTAAGTCAAAAGTCTGCATCAAAAGCATGGTAACTTAATTTTTTTTTAAACCAAGAATTAGTTACCTGTCTATATTCTACAATTAAAATCCGTTTTATGCTATTTCAGTTTATTATATCGCAATGAAAAGCTCAATAAATTAAATGGTAAGCAGTACCATTACATGACATATTAAATCAAGGATGAACTCTCTCATAGAGGTGGACATTTGCAACTCAAACACGATTGCAATTTGCTGGATTGAAATTATCGGGTGCAGCGACTAATTTATGTCTCCTCTACCCCCAGATGGCGCGGGCGCGCTGCGCAACCAGGCTTCTTGAGATCATCACGTCGAATGTCTTATGTGTAAGTATTTGAATTTCTACTATTAATTAGCATCAAGAATCCGTGTTTAACTTTATATTTGTACCAAAAATAGTAATTAAAAACGTTATAAATACAAACCGTAAGCATTGGGCAATGAATCTGCCGCAAATATTGATAAGGCGAGAGCTTCACGAACAATTTGTCGCAGTTATCGTAATTAAATCCGCATACATCGAACCCGTCTATTTGCGCGACAAATCGCCGACGATTCACCAACGATTTCCCGACAATTCGCCGACAATTAACAGTTTCCGATTAAACGGCTCGCTGTTGTCGGCCGGCTGCGTGCCCCAGGTACAAAATCTGCATAATGCCCCACTCATTTGCCGAACGTTTGTCGCCAACAAATGAAGCGGGGAAATGCATTCCGCTCAGCGCCGGACTCTTCACACTAAAGCAAATACTCGCTTGACGGGAACCAAATATTTATTTAAATATCACTCACTACCGCCTACTTTGACAAGCGTACTTGGAGATACACTTCGATTGATTTATTTTATCGGACCCTTGTCATCTTCTCTTTCTCGAATTTGAAATTAAGTACTAACACGTTAAAAACGTATTTATAAATTCCACTAGAGGTGCGAGCCGACTCTGTACTCTGTCCAGGTGCCTATGAGCCCCCGTTCTTTGAATGGTCAATACCAACGGATATCAAAGTGAAATGGTCAGGAAAACGCAAATATTCGCAAAATGCCCACTGTAATAACCGGGACGACCGTGGCAGCTTTTATTTTTCGTATCAATGCTCTCGTGCCTCCGAAATTGGTTTTAGTTACAGCTCGGTTCGAAACCTGCTTTTCGAAATAGATTATTATTGTACCTCGCCCTTGTTCCATCTCTAAAACCATTTAGTTTTTCTTTACGCTGGCTAAAATGTGTTCACAATTTTTATTAGGTACATTATTTTAAAAAAAATATTTTTCCTTATGATTCCCTGTTGACTCATCGACTTGTCGGTATGTTAATAACGAATATCAAGAATTACAAGACGAAGAAGTCTCTGCCAAGGTGAAGGAAAGAGAGACAAGAAATTAATTAGACTACAGATGGTGCCTGTACTTTTGGTTATTAGAACCTTAAATGAAATATTATTTCTCTCTCACTTTTTAAAGCGACTGAACATTGAGTTTTAAACGTATTTTCGAAAATGCTCCACTTTATGATGCGAAATGGACATGGCGAAGTAGAAATGAAATGTCGTGTGCAAATTGTGATAAAGTGAAAATTGAAGCCTCGCACACGTCAAACAGCCACTTTTGGCAACCTGCACCACTTTTTAAAGTAAAAGATGTGAGCTAATTTCGTAGCATTTCCGCTCTGAATATTTTAAAAGATTAAACTCACTCCGTTATTAACCTGAGCGAGAAGGTTATGTAAGTTGTTGTTTCCATCCCGAATTATTTCGGCAAAGGGAAAACACTAACCGACATTTATTTACCCTTTACAAACAAAATCTTACATAATGGACAATTTTGAATTACATTATAAAATGTCTTTAATTAATCGGGTCTATGTCCTGTCGGCCTAATTTCCGGATCTCTTGTTATTCCGCATCCGACGCTCAGCTCTCGCATTTTTAATCACAAACCCAGCAAATTCATTCACTAATTTGAATAACGGTAACGTTATCCTTTGCTGAAGGAATGGGGATTGTGGCCGCCTCTTTATTGTTTCATTTATTTAAATGCAACCACTTCCGAAACTTTGGGATTGCACTTATATTAACTATATAAGTACGCTTAGATGTATATGACTTCTAAGGTCTTCCGCACGTTAGGGCGCAAATACTGTCAGACTCGTCCAACTGAAAATTTTGTCGGATAATAGATAGGGAGATGCTATAAAACAATACTAAGACATTCGCTTTGCTTTTATTTTTCTGTTTGTTACATATAATTATTATCAAAAATTTAAAGCGATTTCCTTTACTAAATGAAAACACAGTGAGAGGCACTTTTATACAAATAAAAAAAACGTTAAGCCATTGTACGCGAACATTTCCGAAACAAGTATTCGTTGAACGAACGTAATCCACGTCGAATAAATCAAAAGCTCTCGCTAAAATCTATACGTACATGTGAATTGTTAACAGAAAACTGATTTCGCAAAAACAACGGGACATTCATAAAACAAGAGCTCGCGTGGAAATGCACCAGTTTATTGGATTTGTCTGAAAACAGCGAGCTTCAGCCCGGCGTCCGCACACCTAGAGGCTAGTTAAGCCTGAGGGCTCCGTCACTACTCGCACACACTGCACTTCGACAACAATTTTTGGGTGAAATAGGAATGATATTACAAATAAGTCTCAAGAAACGGCGCGATGAATAACATGCGGAGCGGCAAAGAGAACTGCTGGCTCACGAAGCGACGAGCTACAATTGGATTTCACCCAGGGAATAATAGACTTATTTGCGACAAACTATCCTCTTTGTAAAACACAGACTGTTGATGTTGCATCGGTAATCGCCGCCAACGTAATTAACTCCGCGAATCCGAAGCTGAAATCTCTACATCGCTCAGATCTGCTAATTGTTGTAAAGGGAAAAGTAATAAAGGAGCTCGCCTTTGAAGCAAAGAAGCTGCCCGTCTCCGCCCCGGGCTCTCAACGAGCGCATTTTAATAAATTAAAACTTCGCGAAATTCCCATTCCAATAATTTTTACTTTTTTCTTTCCGCTTCACCGAGTTCCGTTTCTACATTGATTCCGTTATTTTATAATGGAGAGGCTATCAACTCCCACGACATTTATCGATGTTCGTTTGTATTTTTAGGGAAATGGAAATGTGGGACATATATTTAAAGATAACAAGATTGATATGAATTCTTTACATATAAGTATGTGAAAATACCTCATCCACTTTATTTGTATGAAAAGCACGCGTCGCGGTCGCTTTAATTATTAAATCCGAATTACTATGTTCAAATAATGTTGTTAATTTGGGATGTTATGTATTCCAGGTGATCATGTGGTCTATGGCGCTGTTGATTTGGAGCGGAGGCGCGGCGGCGCTGGCCAACTGCCCGGGCGGCTGCAGTTGCAACGACGACACACTGGTGGTTCTGTGCGAGGAGAGCCGCCTCGACGTGTTGCCTATCGCGCTCAACCCCTCCATCCAGCGGCTAATCATCCGCAAAAACAAGATCAAGACTATAGACGCATCTTTGCAGTTCTACACTGAGCTGCAACACCTAGACTTATCGCAAAACCTTCTCGTCAATATACCCCCGAAGTCGTTTTCGTTTCAGAAGAAATTACAAGAGTTACATTTGAATCATAACAAATTATCGTCCGTTTCCAACGCCACTTTCCAAGGACTGAACTCTCTCACTGTTTTAAACTTAAAAAACAACTTTTTAGAAGAGCTTACGAATGGCGTTTTCACCACACTCCCGAGACTAGAAGAGCTCAACTTAGGGCAGAATCGAATATCCAGAATCGATCCGAATGCATTTTCTGGACTATCCGCGTTGAGGATTCTTTATTTAGATGATAACCATTTGAGTTCAGTGCCGACCACGTCTTTTAGCCTACTAGGAAGCCTTGCCGAGCTACACGTGGGGCTGAATGCGTTTTCCTATCTACCAGACGATGCTTTCGCCGGACTCAATAGACTTGCCGTACTCGATCTTAACGGAGCCGGTCTCTCGAATATTAGCGAGGATGCTTTCAGAGATCTTCCAGGTCTAAGAAGTCTGAATTTATTCGGTAATGGTTTGACAGCGGTGCCCACAGAACAATTGTCCAGTTTGACGCGGTTAGAAGAACTTTACTTGGGGCAGAATGACTTTATCGCTTTGGAAATTCATTCTTTCAAAGGCCTTAAGAACTTACGATTAATGGATATAACGGGTGCAACGCAGCTCGAGAGAACAAGTAAAGGCTCCTTTGAAGACAATTTGAACTTGGAAACAATTGTTCTATCCAACAACAAGAAATTGTCTATCATAGAAGAGGGGAGCATGCTGGGCCTTCCTAAATTGAGGCATCTGTCGTTGCGAGACAACGCCATTATAGCTCTGAGCGAAACGACTTTTATCGGTAAGGAGTTGAGGCATCTGGATTTGTCAGACAACCCGATCTTCTGCGATTGCCAACTGCTCTGGCTCCGGGACCTCTTAAACGACAAAAGCAATTTTACACAAATCCAATGTGCGAGTCCCGAAAACCTTAAAGATAAATATTTACGGACTCTCAACGCCGACGACCTGGGTTGCGTCCTACACGACTCGCGCCAGCAGACGATCATCTGCATCATCGTTGTGGCCTGCGTCGCGTCCGTCGCGACCTTAGTTCTAGTTCTGTACAGATATCGGAAGAGCATGCAAGAAAAACTGAAGGACTACAAATGGAACAAGGGAAGAAAAAACTTGGATTATCACAAGCCGATCTCGACCGAGGAGGACTGCATCGTGCGCGGCATCCACCCCTCGCACTACCCCGCGCCTCCCCCGCACGCGTCCGGCCTCAGGCCCATTCCGGTGACGGAACTGTAGCTAGAGCTTTACGCCTCGCCGAGCGTGTTCTTCATGTCGGGCGGCCAGGGCTCCGTGCGCCGGCCGCCGCGCTCGGGCGGAGGCGGAGGCGGCGGGGGCACCCTGCCCGCCAGCGGCTTCACCTACGTCGGCAACAGGCAGCCGCTGACCCTCAACAACGGCGCGCCGGCGCCGCACCTCAACAACGGTTCGCTTCGCTCGTTGCCCGACAAGGGGAAGCGCAACGGAACGCCGTGCCGGCCGGACTTCAAGCGAAACCTCGACGCGCGCTATTCGCGCAAGCAGGAAAACGGGTACCTGCGTCCCTTCGAAACCGTGCTGGGGCTGGGCCGAGGGCCGGATCGCGACGCCGACTACGCCGAGCCCGAGTACTCCGTCATCGCCGAGAGCTTCGCGCGAGACGACTACTGCTCGCACTCCAACACCTTCAACTGTTGAGACGCCCGCTCCGAACCTGTCGACTTTGTGATTTTGAAATTCTAGCAATAATTCTTCATTCCGTTAAGTTTTCTGGGAACGTTCCGCGGAGGAACCCGGCGGTCCAGTGTCGGTGTCCCGAGACGTTTCGTCGAGAGAGTACCTTATTTGTAAATTATTTAATATAATATTTAAGTCATAAGTAGCGATGGATCTATTTTTCAATGGAATGTAAGCTGAAAGCCGAAAGTGAAACTTTCGGCCGCGAGCCGGTTTCGTATCGTTCGTAATTTTAAGATTAGGTCTGTACATAAAAGTAAATTCTTCGATAGAGCAATAGTTGTCTAGTGTGAAGCAATAACGCATGCGAGCCGACGATACGAAGCCGCCGGCGAGGGCACTCCGTGCGTACAATTGACTAGTCGTTATAAGTATAGTGAGGAGTTCATGTTGTGATCTGTGACGTCTACCGTGAGGTGCAAACTGCGACGGTAGCTCGAAGAAACTTGATTTTGTACAAAAGCCATTCCATTAAACGGTCGCTCTCGAAGGAACACGTCGGAGACCGAGACTCCTTCCCGTCTGCGATGTGTGTCTCCGGGTGCGGCGTCTATTGTCTTATAAATTAATTCATAGATGAAATAAGTGTGCGTTAAGACACCAATGCGTAAGAAGATATTAGGTAGCTTTAATGATTAACGAATGTAAATATATTTATAATACAATGAGATATTTATAAAATTTAATGCGGTCTCGTTCTAAATGATGATAAAACTGTTTCTCGTCTCGTGATGACCGATGACTTCGATCTCTTATTATACTTTGTATGTTATACGCGTTATATGTACCTACACTACACTCTGTAGATATGAAGCACTCATTTTCTAATATTATAACACGTTTTTACGCTCAATCATATTTAAAATTAATTTTTATAGTTAAGAAATTGTATAAAATTTTGCCTTTAATAGACCATTGTAATCGTAACCAATTCCAATAACAACGAGAACATTTCGCTCTCACCGATCGGGTATCGGTTTGAGGGAGACTATAAAAAAGGTTAATAAATCTTCACAAAAACTTCGATGCGTATCTTGTCCATTATATTCACGTTATAATCTTTATAAATACATACATATGTAATATAATAATTTAATTAACGCAACATAAAATATAAGAACATGCCAAGGTTTCGTTCAATATCGTCGATCTAAGGCACACAAATAATTCTTGGCACAAAACTAATCTTTAAAGTAAAATTCTTACAATAATAAATTTATCCATAACATAATATGTATATGTAAAGTATCACTATTAGAACTTTAGTTATTTCAAAATTCAAAGATACGCTCACACAAGAGAAGAGAACTATGGCTATTTCGTAACATGACCTATTTGGCACATAAGGTTGTTCTACAGTTTGAAATAAAATATTTTGATACTTCTCAGCGCCATCTAGTGTGTTGGTGCGTAATTAATATTATGACATTGTTTTGCTTTGAACCGAACCCCGACAGGTTGCAATTTATTTGAATGTGTTAAAATAATTTTGTACATACGGAGAAATTAAAGACTAAAGCGATGTATAATGGCATATTAATATGTTAGTGCCTAGATAAAGCCTAAGTATACAAACATACATATGAAATTTGTGATTAGTGGTTTACGGCCGCCGTCGTAACTCTTTAATAATAGATCATCGATCACTTCCGTACTTTATTGTAGCTATTACATACAAACTCGATAAATATAACATACCTCGAAATAATGTATTTTATTTAATTGAATCCCGTTTCAGATTTACTACAAACGCATCGTAAGGCGTACCGATCTGGGTTGAAAAGAAAAAGACTTTTTGTTGGCACACACGTTATCCAACTTTGTCCTGGTCTGCAAAATTTTATAGTGAAACAATATTACATGAAAATATTGCTACGAGTTTCAAAATACCATATTTTACATATGAAGCATGAAAAAAATGAATAATTGCTCATTTAGAATACCCCATCATTTGAACTTATGGGATTTAATCAAGAAATATATTCCAGATTAAAATAAAAAAATGTCTACTTAAAAAACATATATTAAAATGTACATGTGAAACCATTTTATTAAAATTAAATAAATTAGCATACAAAAGTGAGAAAATAATCCTTTCCATTAGCTAAAGCATACAATGAGATAAATGAAAAAGGACAAGTTTTTGTTCATTGAATTTATTACAATAAAATGCAACATTTAATCTTTACAAAAGTTCAGCCTTTTGACGGGGAGTAGCCAAAGCCGATTTTAGCCATACGGACATGATTGTAAATAAATAAAAAGGATATAGGCGTTAGTCTGGAATAATGCTGAGTATCACTTAAGATATTAAGTTAGAATTTTTCCTCCTCTAAACCATGTTTGAAAAACATCATCACTGGGGTTGAGACTCCATTGAGTTCTCGGTATTCCATCATAGCAACCATCCCATCACAGTCCATTGATTCACCAGTGAAGAACTGTAGCTCCTTAAACCTTCCCAGGATATCTTTCATTACTTTGTTCATGTTAGTTTTGAACACGTCAACTTGGTCGGGAGATTTTTCTTCTAGTGTTGAAACTAACCTGAAATTTTTTAAATTCACTTTAATGAGAAAAAGTATGTCACCACATTTTTATTCCACTCATTTATAATTAATGTAAGCTTCACTTCATTAACAGACATTATAAGATGAATGTTATTTCATTTAAAGTTATTTACTCTAGCATCGTAGTCTCCAAGGTACAATATTGACAACTGACCATGGTATTAGATGATGCCTCATTACTACAGCAAAACTTAACTCATTTATATCTAGACAATTATTAGTCAATACTTTTCTATAATACTACTACCTTCCTTGCGCTGGACATGAATTGAAGCACTACTAGTTTCATAATTAAATTATCTGATAACATTAAACAAAACAAACTTTAACCATGACAATGAACAAGTTTGGTTTTATATACCACATGTAAATCAAATCGTTATTCATATTCTTCTCACAAAAAATTCGTAATTAACCTTTATGCTATATTACTTGTCACAAAGCACTCACTTTTTCATGTAGTCTTTTAGGTATAAGGTGTAAGACTTTTTGTCACCAAAGGCATATGTCTCTACTAGCCTATGGTTAAGAACTATATCTACGCCACTTTCGGTGGCTGAGTCCGTGCCTTCGTCCGCATCTTCGGCTGAGGGGTTGAAACCCTCAATTTTTATATCGCCCTGTGATCTCGTCACCAGTTTGCCCGTCACTTCGTAAATCACTTCATCCACTAATTTCATTTTGTATGTGTCCGAGAACATCTCGTCACCTGAAAGATTAACACACTTTTAAGCATCATAGTTTATTAATTTTACAATCACTACGTCAAGTGATTGTAATACTACGACTTTAAAACACAAATCCAGATTTTCAGACTAATGATGATCGCCAAATGTCAATTGGGAATATTCAATGAAAATTAAAAATAATAGCACATAATCGCACTTTAAAATAGACTTAATTTAATTACCAGTAATAATGTCCTTATAGATCCTCATTTTATTGGATTAAGGGCGATTATAAATAATAAAACCGAAAACTACGGCTACTAGCCCCGGGAACTAAACCGGAAAGGGCTGTCAAATGTTAGTACTTAGTAGGACCGAATGACGAATCCGTTTATGACACAGATGACAGTACAGAATACAGACGATATATAAGTCATCGATACCGGATTTTACTTAATTATTCTTTTATCTTTTAACATTATGTAACTAAATTAAAAATATAACATAAGATATATAAAGCCAATCCCTAAGACATATTTAGGTTAATTGTTTAAAGTAAACATAAATAACATAATTAGACAGTCACAAAGTGATGGGTACTGACTACTGCGGTTGTATGTGTTAATTAATATCAGCTATCAATTGTCGGTTTGACACAGCTGATGAGGTAGGCGGAAGTAGATGACGCCATCTTTGAATTGAGTGTCTTCTCTCTTCAATAATGGAAGTTTATCTTTATAATTCTACAGTTTGCAGACTTTGTGGAGAAGAAAATGATAACGGAACATTATTATATACTAATGAGGAATATAATCAAGAATTAAGTGAAACAATTAATACGTATTTGCCACTTAAGGTAAGGTTTTTTATATAAAAACGTACATGATTTGACTTTTTACTAAACCAAGATGTCTGACAGCGGAAGACATTTTATAAAATAACATGTAAATATAATTTAACAACAACTACAATTTAGTATTTCAAGGTCTTAAAACATGTCCAATAATCAGGAATAATTTTTAATTAAATAACTAGATTAGCTACACGAAGCATTATTTTCTAATGAACTTAAATAAATACTCGCGCCACTATTTGACTTAGCCGATTAAGTATAAAAATCTCGGCCTTCTCCAAATGTCAATAAATAATTATTACAGGTGTCTGATGATGGACAGCTACCGCGGACGATTTGCCCCGGGTGTACTATTCAGGTTGAGGCAACAGTAGAATTTTTCAACCTTATTATTAAAGGACAGGTACTTAGTTAGCTATTACAATATTCTAGGATTGCGAATAACCGCAATGGAATGTTTTATAATTGCCGTTTGTTTTTGCAGAAAATATTACGCGACTTACATGAAAGAGAAGTAGAATATAAAAAAAGTATTACAAAAGAAATTCCTGACACAGAAGTAATTGCTGAAAAAATTGTTTATGAAAGTAAGTTAAATCAGATAATACATTAATCAAAAGACCTATAAAAATATTTTTTAAGCTAGATTTTACTAATTGTAATTTCAGTAAATACAAGCGATGGCATTTACCATGTGGAGCATCCGATCAGCCTGCAGATGGCAGGACTGGATAAGCCCAAGAGGAAAAGAGGTCGGCCCTCGAAGAAGCTCAAGACTCCCGAAGAGCTGGCTCAGGAGGCGGCCGCGGCCGTGGCGGCTAAAGAAGAGGAAGCCCGACAACAGGCTCAACGGGCTCAGGAAGAATGTCACGGGAAGAGAAGGAGAAAGATGCCCACAAGGTTGAAAGGAGCCGTGCAGGTACAACTTCAACTTACCAAGTGTGGGTTATTTATGCATTATTATTAATTAATTATCAAATGGAGTTAATGTGATGTGTATTTATGACAAAATTTAGGGATGTGACATTCTGCATAAAAACTCGATTTTTTATTAATCAATCATTTTAGCATGAATAATCGATTAATAAATAATAGATTTTTCTTAAAAAAATAATCGTTTTTTTTTATTAATCGATTTTTTCCTAATTTTTGAATTAATTTCAAAATAAACACCCTAAATATATTATTTTTCATGGTTTTTTAAATTCAAAATAAGCAATAGAAATTATAAACACAAATTAACGTTTAAGAATAATCAAAATTGAAAGTAACTTCATCTCGTTTTGATAGATTTTGATAAATGCTTAGTGTATTCCTTTCAGTAGCACATTGCAGTATCTTTGTTGTCTTTTTAATTGTATGTAGTCTTGTGCTGCTGAATAAATTTATTTTACTTTTAAATTATAGTGTTCCATTCAAACTTGAGTTTTTGTAAAATTAACTGCTTTTATCATCCTTTTGATGTTTTACAAAAGAACATCAATGTATCGAGTATATCAATACATCTTCAAAGAATCGGATTCAATGTATCGCATTGTAAACATCGTGTATCGAATATCCCTAATAGTTCGAGGTGCGGGTTATAAAAGACCAGACATAATGTCGGGAGGTGGCAGATAAAAAATCGATTATGATTGATTTTCATTTATAAAAATAATCAATTATTAATCGATTATTTTAAATATAAAAATCGCGTAAAAACATCGATTTTTACTTTTAAAAAAATCGATTTTAATCGATTATTTTTTCACATCCCTATGACAAATACATCTCATAGTCATGTCATAGTCAAGTGAGGAAACAAAAAAATTACAACCTATCTCTAGATATTTTGATTCTGCTCAGTACTAACAAAGATTCAGCTACATCGAGTGCCAAAACCATTCACCATTGTATGTCTATTTCGTGGTTTATCATTATCTTATTAATATTTAAACATCAACGGAGAAGTCACACTTTCGGCGGCATAGAGAAGCGAAGCGACTGTATTTTCAGGGAAGAGAGCTCGAAAAGATATTCATAGAAGAGGGCGTCATAGACAAAGCGGAGTGCGACCCCGACGCCGCGGCGGCCGAGGTGGACGGCGCGTCGACGGAGCCGGAGGTGAAGACCATCGGCCACGTCGCCTCCTCCGGGGAGCCGGTGGTGGTCAACGTGCGCAAGGGGCGCGGCAGGCCCAAGGGAGGTGAGCGAGTCGGCTTCTTCGCCCGCGCCGTTCCCGTCCCCACGTTCACCCTTTGCCCCTGTGCAGCCGTGCGAGGCGCCGGGCAGCCGTCGCAGTGCGCCCTCTGCGGTCTGCGCTTCGCCTCCGTGGGCCGCTACATGTCGCACGTCGCGTCGCACAATCGGGACCCGCTCTTCGACGTGAGTTCGGCCGATATCTTCTTTTTCTCTAAAGCCTTCGTTAGCCTAGACTTTTCTTAAGACCTCTTTTCACATTTTCAGCCCGAAAGCCGAAACCGGCCGACGCCAGAAGAGAAAGAGTCGCAACCTTCCATGCCGACGCCCATCGACATGAAGGAAGATCCGGAAGAGCAACGGAACAAAAGAGCCGACGCGGAGGAACCGCGTCGTCAGTATTCGTTTTCCAGTAATCGAGTGTGGCCGGTGATAAGAGTTTCATCTCGGGCTCTCTTGCGAATGGCAAAGCGTCTCAAAGTCAAACTCAGAATAACTTTATTCAAATAGTTAACCGAGTACACTTATGAACGTCGAAACAGAAAAGACGTTAAATCGGTTCTAAATTTACATTTTCTACCAGTTCCCAAGTCAAGGGCGTAGACCGGGCAAGAAGAACTGGCAAGAAACTCTCCGCCACTTTTTTAATCGCCAAGTTTTGAGTCATACAAATTGTTTGAACTGGAGCAAATCAATGCCAAGGATTAGGGTCATTTAAATAATACTCAAATTTATAGTTCTGAATGTATTCAGTGATAATACTCTAATTTCGTTTGGGAGCAGTTTATCTTCTGGAGCCTGGTCGGCCTTCCGCTTAGATTAGTTCTGTTTCGAGTATTATACTGGTGAAAGTAACCATTTGTTTTAAAATCGTTTATATTTTGTTTGTGCATACGACAAGGCTTCAAAAATATATTGACTCTCCATATTGGTCTCTCACATTCAAAGGATTACTTGGCGTCGGTCGCCACGCTAAGGTATCAGATTCATTAATCGACTCGACACCCCTTTCAGCTCCGACGGATCCGGCTCGCGAAGACAGCGAGGAGGAACCTTCGGGAGCTGACAAAAAGCAGTTCGAGTGTAACCAGTGCGACAAGAAGTTCGGCAGCAAACAGAGCAAATCCATGCACATAAAGGTTTCGACGTCTCTCCCGTGGTCCCGAGCCCGAAGAGTGCTCCGAGACGAGAGTCATAATAATGGTCTTCGCCGCAGGCCGTGCACCGCGGGGAGAGGCCCTACCGGTGCCCCGAGTGCGGGCTCTCCTTCGCCTACCCTCGCTCCCTGGCCCTGCACGCCCTGGCGCATCGCAGGAGACGAGCCGCCGCCGACACCGGATACGCCTGCGACGTTTGCCACAAGGTTTGCGAACGCGAGAGCTCGAACTGGCGCTCGAGCGGGACTCGCGTCTGATCTCGGCCCGTCCTGATGTCCTCAGGTGCTGAGCCACCCGTCGTCCGTGACGTACCACAAGCAGGCGGCGCACGGAGCCACCCAGTACGTGTGCGGCCAGTGCGGGAAACGCTTCCACCATCGGCAGCTGCTGCAGAGGCATCAGCTCGTGCACTCCAAGCGGCGGCCCTTCGACTGCGAGGTAACGTCGCGGAAGACTCGCGCGAACTTCGCTCCGGCGCTTCTCAAACTCGAGCCGCTTCCAGATCTGTGCGGCGACGTTCAAGACGAAGGCCAACCTGCGCAACCACCTGCAGCTGCACTCCGGGGTCAAGAAGTTCTCGTGCGAGGTCTGCCCCCAGCGCTTCTCGCACCAGACCAGCCTCACGCTGCACATGCGCTGGCACACGGGTACGTAGAGCCCCGAGGCGGGCGAGGGGCGGCCCGAGGAGTCCCATCGCTCAGAGACCGCGTCTTCCCTCGGCAGGGTCCAAGCCCTACTCCTGCGAGACCTGCGGCAAGAGATTCAGCCAGAAGGGCAACCTGTCGGAGCACGAGCGCATCCACACGGGCGAGAAGCCCTTCGCCTGCCCCCTCTGCCCCCGGCGCTTCACCACCTCGTCCCAGAGGCGCCTGCACGCGCGTCGGCACGGGTGAGCGCTCCGCCAGCTCGTCCGCTCGCTCCTCGAGCGGCGAACGACCGAGACGAGACCGCGACGAGACGTCTCTTCCAGGAACGAAAATTTGAGGAGGCCCGCCGCGCCCCGGCTCGTCCCCGAGCGGCCGACGGCGGCGCCGGCCCCGGAGCCCCCGAGCGACGACGCTTTTCCGGTCGGCGAAAAGGTGATGTTGGTCAGCAAGCAAGAAGTGGGCGGCGACGTCATCTACGTGACGTACGAGGCGTCCGACGCGTCCTCCTTCCGCGTCGTCCACCCCCGAGAGGTACGACCGTCGTCCGGCGACCCGCGTCGCTCCCCCGAGTCCGCGGCGCTCACGGCTCGAGTCCACGAAATGTGTTCGCAGGCGGTGGAGGCCGAAGAGACGGAGGAGGCGGAGGTGGAGAACTCGGAGGTGCCGTCCGCCTGCGAGTTGTACGCCGAGTCGCCGGTCGACCGATTGGACTCGCTCGCGATTCCTCAGGTCGGTATTTCAGCGTCGCGAGTGAAAGTCGACCGATCGACACGATCCAAACACGCGTGTCCCGTTCGCAGATCGCGAGAGACGACGCGGCCGGCCGTTCCCCTCTGCGCCTGCGCATGCGAGACGGCTCCGTGCTCGCCGTCACCTCGCTCGATGGAGAGACTCTGCAGGTACGGAACCGACCGGATCTCGATCTCCGGTCACGTTCGCGATAAACACGACCTAATTGTTTGTTCAGATCCTGACGCAAGACGGGCAGGCGATTCCGGTGGAGGTGAACGAGTACGACGAGGCGGTGAGTCTCTCTCGCCGACGCCGAAAGACGTCGGACATTTTTCTCAATAAAGTCGCGGTCGCGTTTGCAGGAGGGCGTGGCGGCGAGCGAAGCGGCGCCGGACGAGCTCGAGGCCGACGGGGCCGAACCCGCTCGGTACTTCACCATCGTGTAGACGGACGCGAGGTGCAGGACGGCGGATGCCCTCGTGATAATAGATTCGTTGACGTTATATTTAATTAAAAATTATAAATATTAATATGAAAAGATCTCGTTAATTATATAAATAATAATTTTAATGTCGCGTCGAGTCTCCGAGAGGCCGAATTAAAATTATAATAATCAAAACTGAAAATGTGTCTTCGTTTTATAATACTTAAGAGTAAAATAAATGTATCTTATTAAAAAAATATTTTTTCACGAGCTTTTTATTTTTCAGCCATTAGGCTAAACGAAAAGTAATAGTTATTTGAGAAATATGAATCGCTTCATTTTTAGGTGTGCAGCCACCGAGTTCAATTAAACATTAATCGGTTGCTAATATTTTATTGCATAAAGCCCTACGCATTCATTCATTCGCTTCGACACTTGCATACTCAAACTCAAAATATCTTTAATCGTAGTAGTAGAATGTAGACGGTTGATTGCTATGTTAATAGCATACAATTATATATTAAAATAACAAATTCTAGGATTAGTGACGAGACTGTGTTGCCTAGTTACACTAACAACATAGTGATTGATAATATATCTTCATGTTGGACGAAGGAGGGTCCACCTCTAATACCAACATACTTGGAGGCCAATACCAGTCAGATAGAGTAAACTCTTCCTGCTGGAACACATACCTTAGGTTATTCTACAACTGTAGAGGTCACTCCGGATAGTACTTTAAACTAGGCTGTACGACAACAGAAGTTAACCGTTTAAATAATCAATTATTATTCGTGGATAATAAAAAGGTATCTTCTGGCAAATTTAAACTAGCACCTAAGAACTATATTTACTATAGCACTATTATTAAATATTGTTTATCAAAATATACAAGGTTTGGCTGGCAAGGAATTAGAATTAGAACTGTTTACAAAAAGTCAAAAGTGTTACAGAAGTAGTTCTATTCGTGGCGGTTCATTAAAATTAATAAATAGTACTGTCAAATATAAAGATCGTAAGGATATTGTAAGTCTATCAATTGAATGTGTTATTGAATTATCTCGTGTAGAACTGGAGAACTATGTTATAGTATGCGTGTACCGGCCCCCTTCCGGAGATTATTACAAATTTGAGTCAGTAATGGAAGATGTACTTAAAAGACTAACTAGAAAACGAAAGTCGGTCATTATTTGCGGAGACTTTAACATAAACATACTTGAAAGTACTTCAGTAAGCACTAGATTTATTTCAATGTTTAAATGTTTTAATTTAGTAAACCAATTCTCTGAACCAACAAGAATCACCTCCCAAGTTGTTGAATGCAACTTGTTTAGATAACATATTTTCGAGTGACAAACCTGTTTCTAAATCAGTAATAACAAACCTTACTTCAGACCATTGTGGTCTGATAGTTGGCTCCTCTGACAAAATATTTGATGAAGCCAAGCACGTTAAGTATCGCCCCATCACAAAAAGTCGCATGGAAAGTTTTAGGCATAATGTTAATTCCAAGGTTTGTGCAATAGATTACTCTGTTCTAAATAATTCGGAGAGTCAGTACAAAAGATTGTTTCATGTTATTCAAAATAAGTTTCATAGTATTTACCCATTAAAGACTATAAAGTGCAACAAAAAAATCAAATTTGATGACTGGGCCAGGAGTGGTATTTATAAGAGTAGGAATAGGCTTTATGAATTATATGCATTAAGAAAATATAATCACAACGCAGAGTATATAGAATATGTCCGAAATTATTCCAAAACTTTTAGAAAAGTTTGCAAATATACAAAGGCATTGCATATACGTGAGAAAATTAAGAATTCAAGTAATAAAATCAAAACTACTTGGAATGTTATAAATCGAGAAACAGGAAACCTTAAATCCCGTAATTCATTCTTTTTAAAGGTAGATGATAAGATTATTGTTGAAAGCTCAGAGATTGCTGATATTTTTGAATATTTCTTTACAAACATGCCTGTAATTACTACATCTTCTCTTAATTCCTCTCCCAAAGAGGCTATTAGTTTTCTTAAAAGTTACGTTCCGGAATGCAAAATAAATTTTCAGTTTAAGCACGTTAGCGCTGGTGATGTAGTTAAAACTTTTAAATCTTTAAAATTCAAACATTCTCGAGACTTGTGGGATGTTTCTGTACATATTATTAAGGACATTATTGATATTATTGCCCCAGATCTTGCGTATATTTTTAACAATTGTATTGATGAAGGAAGTTTTCCAGATTTAATTAAGCATAGTAAAATAATACCTTTATTTAAATCTGGATGCAGAACAGATCCTACTGATTTTAGACCCATCTCAATATTGCCAACTTTAAGTAAAGTGTTTGAAAAAATTATACTAGAACAATTAATTAAGTACATTCTTTAATACAAACAGTCTTCTACACAACGCAAAATACGGTTTTACTAAAGGTCGCTCCACTACCAATGCTGGAATAGCTCTGTTACGACATATATTTGATGCATGGGAGAAAACTCAAAATGTACTGGGAGTTTTCTGTGATTTGCCCAAGGCGTTTGATTGTGTTGATCATGAGACTCTGCTTTGCAAACTTGACCACTATGGTATAAAAAATGTAGCTCTTAACTTAATAACCTCCTACCTAAGTTGTCAAACTCATAAAGTTGATATAAATGGAACTAAATCTTCGGGATCACATATTAAAATGGGAGTCCCGCAGAAATCAATATTGGGACCATTTTTATTTCTTATATATATTAACGATTTGCCTTCTTATGCAAAGCCATTATGTGATATTGTATTGTTTGCTGATGACACGTCCTTGATTTTTAAAGTAAATAGATATAAGACAAATTTTGACGATGTGAACAATGCACTTTCTAAAATATTGTGCTGGTTTTCTGCAAATAATTTACAATTAAATGCCACAAAAACAAAATGCATAAGATTTACTTTACCTAATGTTAAAACTACAACTATAGAGCTTAAACTGAATAATGAAAAACTAAATTTAGTTGATTCTACGGTATTTCTAGGCATTACAATAGACCAAAAACTTCAATGGAGTCAGCATATCACTAAACTAAACTTAGTTCTGCGGCATACGCTATTAGGAAAATTAGGCAACTCACAGACGAGGAAACTGCCAGAATAGTATATTTTAGTTACTTTCACAGCGTTATGTCGTACGGAATTCTTTTATGGGGCAAAGCAGCAGATATACAATCTATTTTTATCTTGCAAAAACGTGCTATTAGGTCAATTTATTGCTTGAAACCAGGCACTTCACTTAGAAATTTGTTCAAGGAAATCGATATTTTGACGGTACTACCTTCCCAATATATTTACAACTGTATCGTTTTTGTGCGTAGTAATATTAGTTCTCTTTTAAAGAACAGTGACATTCACAATAGGGATACGAGAAATAAGGGAAAACTTTTCCAGCCGTCTTACAGGTTGCAGAAAATAAATACTTCATTTATGGGCCTAAGTATACGCTGCTATAACATGATTCCTAGTGAAATATTGGAACTGCCTTTAAACAGATTCAAAACACATATCAAAAAAACCTTAATGTGTAAAGGTTACTACACAGTCAATGACTACCTGGAAGATAAAAACGCTTGGCAATAGTTGTAATTATATTCTTATAATTTGATTTGTGTGTAATGGTGAATGTGGTAAATCACAGAACAGATTTTTATATTTTTTTTTACTTATGTAACCTTAATGACGTTGTGGTTTATGACATTTTCCTTTGAATAATTGTAATGTAGAGGGAGGGTAAAACTTGCTGCGTTTCTTGCCCGTTCTTCTCAGAACGAGGCCTCCTGGTAGTTTTGCGAACGGATGGCGTAGTCTTGCTCTTTCGCGAATTTTGTAAACGTTTTTACATTCATAAGCAGGCGCTAAGACGCATCTAAATTGAATAAACGTATTTTGATTGATTTGATTTGATTCTTCCAGTTCGCAAGTCAAGGGCGTAAAGCGGGCAAAATACATAGTGAGAGGCAATAGTTTATTAATATCCAATCTTTATAATTTAATAACAGAATTGCATACATTATAATAAATATGATCCATCTTTAAATATTGTATAAATATGCTCATACTTAAGCCTCGCGAGGCGTCGACGGTCACCGCGGGCTGAGCTCTTACATCTACACGAAATGGTAATTCGCGACGGCGACTATTTCTTTTTGAGGGTCCAAAGCGGATCCAGGAAGTTCAGGGGGTCGGTCATGTCGCCGCTCTTGAGTCCCGCCGCCTGCCGCATCTCCTCGAAGGACTCGCGGCTGAACTTGTTCCGATGCGACGTCGGCCGGGGAGCCGGGGCCGTCGCCGCGCTCGGCGCCGACGCCGTCTCTCCTTTGAACGTCGTGGAACCTGGCGAATCGGAGGAAACGTTAACTGCGTCCCGAGGTTCCGAGACGCGAGGCGCGGAGCGGAGCGGGGCTTTACCGGAGCGCAAAACGCCCTGCGCGTAGAAGAGCACCGAGCGGAGCAGGTCGACAGGGTCTCCCGCTGCGCTGCCTCCTCGACTCAGAGACGCCATCCCCGTCGATAAGGTCTCTGCACAGAGACGGATACAGTTCTCACTATAATGGACGCATATGAACACCAAAAAAACAAAAAAAAGGGTGCGTGTACTTATGTACGCGCGTAAGAAGTTATACTTCTTTGGCATTATTAAAAATAGTTTTTGATTGCATGCAAATAATTAATTACAATTAAATAATCAAAGACTGGAAAAGGAGTCATTAAAGTCAATAAAGTTCAGTTTACATTTGAAAAATTAATTAAATAAATATTTATTATTATTCTCTTACATTAAACAAATAAAACACTATTTATCTTTAAAACATTTTTATTTCATTATACTATTTATTTTTAAGTGACTCTAATGTCTTCATCAGAATTTCGGTTTGTAATTTTAAATTAATCATTACTTGGTTGTGCATCTACGAGGCTTCTCCAAAACTACTCGCTTTCTGCAACAAATAAGAGAATATTAATTTAAGCTCTGTCCATGCAAAACTTAAAATTTTTTATAATTCATATTATAAATTTTTTAACACATTTATATTAATATAATTATATAAATGTGTTAATAATATAATTTGTAGCACATGCTACAGACCTGGATAGCAACTTTCTTTTATTCTATTTAGAGATAGAGATAATTTAAATATAATACCGGTCTTCCTTGTAGGTTTCTTTGGAGTTGTTTGGGGATTCTTGTTGTTCAGTTCGACATGATTTTCTTTAACCTTTCTTTAATCCTACAAAATAATGAAATTGTTAAGTTATGTTGTCACTGTTGTGCACACCTTTGTTTGGCTTTTTTAGTATTCAAGTTATGTCAAAACTGATTTATTACCTTGTCATTGTTGGCTTTATTTGCTTTTGGGATATCAATTGTTTCCAAAATGATTTTATTTGTAATAACCTGAAATATATAAATAACATCTATTAATTTAAGTATCATGGTGAGTGGTTCGCACTCAGGTATTAAGGTGTATTATACCCACTGTCCATTATAAGTGGGAATGGGCTCACTTCTGGCAGGACAGAGTTTCGGTACTACAAGTGCAACATGGATGTTTTGAGGTATTACAATATCTCTAACTACCCTGTAGGGGAATAAAGTAATGTTGTAAGCATATGCCTATGCTTGAAAGGTTGAACCTTGAACATCACCATACATCATATTTATAATTAACATTCCTACCTCGACACCATCACAATCAAATTCATTGAAATCTACTTCAAACCATTGTTTCGAGAAGGTGATGGTGGCTTTGTTCCACCTCCAGTTTTTGATGTTTCACGGCGATAAGATGACAACTCTTTTTTGTATTCAATTTAGTGCACTTCCACTGATTCATCAATTGTTTTTTGTCTCTTGTCCTTATATTTGCTAGATTAAATCTGATGTTTTGATTAAATAATGTGGTCATTTTTTTGAGATGCAGGTACTTATTAAAATGTTTACTTCTCTGTTATATCGCTCCAAGCCTTCATTTTCTCCTTATTAGTATTCGTGCTTAAATCTTTGTTCTCAATTATTGATATATAGGGTCGTAGAATATTTCTAAAAAGTTGCTGTAACAAACGCAATAAACAAAAGCAATGAATAATGGTTCATGTTTCAGTTTTAATCAACAATAATACTCGATAATACATACGGATAGTTAACCTCAATTGTATTGAAGCACTCAGGAAGGTTAGCACAGTTTTTTCACAAATATTTTATATTATTTCACAAATATTTTGTATAATGAAAATAACTAGGTATATAATTATTAATTTTAAACAATAATTAAAACTCCTATATTTGTTTAAAAGGTAAATGTCATTGTCAGATGTCAATTGTCATGGTCATTCAAAATTCTTGTTAAGCTGCTAAGCTAGAATATGCGTGAAGTTAGCTTCACGCATATTCTATTTCTTTTTACTTGTAGTTTGTCTTATTCCCATCTCGCTCGCGCACGCTATATCACACTGCCAATTTTGTGTCATAGGTGCGCGCGCAATCGTAAAATTTCACTCTCATCAATTTTTCATAACGCGCCTAAAGAAGTACAACTTCAATTAATCTTTGAAAAAGCTGTCGATCATGTCACTCTACTATATAAGCTACTAGTGCTAGGAACCCGTGAGGATCATTCGGTGTACCTTAAGGGTGTAAACTGGGTCCTCTGTTGTTTTAATAATAATTATTTATTTATTGCAAGAATATGGTACAAAAATGTTAAGGTGGTACAATCGTAAATCGTTCGCATATTCTGCCACTCACGATGGCGCGCAAATTTGTCTTAAGGAATTGTACATTATTAGTCAAAGTCAATTCTTATATTATCTAGTCTATTATACTATATACATTACATCATTAATTTTATATCAATTACGGTGTTTCACGCAAATAATCATGTATTGAATAGTACATTTTTTCTAAAAGTAAGACACTAAGGGTGGGTTGCATCAACAAATTTTGACGGACACGTAACCGTTAAATATGGCGCTAACGAACGTTAGACAAAAAAAGTGTTGATTCACCATCTATGAACGCTTACGTTCGTTAAAAAGTTACGCTTACGTTAACCAGTGCTCGAACCATTGGTAATTGTCAAATTTTGGTATGTAACTTCGTAGTTCGTACTTCCTACGCGCGGCATTAATTTTAAAAAGTTATTATAAAGTTTCATAATGGAATCAATTTTATTTAATACTTTTAATGGTAGTTTTTTCGAAGAAGAAAATGAAGCTCAAGTGCTTGTGAGAAAAAAAAAAGGTTTTTAAAAAGCGAATTTATAATTTTAATTTATTTGAAGAAAATGAATTTATTGATAGATTCCGGGTTTCAAAGGAGGTAGCTATTTATATAACAGAATCAATTAAAAATTAAATAACAAGTAATACGGACAAGTAAGTTTATTTTTATTTATTGTATTGTACTTATAGGTAGGTACCATCTTGGGCCTATATAATTTATTATATTTCAAATCAATCGCGTTACAAGACAGTATTCAACATTGTTTCAGAAATCTCGCAGTAAAACCGATTGATCAGGAGTACCTGATCTTGATTATTTTGAAGAGCATTACGCCTCAGGATCCTTCATGAGATGTGTGGGTGATATGTCTGGACTCCACAAATTTACAGTGTGTCGAATAATACAGCGAGTAACACTTGCAATCTCAAAATTACGCCCTCAATTTAATATATATATATGCCAAGGACTGATCAAGAAAAGGAACAAATGGCTACAAAGTTTTATAATATAGCCAGGTTCCCTAAAGTGTTAGGTGCCATTGATTGTAGCCACATAAATATTTTATCTCCAGGTCAGTAACATGGTACCTACTTGCACCTGTCTTTTATGTTACAGTAAATATTTACAAACAATTCATATGTTTGATTGTTGTATAAATCTTACTATATAATTTTATTCAATGTAGGTGGTGACAATGCTGAAGACTTCAGAAACAGGAAAGGTTTATTTTCATTTAATGTTCAGGTTATTGGAGATGCAGACTTATATATAAGGAACATAGTTGCAAGATGGCCAGGATCTGCACATGATAGTCATATATTTAATAGTTCAAATATTAAATATAGGATTGAGTCTGGGGAATTTGATGGGCTGTGGCTTCTTGGAGATTCAGGTTATGCCCTAAAATCATACCTGCTTACACCTCTGGCAGACCCCCAAACAGATTCCCCATAGTTGGGTCCAAAATAAGATGTAAGATAGCTAACATCCAGCCAATTATTGTTGTAACTGCTGTGTTACACAATATTTGTAGGACACATAATGTTAAACAGCCTACAGATTTTGTAAATTTGGACCAGGAGGTAACTTCATTGCCAACACAACCAGAAAACTCTGTTTCCTCTGAATTTAATATTAGAGATGGTTTGATTAATAATTATTTTGCAAGGTATATTATGATTATTTTTGACTTCAAAAATATAAATTGCAAATTTAATATTAAAGATGTCTTATATTTCAGATTATAACTTTTTTATGGCATGGGTGTGAAATATGGTGAAGGACTAACATATTCTATACTGTTTATATTGCTTATTGCATGCTTTTGGTAAAGATATAAAATATTTGACAAAAATAATATGCCTTTACTAACTGAATTACAGCCTACAGATTTTATTAATTTAGACCAAAAGTTAACTTCATTGACAGCAAACAGAAAACTAGTTTTCTCTAAATTTAATTTTATTCTAATATTAGAGATACATAGTTTAATTATTATTATTTTGCAAGGTATGTTAATATTAAGATTATTTTTAACTTCAAAGAAAACAAATCTCAAATCATAATTTTAAAGCTGTCTTATTTTCAGATTATAACTATTTTATGGTATGGATGTGAAGTATGGTGAAGGATTAACATATTTTATACTGTATAATATATTGCTATTGCATGCTTTTGGTGGAGAAATAAAATGTTTGACAAAAATAATATGCCTTTTTATTACCGAATTACAACATTACATAGTAATGCATGCCTATGCACATAAGAATTAATTCATCTTAAAAATCTATTTATAAGTTTTTACACTAATTTTATTACATTGATACACACAACTGTTTAATTATTTTGAAGAGCATTTACACTATGTTTCAAGTAATTCTAATCATAAACAAGTTATAGTAAGTTTATTTTTTATTGGAAAGGTAAATACCACTTTCCATGCATTTTACATTAGAAATGGCAGTTTCATACGATCTTACATCCCTTTAGTATAATTAATAGTAAGTAATTTTTTTCCTAGTAGTTTAAAAATGATTTCATCGTTCTTCCTCTTCTCATTTAGATGTTGAACACGCAACTCAAAAATTTCTTTTTCATATTTATTATCTGAAAGGGCATTAAATTCTGCATGAATCGCACTCCATGCCCTCTTTTTTGCAAATTGGTAGTACTGTCTGTCTTTTTATTAAATAAAATTTGTTTATGTTTTTCTATTAAATTTGTAAATCTGTCCTCTTCTTTTCCAAAATTTACCGAACGTTCTCTGAAAGTCAATGAGTCACGTAAATAAATACACTTCTAACTATATCTCTCAATATAATATACATACTTTGCGCATATACAATTCATGCAATATAATAATAAAATAATAGCTTTATACTTACTTTGGCGAAAAGGTTTCCATTATTTATATTCAAATTAAACACTTTTTAAAATAAGCCTTTCGTACAAAATAATAAACATCCGATGTCAAAGTTGACAGAATGTTTCAAATGACATTGTTTTTATCAATGTTGTTATTACTAAAAAATAATTCCCATAAAACATTAGGTCAAAATAGCGTTACGCAAACGGGCAACCCCATTAACAATGACGAACTCATTTTTTAACAATGAAGCAACGCTAACAAGTTAACACACGTTAAAGTTCATACGTGTCTGTCAAATTTTAACGAACGTAAGTTACGATAGCAATTGGTTTGAAACAACCCACACTAAGTCGCTTTTTAAAGACTCTAGACGGAAGATCTTTTAATTCTTTTGGTAATTTATTGTAAACTTTAATTGCCATACAAAAGGTGTTTTTCCTAAACAGTTCCAGATTGATTTTTGGCACAGCCAATTTCTCCCCATGTCTACTTCTTACTTCAACTTCTACATTCGACTTAAAAATATGTATGTTTCTGTGCACGAATAAGGATATTTCTAAAATATAAATACATGGAAGAGATACAATTTTGAGCTTCTTAAATAAAGGTACGCAACTATCAAGACAGTTTGCTCCACAAATTGCTCTAATACATTTCTTTTGAGCCTTAAATACCCTATTTACTTCGACTGAATTTCCCCAAATTATAATTCCATATCTAAGTATAGATGAAACATATGCATGATAAGCAGCTAATACCGTAGCATGGTTAACAGTTTCCCTTACGCTGGCCATAGACGGACCGCATGTTGCAGTCGAGACCGACTGCTTCAGAGCGGTCGCGTTGAAGTCGTACACGACTGCATAATGCAGACGGCTACGACTGCTTGGAGCAGTTGTGTTCGACCGCAAAATAATACTGATGCGAGTTCATTTACAAGATGGAATTCGATGAAGAAACACTGCTACTTGTAGTATTATTACGCAAGCGCAGGCGTAGAAGACACCGTAGTATGTGGGTGCGTCCAATACTACAACCAAGAGAACAGCATGGAATATTTCATACTTTGTATGCTTAGAGAAGACACTAAAATGTTTTTCAACTACTTTAGAATGTCCGTGGTTTTATTTGATGAATTAGTTAGTATTTTATTTTATTTGAGGAAGAGGCGCGCGGTCGGCAGCAACCGCTTGTAGCGGTCCGTGTATGGTGGGTCCGGCAGCTCTAAGCAGTCGACCGCACGGCAGAACTCGACCGCAGAGCGACTGCTCCGACCGTTCAGAAACTGGTCGTGCGGTCAGTGTATGGCGGATATGAATTTAGTATGGAAACTGTAGTTCGCCGTGCGGCGACCGCTTAGAGCAGTCGGTATCGACTGCAACATGCGGTCCGTCTATGGCTTGCGTTAGTCGTTTTAACACAAAAACAAAACTGTCTATTTCGTTCTGTAATTTTTCAATATGTGCTTTTAACGCTTATTATATAAAATATTGCTTCAAGTATTCAGAAAATATTGTTTGCAGATGACTAAAAAATATTTTTACTAAATATAATCATTAACTATCCCGCGAATATACAATAATTTCCCACATTTTGATGGCTTTATCGGAACGCGACGGGTGAAGTCGACCGCGAACAGCCAGTCTGCACTCACCGGCGAGGTCCACGCGTCCGGCGCGCACTTGGCACACGACGGCCAACAGCAGCGCCGTCGAAGCGCCTCGGCCTCCGCCGTCGCAGAGGAGGCACACCCCGCCCCGGCCGCTCGCTCGCAGTGCCGCATCGCACAGGGCCACCCGCGACGAGTCCGACGTTCTGCAAACGGCACACCGTGAAGGACGTCGACGATGCGAAGCGAACGGAAACGCGACGAGACGAACTCACCCGGCGGGCGCCGCGTGCGGCCGGAGGAACGTGAGCGCGTGCTCGCGGGCGTGGGGCGAGACGCGCAGGCGCAGACGGCGCTCGCTCCAATGCGCGGTCGAACGCGGAGGTTCCGGCGTCACCGTGACGTCGCCGGCGGACGTGAGGTAGATCGCGCTCTGCGTCTGCTCGTGAAAGGCGAAGTTGAGAAAAGAACGACAGAGAGCGACCTCTTCGCGTCGGAAAGACGGACGTACCTCGGTCTCCGTCTCCGTCTGGCAGCAGACGACGCAACCGATCTTTTTCTCAAACATCGCTTTCCAGAACGTTTCGACGTTCGCGTCGTCGGGACGTTTACATATCACAAGAGGGATCGCATGAGGCGCCAGTTGCTGCAATTAAATTACAGGTTCCTTACTTTTATTGGTCTAAGATCCGGCTTCAAGATTAGTGCGCTCATCGGTTATTTGCTAAAAACCAAATTTTTATGTATATTTATAATTAGGAGAATGTATATCTATCAAGTTGCCTTTCAAAATTTGGCCTAGCGGCCAGGTGGGCAACGGCACCTGTGATTTTTAAAAATCTTTATGTAAATTGCCGTGTTGTAGACGATATTTTATTTAAATAACAAGTGAACGAAATATTTTCCCAAAAATGAGTTCATAATAATTTAATTAAAAATACTAGCGGCCAAATTTTGATAGGCAACTTGGTAGATACATAGGCTGCACTAAAAGTATCGGGAATGCCGATGAGCGCACTAATCCTGCAGCCGGATCTCGTACTATATGTTTTTACATAAAATAACTATAAATCGAGTTCGAAGAAACGTCCTCGTTTAACGGCCGTATATAAACGGGTTATGCGACTTCGCACGTACCTCATAATAGCGGGCGTCGAGATCGGATCTGAGCGTCAATCTCGAGTCGGGCGATCTATCCGTGGCTGTGCCCTTCGACCTCTTCGCGTCTTCTCGTTTCTGAAAACCATTAGAAACTGATAACATCGGCTCCAGGCGATGCTTCAGCTGCAGCTTTGCGGTCACTCACTTGCGCCTAGTCTCACGTCGCCTCTTCAGCTATTGCTTTCGTTTTGGTTAGAAACGTCGCGTATTAATTATTGTAATCGAAAAAGTACAACACGCTGAGGCAGCGCCGAGGAATTACAGAAAATGAGAGACGTCGTAAAATCTAAGACTGAAACGAGCAAATCTCTCAAACCTGCAAAATTAGTTTCAAAGACTGTGTCTTTTTCGGAGATAACTAAAGGCCCCAAAAGTCAATCCCCGACAGCAAAATGAGACACCTAACTCAGGTGTGGATGAAAAGTTTAATAACATACTCGTACTTTCATTATTGACATCCTTTGAAGAAAGACTTAAAAACACTAGAAAGCGGCACCAAAATAGCATTTTCTAAACGTCTTAAGCAATAATGTCTTGGAATGCCAATGGGCGTTTCAAACCTGAAAGAGAACTTCATATCTTTCTAAAACATGAAAACATTGACATCTGCTTGATATTTGAAACACATTATACCAGGGAGTCATACATTCAACTTAAAGGTTGTTGTACACATCACGAGGTCTTTAAAATATATGAAAAAGAACATATTCAGGCTGTGGCTGCGAGCGTAACAACGAAGCGGTATCCATTAAGGATATCATCTATTTACTGCCCACCAAGACATGCATTTAAGTAAGACCGCTACAAAACCCTTCTAGAAGTACAGAGTACTCTTTATAACGTAATTCGTTACAAAACTCTATATATCTATACTCTTATAAAAGTATAAAACTCAACGTAAAAGGGACTTAAATTTATTTGGTTCAACCCAATACCCATACATTAATACTTCCCTCCCTATAACGAAACCTCTATAACGAATAAAAATGCTCGGTTCCTTAAAATTCGTTATGGCTTTAATGCAAAACATTAACAGTTTTTAATCTTGTAATTTATTTTATAAATTAAAAACGGCTAAAGGGAATGAAATTAAATGAATTAACTGTTTAATGCTATGAAAGATTAAAGTTGTGATGCGATTTCGACAGGAAAGTCTAAAATAAAATACCAGATCTTATAGATTTCTGCATATTAAGGAAGGTATCACCAAATGTTCTCCGAATAGAGGAAGCGTATATTGATAACGTCATAGTGCCTACAGAACAGAGTGTCTCCTTAATAGAGACAAAGTAGTGTTATTGGACACTTTCTTATGTTAAATATCATTTTTAGTAAATTAGGTTAGTTTTAGTTATTAGTCTTAAGTTAGGCTAAATCCTAATGATCCACGATGTCTCAGTGAAGATATGTATTTGAAACAACTCACTTGCGCCTCGCAAACGTCCAGCACTCGTCTCCAGTCGGCGTCGAGCGACGTCGACCCGTCGCCGCCAGGGCTCCCGTTCGACAGGGAATCGACCAGATTTTGTAAATGTTTAACCTCCTGGGTGAACCGGTTGACGGAGCCGGGGTCCGAGAAGAGATTCCCTTCGGCGGGTCGCACCGTCGGCTCCTCCTCCTCCGGCGCGGGACTCGGAGCGACCCTCGGAGCGATCGCAGGCTTGAGGATCCGGGCGCTCTCCGGGATCCGGGGGACGTTTATTTCGGGAGTCAACGGTTTTCGGTCGACGCTGAAATCTATGTCGGAGAGCAGATCGAAGGCGGTCGGTTCCCCCCCCTCCGCGGGGGCGGAGGGAGGGAGCGGCTCGCTCGCGATCTCGCCAGCCGCCGCTGGAAGAGGAACGGATAAATAAAATACGCTCAACGTTTCGCATCCGTTTATTACGCTTTCACAATACACAGTCGTATGACTCGCGACGCGATTTCGAGGTTTAATCCGACAGATTGACGATCTTACCTTGCGGAGCGGGCGCGACCTGGGCGTCGACAGACGGAGCCGGGCCGCAGAAGTGGCGTCCCGGGTCCGGCGCGGTCTCCTGCGGGGTTTCGGCCGGGGACTGCACCGTGTCGTAGTGTCCGGCGCTGGTGTACACGCCGCCGATCTCCCGACTCGCGTTCGCCGCGTCTCTCTGGGGTTCGAGGTCGGCCGGTCGCTCGTAGGCGAAATAGGAGTTCTGGGAGCCGTAGCTGTAGTCGTAGTTTCCGGTGGCGACGTTGTACGTGTACCCGGGATGGTTCTGGTAGCTCTGCGCCCCGTACCCGTACTGCGCCCCGTACCCCTGGCCCGCCGCCGCGTTCGGAGTTTGGGAAACCGGATCCGGAACGTAGTCGAGCGTCACGTAACTCGGCATCGGCCCGGCGGACAGGGCCTCCCCCTTGGCGTGGGATCTTATAGGTCTGTCTAGTTCGTCGAACCGAGCCAGAGCGGGGTCGACCCCGGAGGTTGGAACGTCGTAGGGGCCCGGCGTCCGCACCTCGGAGCCGTAGGCGCCCGGAGCGAATCCGCTCGAAACGCTAAGATTCACGTTCAGATTGGGATCGGAGCCGTCGGCCCAGCGGGGCGTCTGATCGCCGGCGGTGAAAGAGTTGGAGTCGTAGTACAGAACGTTCGCCCCCGTCTCGGGAGGGGCGGCGTAGGACTGGAACGCGAGAGGGACCGGGTCCGACACGGTCGAGTACGCGCTCGACGAGGTCGGCGGAGCTCGGGAGTCGGCGAAGGGGTCGGCTCGCTCGATCCGCGCGTAGGGGTAGTTGAGAGCGTGAGGCGCGTGCGCCGTGCTGCTCGTGTGGATATCCTGCGGCGCCCGACTGTACGTGGCGACGTCGCAGCTGCTGGCCGGGTACTGCACGCTGAAGTACGTCTGCGCGTACTCGCCGCCCACGTGCATCCGCGCCACGTCGGAGCTCAGGTCGAAGGTCGCGTCGACCGACGGCGTCGGGCCCGCGGGGGCGAACGGGCGGTAGAGCATCTCCGGCGCCGGAACCGAGAACTGTCGCGAGGAGCCGTAGAGATTGTAGTTTTGGACATCGTCGGGTCCGTCGGTGGGATTCCCGTACTTGTACGGGTAGGCGTCGACATCGGAGGGCACGTAGGGGGGCGGACACTGGGCGTAGGCCCCCGACGACACGCCGTCCGGGAGACCCCCGACGAGGCCGACGTCCGTGGCTGAGGAGAAAACCGAAAAAGTTTATAATTTTAGTTCGCACACACAGTTAACATCAGAAGCGAAATAAGATAGCCAACAGATTTAACACAGACTGAAACGAGTCCACGGTTACCTTCGGAGCCGAGGGGCGCGGGGCGGACGGCCGAGGGGCAGAAGAATTCGGGCGACGAAGCGGGCTGCGGCTGCGAGGGACCTAAGGGTAACATGATTATTTGGGTCGATCGAATGGATATAACAGTCGTTTTACATTCTCTAAAATAAAAAAAACTGAAATTGAAATTATTGACGTGACAACGTCTTATAATTCGATGGAGCCGGCTGCGCGCACGAAAAAACATGACGCAAGCGGCGTTATCTCGCTCTGAGGGGTTTCATTTAAGGCTTGAAGTGCAAGCGAGAGCGCGGAACGAGCGACAAAGAGGCACAATCGGCATCCGCGTTGGGCAGCGTTCGTTCGTTAAAAAATTTACATAATTGTATTTATGCGTACAAATAAATATAACTTGATCAATTCAATTCTGATTTCCATTTACCTCCTTCTCTATATCTATCAAACAAATAAAATTAAAATGTATTACTTATGACGTTGTCACGTTCAACTATCGTCAGTAAACCGACTTTACAGATAACCGATTTTCTTTTTTATTTATAAATTTAATAATATTTTTCCACTTATTAAAAATGAATGTTTGCGAAGGTTGCAAGTCAACGCTTTCAGAAATTGAAAGCATGCGTATGTGCGTTCATCTATTTCACTATTCCTGGGTAAATATTAATTTAATTAAATTAAAATTAAAGTTTGAGAAACATTCTAAGAACGCTAAAACTTCCTGGAAATTCCCAGCTTGTAAAAATGCTACAAAAAAAAAGCTAACCGGTTATGATGAAGAACGGCACAACTCACCGGTGGAGCAGGATGAAGAGCATTTATTAATAGAAGCGAACTTTAAGCAATCCTAATAGCAGAAATGCCTACAATTTTGCGCGATTTGACTTAATAGTCGTCTGAAATATTAGGTTGGGGAAAAAGTCTTTTCGCATTATAGTATTGTTACGAAGACGGGTCGACTACAATGTTTCTAGATTATTCCAATTTACAGAATGTTACCCTAGTTTTCAGGAGGGTAACAGTGTTGAATACCACCGCACTTTTTTGACGATACTAATTATCTAGGAGTGTCCGGGGACCTTCATTGGAACACCTCCAAGTGAGTTTTGCTCCGGAAACGCGTCTAAATATTTTTATAAAAAATTTAAAGTTTTGTGTAATGTATTAAAATTTGTAAACAATCTGCCATTTTCTACTTTTCTATTGGTTATAAGTGATATCACTTAAAAAAATCGTGTTTTTTAATTTATCGATTGTTAGTAATCGTTTTATTTATTTATCGATTATTTCCTCATTTTTTTGAAATTATCGATACCTACTCGTCTGTATTTCCTAATATATTAAATAAAAATATATAAATATTCATATACTAACTCTAACCTAACCAATCTAAATAATATTTTTTTTTGTGGACAGCTCCGATCTAAATAGTAATTGTTTATTCAAGCCTCGGCTTCTCGGCGTCCTGGTCGCCTTCGGCGACCAAATATTCATATACTAACTCTAACCTAACCAATCTAAATAATATATTTTTTTGTGGACAGCTCCGATCTAAATAGTAATTGTTTATTCAAGCCTCGGCTTCTCGGCGTCCTGGTCGCCTTCGGCGACCAAATATTCATATACTAACTCTAACCTAACCAATCTAAATAATATTTTTTTTTTGTGGACAGCTCCGATCTAAATAGTAATTGTTTATTCAAGCCTCGGCTTCTCGGCGTCCTGGTCGCCTTCGGCGACCAAATATTCATATACTAACTCTAACCTAACCAATCTAAATAATATTTGTTTTTGTGGACAGCTCCGGCGCTACGGGAAATGCAGCCCCTCCACCCTTGCGTACCAAGGGGGCTGCTCTTCCTCCGCGCCTCCGATTATTTATATACACTCTAGGGGTAAGACAGACAAGACCACGTGGATAGTGGGGTGCTCTGATTCGGTTTTGGGTACTTTTTGGATATTAAAGTAAACACTTTATTCTAGTAAAAAATTAAATAATATAGAAAGTTGCAAACAATGAAATACAAGTACTAATTAGGAAATACAGACGAGTAGGTATCGATAATTTCAAAAAATTTCGGAACCCTATAATCTATCAACACGAAATTAGGTTAATTTCAATGTTGATTATTCTATAACTTTAAATTTCAAAAATGAGGAAATAATCGATAAATAAATAAAACGATTATTAACAATCGATAAATTAAAAACACGATTTTTTTAAGTGAACGTCACATCACTTATAACCAATAGAAAAGTAGAAAATGGCGGATTGTTTACAAATTTTAATACATTACACAAAACTTTAAATTTTTTATAAAAATATTTAGACGCGTTTCCGGAGCAAAACTCACTTGGAGGTGTTCCAATGAAGGTCCCCGGACACTCCTAGATAATTAGTATCGTCAAAAAAGTGCGGTGGTATTGAACACCCAACCCTTCAGGAGGCTGAAACATTTTTTCAGGCCGTTTCAGAAGAAGTGTAGTCGAGTAGTACACTTTTCAGGAGAAGAGACGGAATATCGGAACCTTCTCGAAGCTAGACCGAGCACTAGAACACCGTACGACAAGGACGGAGCAATGTGCGAGAGAGATAGCGAGTACGCACGTTCTAGAATTGTGCGATCGCTACTTAATAGCGCTCCCGCCTAGAGAGTTCTCGAACTTGCAAGACTATTCCCAGGGATATATAAGCGAGCCGAAACGCGATCAGTTAGTTCAGTTTTGAATGCGATATCAAGAGATAAACACCGAAGTGACAAAGTGCGAATATAGTGAAGACAAGTGATAAAGTACTGTGTGAAGTGCGTGTTATTAAAGTAACAGTATTTTGTGCGTCATTTCCAGTTTTAAGTGTAAACAAATTCCTCGTAGATTTAATTGAAAAGAAACCCTTGGAAGAAATCTACGGCGTTTTCTATCCGATCCCCTAGCTCAGTGGTTCCCAACCTTTTTAATATTGTTACCCCTGTGAACTATGTATAAAACTGATTTTACCCCGCTTTCAAAATGATTTCAAAACAAACAATACAAGTAAATACAAACATCTTTATTGATCATAAATTGCACAACAGTCTTACAATTTTAACGTATTCATACGTATAAACTATGGATTACTAATACTCAGTTACATTTACTAGTAGTGACTACTACTCCTACCTAACATAAAAAACTAGTGAATGTTGGCTCAGTGTGAAGGTTGGTATTGTTTTGCATTAACAAGTTTTTTAATGTTAGTTTCACTTAAAGCGCATCTCAAGTCATGTTCCACATTGAGACGATTTCTGGCCTTTGTTTTCAGTGTTACTAAAGTAGAAAACCCACTCTCACACCTGTAGGTGGTGGCAAATGGTATTAGCATTTTTAAAGCTCTGTTAGATAAAAACAGGATACTCGGCACCTGTTTTGATCCAAAATGTGCTGAGATCATAATTCTGAAATTCTACTTTCAAAGTACTATTCTCGCGTAATCCAAGAAATTCCACTTTTGCCGCCACATCCTCGTCTCGAATAATATCATCATCAGTAGAAAACGTTGCGTTGGTAAAGTTCCAATTTACGCACAAAACTAGCAACTTTATCCTGCGCTGTTAAAATATTCGTCATATTTCCTTGCAATGAGAGATTAAGACCGTTAATTTCACTGAAAAAATCAGCAAGATACGCCAGCATTTCAACGAATATTTTATCTTTTATTTTTGAGAAAAACTCTTTCTCTTTTGTGTTCTCTGTTTTTCCAAAAATAATCCTATTTCTTCACGAAGCTCGTACACCCTGTTCAAAACTTTTCCTCGAGATAACCAACGTACCTCTGTGTGGTACAAAAGAGAATTAAATTTTGCACCAACTTCATCGCATAAAACTTTGAAGATCCTCGAGTTTGTAGCACTGCCACGAATATGGTTTACAATTTTCACTACGTCATTCAACGTGCTAAGCAAATCTGGTGGAAGCGTCTTAACGGCCAAAGCGTAGCGGTGTATTAGACAATGATAAGGTAAAATTTGGGGAGCAACTTGTTTCACAAGTGCTTGAAATCCAGAACGAACACCCATCATGGAAGGCGCCCCATCTGTACAAACGCCAACCAGCTTTGACCAGTCCAGTCCGTTATCCTCAATAAATTGTTTTAGCGATTGAAATACGTCTTCGCCACGTGTAGTGGTGGGCAAAGACTTGCAAAACAGGTATTCCTCTTTTACATGGTCATTTTTGATATAACGAGTAAATAACAGCAATTGTGAACACGAAGCTACATCCGTAGACTCATCTAATTGCAGCGCAAACATATCACTTTCTTTAATTTCATCAATAACGGTTGCCAAAATATCGTTACTCATGTCTGAAATGCGTTTTTGAACTGTTGTGTTTGAGAGTGATATTTGTTTTATCTTAGCCACATGTTGTTCGCCAATAACGAGCGATACTGCATCACACAAACAAGGTTTGGTAAGATCCTCTCCAATAGTATGCGGTTTTTTGTTCATAGCAATACGATAAGAAATTCGAAATGAAGCTTCAAGACACGACTCGTTTGGCTTTTGCATATTTCCTGTGGAATCCATTCGCGAAGATTTCAGAACGCTCTCTTTTTCTCTCTAAAAAATTGTAAATCTTTACCTATAAACTCTTTGTGAACTTTCTCGAAATGTTCTTTTAATTTACTCGGTTTCATGCTCTCTGGATTAAGCACTTTATTACATAAAACACACTGAGGCTTTTCTATATTTCTGTCCACAATATTCGTAAAACCCCATTGTAGAAATGCTTCTTTATATGAGCGCTTTTTTCCGGATGTAGAAGCCATGACAACTAAAACAATCATAAAAAATGTTACAGATAATAGAGAAGTACATTAACGTAAAGATACCACGTACCATTCGTACGTACCTACGTACCAGCATCATTGTCACAAAACATACACAAACGTAAAACAAAAGTAAGTGGTTTAGAGCCCGATAAATAGTAATAAAATATAATTGATAAAAAATAGCATTGTTTGTTGGTACTTACCTTCAAACACAGATTAGAATTAGGTATTTTGTTTCCTACGTAGGTAGGTATGCAATGCGAAACAATCGAAACGCGTTCGTCCACTCAAGCTCAAACACTGCTACTACACTACAAGGCACGCGAAGCAAGCGGAGGCGGCGGCGCGGGCGCGGGCGCCCCTCCCTCACCGCCCGCTTGCATCATGGCGAACCGACGAACGAGTGCTAGAACGAGCACATTTTTGTCACGTGCGGTACTGCGCAGCGCTCTGTAACTTTTATGTTTTTTTTTCTTTCTGATAATTAGGTTCTTTGTTACCCCCGTGAAATAGCTGATTTACCCCCTGTGGGGGGTAATTACCCCCAGGTTAGGAACCGATCCCCTAGCTCGTAACAGTATGTATGAACTTGTAATAAAATCTTTGGCTATACTATATGTATCTGGCTGGTTTAGTTATGAAGGAAAGTTGAGATTTTAAAGAAGATAATTACAAAATCAAATTAGGATAATGTCTGTTTTTTATTTATTTTTCGTACCATCAAGATGAGTGAATCGAATGAAGAAATTCGATACATTTTAAAATTTTACTATAAAAAAGGTCAAAATGCAACACAAGCCGCGAAAAAAAATTGCGATGTTAATATGGCCCTAGCGCAGTGTCTGTGAGAGTAGCACAAATTTGGTTTAAGCGTTTTCAATCCGGAAATGTTGATGTCAAAGATCCAAGTCGCTCTGGTCGCCCTATGACGGATAAAATGGATGCCATTTTTGATAAAGTGGAGCAAGATCGGCATATCAGTAGTTACGACGTAGCTGAAGAATGGGGAATATACCACAAAACAGTTTTGGCGCATTTGAAACAAAACTGGGTACACAAAAAAGCTCAATATTTGGGTACCTCACGAGCTCACTGTAAGAAACCTAATGAACCGTGTACTCATTTTTGATTCTTTATTACGACTTAATGGATTCGAACCATTTTAGAAGAAGCTGATAACTGATGATGAAAAGTGGATCACGTATGACAAGAACATGCGAAAAAGGTCGTGGTCAAAGGCCGGTCAGGCTTCACAGACTGTGGCGAAACCCGGGATAACTCGCAACAAGGTGATGCTGTGTGTGTGGTGGGATTGGAAGGGCATTATTCATTATGAGCTGTTACCACCAGGCAGGACCATCGATTCTGAACTCTACTGCGAACAACATTAACAGAAGTTGAGAGAAAGCGGCTGGAATTAATCACCAGAAGGGGTGTGGTTTTTCATCATGATAACGCTAGACCTCACACATCTTTAGCCACTCAGCAAAAAATAAGAGAGCTTGGCTGGGAGGTGTTAATGCATCCGACGTATAGTCCTGACCTTGCACCTTCAGATTTCCACCTGTTTCAGTCTCTTCAGAATTCTTTAGGCAGTGTCAGGTTAACATCACAAGAGGACTGCCAAAACCAATTGTCGCGGTATTTTGATCAGAAGCCCCAATATTTTTATAGCAATAGGATCATGTCCCTACCTAAATGATGGCAAAAAGTTATCGAACAAAATGGTACCTACTAAAAATGTTTTGAATTTTCTCAAAAGATGCGAAGAAACTTTTTCCCCAACCTATTATAACCGCTAAGGAGGAAATGGCGTCTCTCAAGGAAGCTGTGCAATTCGCAAGAACAAGATATAAGAAATTAAAAAATTGTTAGTGACGAATTCTTTACTCGAGGGAAAAGTGAGTGACTTGTAAGTGAGGCTGTCTAACCTTGAACAACACTCAAGGGAGTCATGGCTTGCCAGAACTCAAAAATGAACCCACAAACTTTATTTTCAATAAATCGCTAGAACTGGACACGTTTCCTACGATGTGAAAGAAAGCTAGAATCATACCGATATTTAAAAAGGGTGAGACAAATATTGTTAAAAACTACAGACCGATTTATATTTTAAATACATTTTCTAAGATTTTTGAATCGCTTCTAGAATGCTATGCTTTATAAAGTGTTTTAAAAATGTAAAGTAAAATCATACTATTGTGCCTACAAGATTAATATAAATGCATCAATGTTTTAATATAGTTTAGTATTGTACCAACACTCATATTAAATAGTCGTGTCTTGAAGAGCCTCGTTTCATTACAATACTCTGTACCTTATAAGGACATACCAATATCAAATGAGGTACTACACTATTCAATTCTCTGGTCCGTAGCATTTTGGAATATGGTAGAGTTGTTTGGAACCCTCAATATTCTGTCCATGCTGACAGAATCGAATAAAAGACAGGCATTCTTTCACTCGCAATCACTCCGCGATAGACGCCGCCTGATCGACACTATCTTTGTATACAAAATTTTAAATAACTTGGTAGATTTACAAAATATTTTAATTAAAGTGAACTTCCTCTTAAAGAGGAACACAAGAAACAATCCTTTTTAACGGGCCAGCGTCGGATGTAATGCTTCTCTAAACAGATCTCTATCTGCATTAGGCCGTGTACAGATGACAAAAATTTGACGCGCGCAAATCACGCAACTAGACAATGTGTTATTTTCATACAATTGTTCACATGAGCGCACGTTAACGCGGCGCTCAGAGAAAAAGTCTCTAGACGCAGGTGACCGCGCGTTGCCTGGCGCTTTGACATGTATGTAACGTCGGTAGTCTATTCAGTTGAGAAAAAGTCTTCCACTTCTATTTTTTAAGCTCTGTCGAAACAGACTGACGAGCTCTCACAATTTGCAACGCGCGTTAGCGCTTGTCATTTGAATTTTTAGTAAAATTCATATTTATTATGATCGCGCGTTGACCTGCGTTAACGCGCGTTACATGTGAACTTAGCCTTAAACAACGCTCTGAGTGCATGCGAAGCAGATCCATTTAGTGACAGTCTCCATGTCTTCAGGCGTAAGATGCTGCAGCCAATGTTGATCCGTCACCAATAGTGACAATTGCAAAGTAGAAATATATTTAATTTTTAAATTGCACATTTGTATTTCTTTTTCTAGTTTATCTTTTATTTTTAATGTATAAGTTATTTTCTCTTTATCATTGTGTCCATCTAAATGTTGTGCACACTCGTCATTGATGCACAATTGCACATGCATGTATTGTTTTTGTGTGTCGTGTCTAATCTGTAAGTGTTTGTATGTGTTGCGTTAGCCTATTAAAATAAATAAAATAAAATAAAAATAGCCGTTTAGGGGTTTCACTGGGGGACTACCTTGTGGCGGGACCGTCCTGGACGACGTCCTGTTCTTCATGTAGGGCAGATAGTCTTTGAGCTTGGGCGCAGCCGAGGGAGCGGGAGCGGGAGCTGCGGCGGCGGCGGCGACCGGGGCGGGGGCGGCTTCGCCGAGTTGGGCTCGCTCTTCACGCTGCACCTGACAAACGGAGCGGGCCCGCGCGAGCAGCGCCGTCACGTTGTGTTGGAGCTTGCGGTAGAACTCCAGCCCCTTGGTCGACTTGTTGACGAGCTCGCCGAAGCTGTCGTACGACGTTATCAGACCTGCGAAAGACGCGGTCTACGGTGAGAGCGATCGGCGCGGGCGGGGGAGAGGTGGGGAGGGAGGGGGACGGCGTTACCGTTGAGCGTGGCGTCTCGCTTGCGCAGCACGTCGGCCAGCAGGCGCCGCGAGTCCCCGTACGCGGCGTACAGCGAGGTCAGGCGGTTGATGACGTTCTCCTGAGCCGCCAAATTCTGTTCGATTATCTTGACCCGGGGCGTGTGCTTCTCGATCTCGAGGTCGAAGAGGCGGTCGCGGTCGCTCGCGGGGTCGGCCAGCAGTCGAGGCGTCACGTCGTCGGCGGCGAGCGCGACGCGCAGCTCGTCCAGCAGGGCGTGGCGCTGCGCGCGCATTTCGTGCGCCTTGGCGAGCACCCGGCGCATCTCGCGCATCGCGTCGCGGTCCGGGGCGGGCAACCGCGCGACGCCGGGCAGCGCGCCCAGCAGCTCGGACAGCGGACGAGCCAGCGATTGCAGGTTGGCGATGTGCAGCGTCATGGCCTTGTGCAGCACGGCGTTGCTGTCGGCGGTGCGCGCGTGCGCCTCGCGGTACTTGTGCAGCTCCCTGGCCAGCTCCGTCTGCACCAGCGACGGCGGCCGCGGGCCCATCGCCTTCTGGTACCGCTTCTCCGCCTCGTTCTCCTCCTGCCCGGTGGAAACGTTCGTCGTTGTATTAGGCTGCAAACGGAGGGACGCGACGCGTTCTCGCGAGTCGTCGAAGGCACGGTACCTGTATGACGGCTTCGATGTCCGCGAGCGCGTGCTCGACGTCGGTGATGAGTTCGGCGAGAGCGTTCATGGAGCCGGCGAGGGTGGTGATCATGTCCGTGTTGGCGTTCATGGCCGCACATCGGTCCACGACCTCCTGCGGAATCCTGCCCGACCGCATTTATTTATTTTTATTTATTTATACTTCGTGCAGAGCACAAATCTGCAATAAATCTAAAAGCGAGGAGGAAAATAAGCGAGGATAAGTATGTCTCTTCCGGGCGACCCGTGCTAAAAGAGAACACATATATCTCTATATCATAAAAATGTTCTGGGAGGCAAACCAAGGGAAATATATGGCTATATAGCTACGTATGTTTATCTTTCCTATTTTTGTTATGTAATGTTTTAAATGTTTTATATAAATACTCATATGCACTCCCACCTTAATGACAACACGGTCAACAAGATAAAACATTTCTGATATTAGGAAAACCAGATAGAGCCACAATATTAAACAAACCACTGACATATGTATGGATTGCTATTATTATTATTATTATAACCAGCTGCCTGATTTATGCTTTAAAGGTTGCATTTATTGCATTTTAAAAATCTTTAAAATAAATTGTTTGGGTTGCTTTGATACAAACATTTAAAATCTTTCCTCTTCCTAATAATAGGAACAACAACATTCCTAGACTTAAATGATATAAAAAACAAAAAGAATAACAAGAGTCAACACCCTAATCGTGTGATATCGTCAAGATAAGGCGATAATAGCTCTTTGACAGAACAAAGAGAAAATAAATATAACTTTTCTTATGGATTGATATATGTCTAATGACTTCACGGATGGTGGCTTATAATGAAGTATGTATGGGGATTAAGTGAGTACTGACTTTTGGTCGTCATCGTCCAGACGGTCCAGCTGATCGAGCTGAAGCGACGACAGGAACTCCGTGAGCTCTAGATCCTTGGCGTCGGCCTGGGCTCCCACTTGCCTCAGAAGCTGCGCCTTCCGCTCCGAGTACAGCGAGGCCGCCTCGTGCGCGCCCAGAGGCACCAGCCGAGCGAACACATCGGTGCCCGCCACCTGCGCCCGAAAGACAACATTAAAGACCCACAAAACACATGCATTGATAAAAGACAAATTTAACCTACAGTTACAGAACCTCACCTCGGGGTCGTTGAAATCAATCGCTACAGCTTTTACTAAGCACACAGGCTTCATTTCAGTTAGCATATCTTGTTCGGGAACTTCTTCATGGTATATAAACTCATTTTCGTTCTTGGCGGCTTTTCGTTTGCCCTCAACTATGTCGTTTGTGAAGGTGAGACCTTCTTGGGTCACTTGCACTGGTTCTATGTATTTTGCTAACTTTCGAGCTTCATTCAATTTATCGACAGCCAGCTGGTAGCAAGCGACACGCTCACCCATTTTCTGCTGTTCTTCAGCACTTATTCCTATCAGAAAACAAACAACTCATGCATATTCATTAACTTTCACACATTCAATAAGTTAGAAAGAAGAACTAAAAATTTTACCTTGATATAACAAAACAATGCAACCAATGTAGGAGGCCTTAAAGGACAAGTGGCGATACCAGTTGTTGTATAATTTGGTGCCGATTATCTCATGGATGTTATCTGTCCCTGTCGAGGGACCCAGTATAGCCATTGAGTTTTTGTAAAAATGTAAAACCTGTGTTGCTACTGAACCTGTAAAGATTAGAAAATGTATTATTTAATGTGTGTCTGAATTGCAATACTTTATTCTACCACCAAAGTGTACTAATCATACCGATAACACTAGGTTTCCTCGTATCCTGTCTGCTTTTGTCCAATATACACTCTTGAGCTTGTGCAAAACATATCTCTTGTAATAATTTAAGAATCTCTGAAGACACATCTGCCCCAGATGGTTGAGGGTATTGTTCTCTTAAGTACTGGAAAGCCCATGCGGCATTTTGAAAATGCTGACATGCAACTTTCAGACTGTCTGCCGATGTACGTGTTTCAAATGATGCTAGTTGAGTATGAAGAGCCCCTATGTTATACAGAATGCATGCCATCTCAAATCGCAAGTCTGCCAATGAACAATTCATATTTGCATATAGATCCTTCCTGCAATATACAAACATCTCAATTGTTACAACCAATATAAAACAGATGGCTAGCCATTATTGGTTGTCTGTATCTTAGTGACATTTCATTAAATGAATATTACCAAACAAACATGCAAGCAGCAGGTTGTCCTTTAGCCATCGGAAATCGACTCTGCATAGCACGCAGTTGACAAAAGTATCTGTTTAAAGCTTTGAGTCCTGCAGAATCAACCGTCGGCCGTACAGCAGCAGATCGCAAGCCTTCTAACTGATGCATTTCGTTCGCATAACTTTCAGGATCCTCTCGATACACCTCTGCTATATACTAGAATAAAAAATAATTTATTGTAGTAAGAATACTTTTAACTTTTATATACATTTAACGACATAAAAGATTTTATACTTAAGACTTACTTGTTTTAGTTTTGGCCCAAAATGCGTACTTTCTGGGCTAACCTTTAGCTCAAAACTTATAAAAGCAAATTTTGGTACTGCCTCCATATTTGTATCTCTAGCGAAATTTAACAAATTCACAATTTATTTAATATTTGCATGATTCATTATAATTTTGTTATTTGTAATTTGTATGGCTTTTTCGCTTTTGTAATCTTTCTGTCACTATGACAATTGATAATTGAATGATAGTAATTGAAAGTTATTTGACAGAAGATGACCACTAAAAAAAACATATTTTAAATTTTTAGGTATTGCCTTCAAATATGTCGGTACTCGATGTATCTACAACTTTACTGATTCTAGATCAAATTAATACCTAGCTAAAATAGCAAGATGGTTTTGGGCATTTTGAGTATTGTTAATAATAATTATTAACAATACTGTGTACACAATTATTGTGTAATCTTCTTAGTCTGTACTCTGTAGCACAATTTAGGTAAAATGAATGTATTCTGTAACCTCTCAAACTTAAGTGTCAACGATGGAAAAATGTTTTAAGTCTCATTAGTCATTTTTTTGTAAACTGAAATGGAAATTCATAATATTAAATAACAATAATTGTGAGATTTATCAATTATTCGATTTCAATTATTTAATTGTTCAGTAGATTAGTAAAGGCTTACATCTCAGATTAATTATAGGTCTACCAGGATCTGATGGCAAAGGGGAAAAAGGGGGGCCCCCGGCCAGGGGGGGGGGGGGGGGGGTTTTTTTTTTTTTTTTTTTTTTTTTTGGGGGGGTTTGTGTGTGTTTTTTTTAAAAAAAAAAAAATTTTTTTTTTTTTTTTTTTTTTTTTGGGGGGGGGGGGGGGGGGGGGTTTTTTTAACCCCCCCCCCCCCCTTTTTTTTTTCCCCCCCCCCCCCCCCCCCCCCCCCCCCCCCCCCCCCCTTTTTTTTTTTTTTTTTCCCCCCCCCCCCCCAATTAACTAATTTAGAACCAAGTCGCTGGCGCTGTCTGTGTGATTTTTATAAACTCGCTAACTAAGAATGCGGTTTACGCAAAAATTCTCCAAGACGAAGGCTAGTCACGTTGGTGATTCTTAAAATTGTAAGAAATTGCGCGGAATTAAATATTTATTATTAACTAGTAAATTTTAAACACCGAGTTTTACTATTCTGTAAAATGATCAATTATAAGAACATAACATGAACTAAAAAAGCCATATAATTACTAATCTAAGTTAATGAAAACTATTTGTTTTTTTAATGAATTGTCTCTAGACTGAGACAGAATCTAGCCTAAATTAAGACAAATATAACCAAGTAAGCCATATTTAAGATATTCTTGTAATGTTGTCATGACATACCTGGAAACATTAACTATTCCCCTGAGCACAATTTTGTCATTATTGTATTATTTGAATGGAGCTCTTACCGGTACAGCCCCATAGCTGTCCATACAGGCATCAGGTCTTGTTTGTTTGTAGAGGATTTGTTCCCTATAGGAAGCCTTTCCGCTACTGAACTTCAAAATTGTTCAACGAAACAAAACTTTTCACTGTTAGACAATTATATATGCAGACTTTTGGAAACAAACACCCGCCACACCACATCAAACACAATACAAACCTAGGTGTAGTGTATTGACTAAATAAAGTGTTACTTGGTTGTCTCATGCGCCTATGTCACTTGTCAGACAGTCAGTCGTAATCCGACATCCGAACGGAGCGGTTGTGTGTAGGACGTTTGTACAAGTGTTGTGGTGTTGGTGAGCCGTAAATCACTCCAAGAAGCAGGACATTACATGTGGCGACGAGGAAAAAAGTTCAGCTAATCTAAACTACGGGTGAGGTCTAAATACGGTGAGGAGAACATCGTGAGGCCACGAAAAGTATTAAAGTAAAAAATTATACTGACGATATATGTCAGGCACAAGGGGCTGATCAACGTCTTATCTATAAAAAATAACTAATTAAAAAATTTATGCAGCATTTCGAGGCCAAGAGCGCAGCACCGCTCAATTGTTTTTTGTTAGATATACCATTACGTAAGTTGTATTAGTGTATATATGTAAAACCCTACAAGATATAAGGATTTCAAAACTGAACCTCATTGAATGTACGATTGTTTTGTAGCACCTACCTACATAGTGATAGAAATATATTGTACGAGTAGACCGGCCAAGCGTTGCTGTGGCTAAGGTTTTTGTTATATTACAAAGTAGTAAACTATTCAAGGGAAACGGTAGGAGAACACCAGTCATGGGGACCACCATGCTTTATGGTGGTTATGCCATTAAATTGTAGAAACGTTGAAAGAATTATATGAAACGTTGGTACTTTTAACACAGCGCCATCTGTTAGAATGGTGACTATTAAATAAGAAACAAATATTTTGAAATAAAATAATATTGCGGGTATAAATTGAGATGTATCCTATCTTTTAAGTTAGATCAAACTGCACACGGTGTGCAAATTTGATTGATATCGGTTCGGTAGTTTAGGAGTCCATAGCGGACAAACAATGTGACCAGTAATTTATATATACTAAGATTATGCTTGTGTTTAGTGATGTTTCTATTTGTCTACAAAAAAAAAAAATAATAATAAAAATAATAGCAAGGTTTATTTACAACCGTTGACCGTTAAATCGGTAGGTACCTGTCTACCTAACTTACGCAGATTTAACAAAGACCATAAATTGGATCTGGTTCACTAAATTAATTAAAACTATGTGGTTGTGATTAATACTGTAAAACAAAAGGGAGTATCTACTCAAAGCAGTTGGAACCCAACTGATCATTAAATTGATACCTGTAAATAAAAAATAAAAGCAGACTAAAAGTCTGATCATTAAATTGATATCTGTAAATAAAAATAAAAGCAGACTAAAAGTCTGATCATTAAATTGATGCCAGTAAATAAAAATAAAAGCAGACTAAAAGTCTGATCATTAAATTGATATCAGTAAATAAAAATAAAAGCAGACTAAAAGTCTGATCATTAAATTGATACCAGTAAATAAAAATAAAAGCAGACTAAAAGTCTGATCATTAAATTGATATCTGTAAATAAAAATAAAAGCAGACTAAAAGTCTGATCATTAAATTGATGCCAGTAAATAAAAATAAAAGCAGACTAAAAGTCTGATCATTAAATTGATACCAGTAAATAAAAATAAAAGCAGACTAAAAGTCTGATCATTAAATTGATACCAGTAAATCAAAATAAAAGCAGACTAAAAGTCTGATCATTAAATTGATATCTGTAAATAAAAATAAAAGCAGACTAAAAGTCTGATCATTAAATTGATATCTGTAAATAAAAATAAAAGCAGACTAAAAGTCTGATCATTAAATTGATACCAGTAAATAAAAATAAAAGCAGATTAAAAGTCTGATCATTAAATTGATACCAGTAAATAAAAACAAAAGCAGATTAAAGGTCTGATCATTAAATTAATACCAGTAAATAAAAACAAAAGCAGATTAAAGGTCTGATCATTAAATTGATACCAGTAAATCAAAATTTAAGCAGACTAAAAGTCTGATCATTAAATTGATATCTGTAAATAAAAATAAAAGCAGATTAAAGGTCTGATCATTAAATTGATACCAGTAAATCAAAATAAAAGCAGACTAAAAGTCTGATCATTAAATTGATATCTGTAAATAAAAATAAAAGCTGATTAAAAGTCTGATCATTAAATTGATACCAGTAAATCAAAATAAAAGCAGATTAAAAGTCTGATCATTAAATTGATATCAGTAAATAAAAATAAAAGCAGATTAAAATTCTGATCATTAAATTGATACCAATAAATAAAATAAAAGCTTTACAATAAAATTATTATTGTACGTTAGTGGGTACTAACTTAGCAGATTAAAAATCTGATAATTCAATTTATACGTTTGTTGGTATGAACAACTTAAGTAGATTTATGCGGATAAAAATATAATCCGATCATTAAATTCATACAGGATCATCTAAGATAAAATCTACAAACTTAGCAGATTCAAAATCTGATAGTTAAATTTATACGTTTGTTGGTATGGACGGCTTAAGTAGCTTTATGCGGATAAAAATATAATCCGATCATTAAATTGACACGAGATGGAAACATCTGAGATCAAATCTAACTGCAGATACATAGATATCTGAATCATTAAATTGATAAATTCCTGGTCGCCCCAAAGATGTCACTCCTTTAATGGAAAAGTTCGACTGTAACGGTAAATCTACCTTAATGGGTGCACGATGGGAGCCATTGTACGAGAAAATTACCCATTGCCGACGATGGACAAGTTTAAAATGAAAAATGCAAAAGTATTTACAATATTGGATATTAAAGATGCATTTCACCAACTTGAATACATAGATCCTGCTTCAAGAAACAACCACCTTTATAACCAGTAAAGGCTTATTAAGATACAAGAGACTCATGTCTGTCATATCATGTAACCGAAAACTGGGGACCAGAACAAAAGGGGTATTTTAAGTCGTTGAAGGAAATCATGACAAATATTCCTAGCTTAGGGTATTATAATGTTAGCGATCGTACGATTGTCATAGCAGATGCTAGTCCTGTGGATCTAGGTGGAGTTTTAGTTCAAACTAATTCCAAAGGTGAGCCCAGGATTATTGCATATGGCCACAAAACTCTGACTGACTGTGAACGCCGCTATTGCCAGACAGAAAAAGAAGCGTTAATTCTCGTGTGGGCGGTGGAACAATTCCACATATTCCTTTATAGTAAAAGATTTGAACTTATAAGAGATCACAAGCCGTTGGAGGTAATATTTGGTCCTAAATCTAAACCATGTGCAGGGATAGAGAGATGGGTTATGCGCTTACAATCGTACGACTATAAAATAGTTTACCAACCAGGGAAAACCAATATCGCCGACTCATTTTCGAGACAAAAAATAAGCAAAAATGCGGAGAAATCCCTGATAAAATTTTAAGACAATCACATTTGTCATGTTGTAGAGTTTGCCCGACCTCGTGCTGTTTCTATTAAAGAAATAATAGATAGCACAATGGACGATACGAAAATATTAATCGTGAAAGAGGGTTTATATCGGAACATATGGAAGTTGTATAAAATCTTACAAAATGAACTTTGTTTTCATGAGGGTATATTATTGAGAGGAATGAGAATTGTGGTTCCCTCGGCACTCCGTAAAAGAGTATTGGATGCAGCTCACGAGGGACATCCCGGTATCGTGTCAATGAAGGCGAGACTTCGTACGAAAGTCTGGTGGCCTAGATGCGACAGAGGCTGATAAAATTGTTAAAGCCTGTAAAGGATGGACTCTAGTATCTGCACCATGTCCACAAAACCCTATAAAACGGCGTGAGTTTCCAGAAGTGCTTTGGATTGATATCGCAATTCATTACAAGTGGTGACCACATATTATAAAGAAGTGAAGATTTGTCGCAAAATTACCTCTACTGAAATTGTAGCCAAACTTAAAGGAATATTCAGTCCATTAGGAAATCAATAACTGCAGATAATAGACGACAGTTTCTCAGCGAAGTGTTTAAATCATTTCTAACAGAAATAAACATTATTATTTTCAACTCAGTACCATATTGGCTGCGACAAAGCGGAGAGGTCGAAAGACAAAACTGTGTCATACTTAAACGTCTTAAAATAAGTATAGCTGAAAATAAAGACTGCAAGGAAAGTTTACTGAAATATTTAACCATGTACAACACATTCTGTTACTGGAAGAACCTCATCAGAACTTTTCTTCAAAAGGAAGTTTAGAGATAAATTACCTATGGTAAACGATACAATAGAGAGGACAGCACAAGACACTAAGGATAAGGATAGAGAAAAAAAAAAAGAAAAAATGGGATAAGAAATCGGATACGATAAACGGAAGGCTGGATAGTGTGATTTAATACCAGGAGACATAGTGTATATAAAAATATGAATAAAGGAAATAAATAAAAATAAAATAAATAAATCCAGAAACAAACACGGTGGAAATCACGAAAGGAGGAGATATCACGGTAAGAAACGATGAAACCGGTCAAACTCGAAGAAGGGACGTTGTACATTTGAAAAGAGTTCAAGGGGAATGGAATGTCTGAAAATAAATGAAGTTAACAACGAGGAAATCAATGTCGGAACTTAACCCTAGTGTAGCTGCATAAAACTTTAATTTCATTAATTATGTTTGATTCATGTAAAATCCATCACATTACATCCAAGTTACATTAATGAGTAATCAGAAAGATATAATCAATAAAAACAAATAAAACAAAAAAGGGATGTAGTGTATTGACTAAATAAAGTGTTACTTGGTTGTCTCATGCGCCTATGTCACTTGTCAGACAGTCAGTCGTAATCCGACATCCGAACGGAGCGGTTGTGTGTAGGACGTTTGTACAAGTGTTGTGGTGTTGGTGAGCCGTAAATCACTCCAAGAAGCAGGACATTACACTAGGTAATATATAAGCACCCCAAAAAACACACTTTCATCTTTAACCACTTCCTTAAAAACAAAATTATCACTAACATTTCAAAACACACATTACATACACTTACTAAAAATCTCAAACAATATCTTGTCAAAAATAGTTTAAATATAAGTTTGTGTTATGTATATATGTATAAATAAATGATTTCTCATAAAGTTAAATAGTTACATGTTAAAAGGAAGGGACTGGCTGCCCACAACACAGGCAATCCTAGTGTGGGGGCGAGTGCACATTACTTTTCCTAAATATCCTGTATATTGTGTATAATAAAGTTTTTTTTTTTCTTTCAGTAAAAATCCTAAATTCCAACTGAGCAATTTTTTATATCCATTTAAATTATAGTTTCTAGGTGTTCTTTAAACTTCAAATTTTGGTATATTACTTGCAGCCCATTTCCCATCAAGCTCATTTAGCTTTTTTTACATTTCTTGCCGCTTCTTTAGAATAGATGGTGGATTATTCAGACGTTAATTGGTTTAAGTAACATTTAATTGGGGCATAAACATCTTTATGTTTTAAAATCTCTTTGCTTAGATGTTTTTCTCTAAGGTAGAGGTGTCATCTCGTGCCAAGGTTTTCTGCAGAATTATCTTGGATATCTGGAGCCGTCTACCGTCTCCTTAGCTAAGATCAAGCCGGCTGGCTTCCGGCCTAATCGCTTTTGTACCGACTTAATTAACGCATGGAATGCGGATGCGTGGCCGTCCCAAGTAAACCTGGCGTCGTACAGCAGATGACGCGACAAGAGCCGGAAAGCCTTGGAGCGAGGTGAAATTCGAATGACTTCCCCATCTAGGCTATATTTCTGCGCTTTTGGGCGATTCTGGCCAAGCATGGCGGTCATCATGCTTTAATATCAAAATAACAGACTATATGCAATAGCGTTCATATAAGAATTGTTTTTTTTATTGAATTACTAACACTAGTCTGAAATAAACTTTTTCTAATACAGATTTCTTCTCCTTTCTATTTAACGACAAATCTTTGTAACGTCAAAATAAGCACAGTACCTTGAGTGTCGTGATATAGAGTTCACGCTGTATTTGAATTATTACGCTTGTAAAACGGCCGTTTCTGTCTGTCATGTCAATTCAATATTCATACATTTGCAGATCGACAACGAGTTGGACAAAATGGAAGACTGGAAAAGTATTGTAACCACTTTGACACACGATGAAGTCGTCGAAGTGACCAAATCATCTCTCTGCACCTTAATAAGTACCGATCCCGTGCTCAGCGATTTGCCTTTAGATGTCATAACAGAGGAAATATTATTACTGGTTTGTATCACTATATGAATAAAACTAAAACCGGGGGAGAGGGAGAAGAAATACATATTTTCTTTTATAAGAGTTTATTAGCCTTATGTAAACCGTCACTCCTTTCGCAGACTGCAGCGGAACACGGAAAGTGTATTACAATATTCATTCGTAGGGAGAATGAACCCCCATTGAGAGTCATAGTAAGTGTTTAACTTTGAGAATATACCAAATAGTCGTAATAGTTAATTTATGGAGATGAACACGCGTCGTTGTCCGTCATCCAGGTGCCGCAAAGCGCTACAGTGAGGGCGTTGAAAAAATCAATTGCGCGTCATTTCGAGCTCTCGCAGCAGCGAAACGGGCCTCAGGTGAAGATCTCTTGGAAATACATTTGGAAGACTTACGACCTCTGTTTCGACGGAATCACATTAGACGACGAGAACGGTCCCATCGACAGTTACGGAGTGAGTAATAAGGAGAGCTTAACGTTCAAAAAGAGAAGTGGGAAAAATAGATAGAATATAATAAATGGACCTTGTGTTTTTCTCTGCGTTTTCATACATTCGTGTGAATCACCTCGATTATTATTGTAAACCCTACGCTCGCTCTTAGAGCTGCTCGAAGTCCGTCTGCGGCGGCGGTTCCTGAGGCAGCGGCTCGAAGTCCCCGAGCGTGTAGTGCTGCTCTTCGTGGCGAGGCGTGGCCAGCGGACCCTCGTAGCGGGGCAGCTCTCGCTCCTGCGGACGCGATTAATTTTAATAGAATATTCTTCTATCTATATTAAATCAACCATGTATTTAAGTTATTTCATTGGATAAGGATTAATGCTGTGTTGGTTAAAATCGCTTCGAAAATTAGCCATTATTTGTCATAAAAAGTAAATGACAAAAAATGTTACTATGGGATATCCATAAGAGATAGACATATACCATCGTGGAGTTTTCTGTAGACCTTTTCAATGTGTACAATACTTCATACATTATTTTGATAAATCTCGTAGGGTTCAACCTGCGTTTGCAATGTAAGCGGAAAAAATTTAATTATTTACGACATCACATTAGAAACCTCAAAAATAACAATTTCTTCACTATTTGATGGATGTTATTATACATATAAACCTTCCTCTTCAATAAATTCTATCTATTTAAAAAAACCGCATCTAAATCCGTTGCGTAGTTTTAAAGATTTAAGCATACATAGGGATATATGGACAGAGAAAGCGACTTTGTTTTATACTATGTAGTGATGTGTGAATAGGTGTAATTAGTAATAAGATAATGTTTTTGAATAATAAATTAGATTTAAATATTGCTCTGCCTTATTCATTTCTCGCTTCCTCTCAAAGTGGCGAAGACTACTTCGAGCCCTTACTATATTCACTATTTATGTGTTAGGGCAGCCCTACGTCTGTAGGGCTTAGAGATCCGTAGGGTCGTTAGGTTCTTACGTCTCACCCTCTCATATATTTAGTCATCTAGTGCAGCTTGCTCATTACATATACAATTCAGATACTCCTGACATTCAATATATATAAATTTTAAACACACATTTTACAGTCCACTGACTAGCAAGCTGTACAATAACTGATACGTTGCCTTTTAATTAGTTCACAAGACGCACTAAAACATATAAAAGTGAGGGCGTAACTAATAAATAAATTTGGCGAAAATGTAATCGAATTCAAATGCGTCGAGCCGCTAGCGAAACCCAAGCGAAACAAAAACGTCAGTGAATCAAATGTGACGATCGCCCGAGTTAAAGTTTACAAAATAAAAAAAATATGTATTAATGATATTTCCCTGGAATCGGATTGTTGGAAAATGTCATCGAGACGTTTTAAACGTTATACCTGGTCCTGCTGCAGGAGCGAGGGCGGGGCGAGGTCGTCCAGCGACAGCTGCGTGTTGATGACGGGCGCCGGCGCGAACTCGGCCATCGGAGACAGGCGGCACTCGGCGGCCCCGTCCTCCTTCGCCTCCCCGTCCTCTCGGGCCTCGGCCTGCTCGCAGAGCGATTCGGTCAAAAGACTCCCCCGGCCGATCCGCTCGCGACGCGTCTCCGGGACACTCACGGGGGAATCCTTGCGGTCGTCTCGGTCGTCCGACGCGACGTTGGCGCGCGCGTCCTCCTCCGAGGCGTAGACCGTCGTGTGGCGCGTGACGAGCAGATGCGTGAGCGCATCGGTGCCGACGGAGCTGGAATAGCCGCAGACGCAGTGCAGCGGACGCGGCGCGGCCCGCGGCGCGTCCTCGAGCGAGTGCGGCCCGGCGCAGAAACCGCTGTGGCGCAGCATGGCGCGGTAGCACGACGTCGCGTACGGGCACTTGCTGCACGACGTCACGCCCAAGAAGTGCCGCTCGGCCTCCAGCGGCGCGTCGCACTCGCGGCACAGGCGGCCCGTCGGCAGCACCAGCGTCAGCCGCTCGAACGTGTCGCCGATCGAGTGGCTCGTCGAGTCCTTCACCGGAGGTCGGGCCTTCGTCTGAAAGGTGAAGGGCGTCGTCGCATCATCGCGTCGTCCCCTCGCCGTCGCGCGTCGGCGGGCGCCGGCGAGAGTAATCCTACCTTGGGTCGGTTGATCAGGTGCTCCTCGGTGCACAGCGGCAGCGCGTCTTCCCGGGATTTGTGGTCGCGTATCTGGTGCTCCTTCAGTCGACCTGTGAAGCGAAAGCGCGGAATTAGCGGACGCGATCGGGGTAGGTCCCGCCTAGCCGTCGTCGTCGAACACGCACCGAGATGCACGAAGCGGAGCACGCAGCGGTTGCAGCGCACCTCGAGAGTCTCCCGGTGGCGGCGAAGGTGGGCCAGAAACAGCACCACGTTGGCGCGCAGCTCGCAGCCGTCCGCGTACACGGGCACGGCCTCTAGACAGAGCGGGCAGAGCAGCGCGGCGGAGCGGCCGTGGGCGGCACGGGCGTGGTCCAGCACGGCGCGGTGGGCGGAGGCGCGGTAGGGGCACGCGGGGCACGCGTAGGGCAGCTCGCGCGGCGCGTGCGTCTTCTGCATGTGCGCCGCCAGCGTCAGCACGGCCGCGAAGCGCACCTCGCAGATGAGGCAGGCGTACGTGAACAGCTCGGGCGACTTGGTGTCGACGGGGTGGCGCCGCCGCAGGTGCTCGGCCAGCTCGTCGGCGGGCATCCGGGTCAGGCAGTAGGCGCACGTCGCGCCCTCGCCGTCCACGGCGTGATCGAACAGGTGCCGCTGCAGCTCCCCGCTCTCGGAGAAACGCTCGTCGCACTCGGGGCACTGCGGAGAGAGACGGGGATCAGCGAGCGCCGCACCCGCGACGCGCGACGGAGGCGCCACTGACCTGCACGGCGATGGCGACGCGGTCGGCGGCGGCGGCCTGCGTCTGGCCGAAGTAGTAGCGCTCGAGCGAGACGGTCTCGTCGGCCTTGAGTTCCTTCTTGATGTTCTTCAGCGGGATGTCGAGCTCGTTGTCGTCCTCGTCGACGTCGAGATAGGACTTGGCCCGCTTGCGTCGGCCTCGGCCGGGCCCGCCGCCGTCCGCCTCCTTGTTCTTTTCCTGCTTTATCTTGTTCCGACGCTGCGCCAGCGGTACCTGAAAAGTACTTTCGCGTTCGTAACGATGACCGGGGGCGCCGACGTGCCGGCGAACGTCACCCACCTCTTCGTCGTCGTCGTCGTCGACGTAGAGCGTCTTCTCCTTCTTCCTCTTGCGGGGAGGCGCGACGGGCGGCGGCGAAGGCTCTCTCTTGCGGCGTCCCCTTCGGCCTCGGCCCGTCTCCGGTTCCGCGACCTCCTCCGCTTCGCGATCCTTTTTCTGCAAAGATTCTAGTTTAAATCGACACTCGACGGCGCCTCCGGGGGACCGTCGCCCGAGGGACCGGGAGCCCACCTTGGCCGGGTACTTCCAGTTCTTAAAGGGGTTGGCGGCGATCTTGTTGAGGCGCACGGTGATCGAGTCCTTGGAGTCGAGCTTGGTCTGCTCGGCGAGATGCGTCACGATGTTGTCGAAGGCCTGGCCCGGCGTGGAACCGAAGCGCTCGCGCCACACCAGCTCGTCGAGGAACTGCTGGATGATCTGGCGCGAGAGCAGCGACAGCGTGTTCTGGAACATGCGCGGCACGATCCGGCGCAGATACTCCATGATGTTGGCGTTGGAGTGCTTGCCCGCGTCGCCGTGCGACGACGACTGGTGGACGTTCTTGAAGCCCATGCCGTGCAGAGTGCTCTTGTCGACCGTCAGATCCGTGAGGATCGCGGCCCCCGGATGCACCCACTCGGCGAGCGGCTCCAAGATCTTCTGGAACCGTTTCTTGTAGTTCTTCTCGTGCTCGGCCAGCGGCTCCACGGCACGTAACCGAATCTGAAAACGGACAAATCGCACGAGTCGAAGCGGACGCGAGGAGGCGAGGGGACGGAAGCGGAACGGGCGACACCCACCAGCTTGTCGGCGGGATCGAGCACGCCCAGCACCTCCACTTTGACCTGGCGCTGCGTGCCGTCGTGCGACGTGGTCCCGAGCGAGATGACGCCCACCTCGACGGGGCGGCCGGCGGCGCCGAGCGGAGGCAGGTGCCGGTGCGTGGCGGCCGTGCACACGCCGCGCAGCCACGTGAACAGCCCCTTCACGTACAAGTTGTCCACCTTCACCCACTGCACCACGTTCTGCACGTTGGTCTGACACGCCCAGTGGTAGATGAGCTTTAGCAGCACGCTCGGCGGAAACGTGGCGCCCTCGAACAGCGAGCTGGAGAACACCGACACGAACCGCGTCGGGCAGCACTCCGATATCCAGACGTACCCACCCGAGTACGGGAACTTGGTCGAGTCCGAGTACATGCCTGGAAGAGGAGGCGGGGATCAGTCTCGCCTACGTCGGTCGACACGCGGTAGCCGCGAGCCTCGGGGACGCACCCAGCTTTAGCTTGTTTCCGCGGTGTATGGCGCACCACTGCTCGGAGCGCACCAGACCCTGCTGGATGAGCCACTCGGTGAACTTCATGGGCGTGTGCACCAGCACGGATTTCACCTTGGTGTCGAGCGACGCGCGGTCCGAGGCCGGCGCGTCTTTGGAGCGCAGGTAGGGCCGCGCCACGACCACCAGCGACGGGAAGGTCTTCCCTGCCAAACATAGGAAAGGACGCGTTAAGATCGACCGACGCGTGCCAAGTCGCCGAACGTCGAGCGAGACGATCGAGTCCACCTTGGAGTTTATTGAAGGAAACTTCTCTCGAGTCGGCCACGTTCTTGTTTCCGTCGTCTTTAGTCAAGTCGACGATGGCGGTGGTCTTGGCCGCGCTGCCGGTGAGCAGACCGCCCACCGCGGTGGCCTCCGAGGGCCGCACGTTCGTCACTACGCTGTGCACGTCTGAAAATCCATCGAATGCACTTATGAAATAAGCGGAGCAAAGAAAAAACTCTACGATAGACGGGTAGCACTAACTCGATGGAGCCAATGTTTTATCCTTAGTTTTAGTGATCTCTTTGCTTTCTTTTTCGTCTTTCTTTTTCTCCTTGTCCTTCTTCTTTTTCTTGCTGGGTCGAGGCTCCGGACTTGCGGTCTTATCCCGTGAATGATCGCGCTTGCCTCGTGCTACAATGAACATTATGACATTCAAATATTAGGCACATTACACAATTACAATAAATGTTGTTGTTTCACTTTCTACATTAGTTAATATAAAATTGAGGAATACTTTAATAATATCTATCGAATATCTAAAGGGATTTTGTAACTTAATATGCAGTTCAATAAACAATGTTACATTTGCTCAAAAGTTCCATAACACTATTTAGCCTACTAAAAAACATGTATTTCATTCGAGTCAGGATGACTTTGAAGTGAACTTTTCTCTTTAGTAACTTTGAATATCAATTTTAATAACAGAAATAGTTTGCTTGTTGCTTTTTAATATATTGTGTAAATACAATGAAATAAAAAATATGTAATACATATTTTTTCATGAAAGCAGTTGTCATAAACAGCTCGTGAAATATTTTGAGTAATTCCCAATATTAAATATTTCTTGTTTTTAGTTATTTCTCTTCTAAAGCACTTACTTCTCTTTCCAGACTTTGACTCTTTAGATATTGATATGGACCGAGATCTTGATCGTATGATTTCTGCACTTTGACGTTCCAAGTCCTTCAAAACAGGCTGCCTAAAAATATATACACTCGGCGTCAAAAAAATCGCACCTTTTCTAAAATTCGTGTCAAGCGATTATAACTCCGATGATCCTTCCTGTACCCTATCATTATTAGTATCATTTGAAAGCTAATGTAATCCCTTATTTGAAAACAGTAGGAAACTGGCCACCACCCCCATAGAAAAAGAAAATTCTGGGAAAATGTGAAACAATGTGTATTCTGATCAAAATTACAAATAAAAGGAACAATACAAAAATTAAAAATAAACAATGACAATCCTTAAAAATTAGTCTTACAACCTAGTGTTGCCTCCTCTATCCCTCCGACCAGCTTCCAAGCGGTCAGTCATGGACCTGATGAGCGTCACGACGTGTTCATGGGGAATGTTGTCCCTTTCCTCGATGACGGCATCTCGAAGCTCATCGAGAGTGGCAGGAGCTGGATTACGGGCCCGAACTCGCCGTTTCAACTCGTCCCAGAGGTGCTCGATAGGATTGAGGTCGGGGCTTCTTGCTGGCCCGTCCATAACCTTGATGCCAACTCGACGTAGGTAGTCCTCGACAATCAAGGCTGTGTGGAACCGGGCGTAGTCGTGCATGAACTCGAAGTTGGCGCCGACAAAACCTACACATGGGACCACATGCTCCTCCAAAACTTCGTTGATATACCGGTGGGCAGTCAGAGACCCCTGGCCGCGACTTTCTCCAGCTCTGGAGACGCACACGAGGTCTGTCTTGCCGTCGATAGAAATACCGCCCTAGAACATGCAGGATCCTCCTCCATACCCGACGGTTTCCACGGTGCAGGCTGGTGTGAAACGCTCCCCTGGCCGCCTGTAGACTTTCTTACGCATGTTGTTGGTGTACACGTACACTCGGGTTTCGTCGGAGAACAGGACATTCCTTCAATGGTCGAATGTCCACGGCACGTGCGTTTCATAAAATCGCTTCCTTTTCGTCCGGTGGATGGTAGTCAATAGGGGGCCTGTAGCAGCTCTCCGGGGCAGCAAATTCTTCTCTCACAGCCTTCTTCTGATAGTGGAGACGCTGTCAGCTGTCCTTCGAGTAGCTCAAAGCTGACTTTGAGCTACTCGAAGGACTTTTACCCCCTCGTTTTATACGCGTCCAGGGTGGTACAATTAGTGAGCCTTCAAACGCGTACATCGCCACTTTTTAATCAAAGTGCTGATGATTTGTGGTTTTCGATTTTCCGTAAACAAATGATTATTTTTTTGAAAGCTTATTAATTGAGCTTTTAAATGATACTAATAATGATAGGGTACAGGAAGGATCTTAGAAGTTATTATCGCTTGACACGAATTTTAAGAAAGGTGCGATTTTTTTGACGCCAAGTGTATATAATTAATTTTAATTGTACAACTTTTTACACACAATTACCAAATGTTGATTTATCACAATACCAAATCAAATTTTACCAATATACAAAATCTACTATGCCTTTAAATTTTCAGAATATTTGTAAAAATCAGGCTCTTTTTTGATGGTGTTTTATTTGAATAATAAATGCCTGGTTTTAAGAGGTACATTTTAACATGGTTCTTGTACTTCATATCTCTATTTGTTTAGTAGTTTGTTAACAAAACATGCTGACATTGCACCCATTTTTTTTTTTTTGTGATATTCAAGTATATCTTAAATATATTATAAACAATCACACAGACCAACTGTACGGTTCCTGGATCATCAGGGGTTCAAAATAATAGAATAATTTTAACTTACTCTAATACTAACTGGAGGGTGAACCCTCCAACATTGATCTAAAATTAATAGTAGTTATATTTACTATTATAACTAGCTACTACCACACTAATAGTTATTAGTAGTTATTGACCATTTGGCAATGAATAGAAGCATGATGGGGAAAAAAACTTTCTGATAGAATAAACATATTATTATCAACAATAAAAAATCACACAAAAACAAAAGACTATAACAATTAAAAAACTAAAATGGAAGTGGGCTAGAATGGAAGCAAATCATTAATGCATTGGTACACAGGTCACATAAAGAGCAAAAGGGGTAGACCATTCCTAAGGTGGATTGGTGAAATAAGAGCCGTGGCAGGTGGCACATGGACCCGAACTCCCCAGGTCAATAATTTATGGTAATTTATGGTTGCATTTGGAGGAGGCCTTTGCCAACAAAAGGCAAACAGACAAGGTTGTCGAGGGAATGTAAATATTCAACTATATTTAAGTTAATTTTTTTCAATACTAAACATTTATATTCTAGCTTAAGTAAAATTGTATCTTGTCTGAATAAAGGCTTATATTATTATAATACTAACTAATATTTATCACTCGTGTTATACAATAGAATATGAGCGAAATAATAATTATGTTAATTGCTATATAATGAGTGCAATCTAACAAACAGAGAGAGTGCCGACGTCTGGCTATGCTCCCGGGGTGAAACACCCATGATACAGTTAATTGTAATGATACGAATGACTGCTGTAACAGTCGAAGAGAGTGCCTGCGTCGGGCTATACTTTTGGGGCGTGACTCCGACGATTTAGGAAATCGTCATGCTTATATGTGATGTACAGCCTTGGCTCGTACACCAACCTTCCATCTTTTATTGTCATTTATTGACCTATATAGACCATCTAGATTTAAGCATTGGATATTTCTCTTGCATGATAATAATATGGGCAATTCCACAACCTTTACATTAACATTAAATCAATCCGCAACAGGCAAATGGAATATGCCAACCTAGTTTATATTTTTTGTGTTGAGTTTTAAACAAAATATCAGTATAATTTTTATTTACTATCTAAATATTCAATAAATACAGGAATAACTTCTTTATCTCAAAAGATCATAATTTATCTATCTACAGTACACAATATACATTTCTGCGGGTTTGGTTGACAAATTTGGTTCTGCTAGTGTACCGGCACTAGAGTAATTGGTGATCAATCCCCAGAATAATTTCAAAAAGTTAAATAATTTAAACATGTTAAGTAAATTTAAATTATAAATGCTAATAAAAATAACCCTACCATACAATTAGGCAAACATTAGACAAATAAAAGCATAGAAGTTAATAAATAAAATAAATATAAAAACCACACAAGTTCATAACTACATATTTTCATACATACTTTCCCAGAAGCTGATATGCTGTGAATTGGTCTCCATTATATACAATCTTCCCTCCTGTGTCTTTCACAATATCGTCAAGAGTGTTTTGTATTTTCTTGTATTCTTCATCAGCATGCCTGTAAGCTTGCAACTGTGCTTCAGAGAGTTCCTCTTCCCAACATTCTAGCTCTAACGTCGGTACATCAGGACCAAAATAGGACCGTTTATATAAGTCTGCCTCAATGATCTCTGGTGCAGGTAGTGGGACTGGCTCCTACAAGTATCACAAAAAATAAATTAAATACATACAGACCATGTATAAACTAATTACACAAAGATACATGAGACAAACCTCCGAGTCAGATTTTAACTTCTTTAGCTTCATATTTCAGTTTTATAAGTATAGGAAGTATTAGTAATGGCTAATGTCTATTCCGAATCATACTTAATATAATTTTAAAGTCATTATTATTTATTTTATAATAATAAGCACAATTCACAAGCAAATGCAATTCCTTTAGCTAACATGACAGTTTGAACTTTGAAGTATGTAGTATGTACACAAGAGCTTGACACAAAATCACTTTTCGACGACTAAACTAGAACCACGCTTTAGCAAATTGGAATGGGCATGTCATTAGCTCACGCTATGTCACGTGACCATGTCACAATTGTCATACAAATTCGATTGGCGTTGTTCAAATTTCAGTTCAACTCAACTCCCCTAAAGGCTGTACAATATGGTCATCTGTAATGCTAAATCGCTTCAATAGAGATGTGGCATTCTATTAAAAAAAATGTTCACTACACGAAGAAAAAATAGGAGTAAAAAAACATCTGAAGCTGCAAAAGCAATTGAAGCATGCAAACAAAGCATAAAAAGCGCAGCTTGCCCCTTCACCAGCTCACACGTCCTACAACAATATGCTTACAACAAATGGCAGCCAGCAAAAAAAAGGTTAAGGTTGGGTGGGTTGTAAATAAATAAAAATGTGTCAAATACATAATATAAATATTAGGTGCATACTAGGGTGGATCCAAAAGTTCTAAGCCCGACCAAGAACGTAAAAGAGTAGTTTGTGTAAATAATTTTTCATTTTTCGACATAAGCTCCATCTAGCTCAAATCACTTCACTTTTACTTCACTTACAATTCTTTCAATACTCCTCTTAGAAACACCAGTCGCATCTGATGTCAAATTAAAATTACATTTTTTCATTAAACTGTTTTTATTAAGATGCTTAAGATAATTAAAAACATTGTACACCATTTCACGAGATTGTCCTGGTAATGTTTAGACGGAATATATTTCATAAGACATTTCTTTCAAAGTATTCTAACCTCCAACCAAATAAGTAAACAATCACAGACAAAATAATAATGAGAAAAAAGATCAACATGTACAGTATCACTTCTATCATTTCCAGAATGCGTTTAGGACATGTTTGTACACCTCATCATTTAGCAAGGCTTCGTATTGTTGATAGTAATATTTGTGAGTGTGGAGAAGATATTGGTGACCTCGACCATATTTTCTTTTCTTGTTCCCAATATGACCGTACCTCCTTTCTGAATTCCTTACAATCACTTCATGTTCCGTTTCCGACTAAAATCTCCTGCCTTTTGCTTTATCCTTTATTGTATTATAATGTATTATCTTCTTTCATAATCTATAATAATATTAAGATGTAATATTTTTGTGTACATATTTTATTTTTAACCAGCTTATCCCTTTATTTCCTTTTGATGTCTTTGTTTATTTTTTCTCGCGTGTAGTTTCCCAACCTTTTACTTGAAACTGGCATAAAGTCAAAACTATTGCCATAATATTAAAAAAAAAAAAATGTACAGTAAAGATCAACATAAACAGTAGCAAAAGCAAAACAATAACTGTCTCTTTTATATTGATTAGCTTGACCGAGCGTGAGAGAGACGGACAGTCTTTTCATGATGCATATTCAGTGTCATATCACGCCTCGCGCTTATTCACAGACACTACACAAGCACAAAGTGTAAATGTGTTGAAGCCGCCAGCTTTAGATAACATACCAATAAATCTAACTCCGTTAAGCCGAATATTTTATTCAGGCAATGTCGTATCAATATAATATGAGTACTTCAATTTATGTATTTATTACATAATTTTTATATTAGGTATAGATAATAAAAAATACGCCACTAGAGTCTTGGAACAGTGTAAAGTCGTAAACACACTTACGTGTCGTGGCGTGTCGTGACGCGCCAGAAGCATATTTTAATATGATTAGACAGAACGTGTTGCGACACGACACAACATGCAAATATGTTTCTAATCATATTAAATGTATGAAACCAATATGCTTCTGGCGCGTCACGACACGCCACGACACGTGTGTTTCCGACTTAACTTTCGGACAAGCGTGAGCCATTAACGCCAAAAGATTTTATATATTTGTACGAAAATGGTCACCTGACCAAGCGTGAGCTAATGTCGTCAGAAATGCGCTTAGCGTTAGGCCATTCGAAATGGTGATTTTGTCTCGAGACCCAAAGCCCAAATCTTAACTTCTAAGTTATTAAAAACCTTCTATTTGAGGATTAATTCCTCAAATCACCAATATGATCTAAATTAATGTCAAACGAAATTGACATTGAGATTTATTATTTTCTAGATGGGAGTAAGTCCAATACAAAAGTAAATTTGTATTGGACTATATACAGATACATATCTAGTCTGTGAAACACTTTTTAGTGACACAAACTCATCTATGGCGAGCACTGAGCAGTATGCATAACAATTCTTCTCGTACTTGATCTATGCGAGACTTTAAGGTTAGGCTTCCGATTTTGTCGTTCTAAAATATTATATATTTTAGAAAAAATTTCAATATTTTTGGGCTTGTAACTGTTACATCATTGTCACGAGCAATGGATTCTCTATCCACTGGATCTCTAAGCGGCGCACAGAAGGAAGATTTAATGGACCAAGTCAAACAGCAGATAGCAATAGCAAACGCTCAGGAGTTACTGACAAAGATGTCCGAAAAATGTTTTAAAAAGTGTATCAACAAACCTGGCACTTCATTGGATAACTCCGAACAGAAGTGCATAGCAATGTGCATGGACAGGTATATGGATGCCTGGAATCTAGTTTCTAGGACTTACAGCAGTCGCATTCAACGGGAAAGAAACAACATGTGAATATGTTTACAGGCAAACAAATCTTTTGAAAGTGAAATTACAGTGCTGTATATAATGTAGAGAACTTACTAGAACCAGAAAATGTTACAAATTGTCTATGTTGCAATTGTCTGTTATGTTTATCATTAAAATTAATTTAGGTTATACTTTTTTTTATTTAAAATCAATAGATTCACATCACTCCCACACATAAACCCATTAAATGTCTTGTTTTGTTATTTATAACTCTTCCCTCAACATTTTTTTCCGATATTGGTATAATTTCGTGATCCACATCTCTTTTAGATCTTCTTGACATAGAATTTCCTGCAATTAAGATTTATAGCAATTAGCCAAGAGCTAAACTGCTCTCAGTGTGAGTCCAATGCAACAAATACATTATCTTTCATATATGGGACTCATACTTAGGGTGTGACTTACAAACAAGACTGACTCCCATAACAGTAAACAAAAAGATTTTCAACCTATTTTTGTATATGAACAGATTTGAACACCCATAGCATAATAAAATTGTTTGTATTTATTCCAATTTCAAGTGTGTGCATAACAACTAATATGTAAAAGTGAATAATCATTTTTCATAAAGAAACATAACCTATATTTTTATCTAGCTGTGCCCATCAGTTTCATCCACATTAATTTGAGCCATATCTTGTACATAATAAATTCATGCATGGTACTTCTTCATTATTTTGCTTCAAATATTTTCTTAATATAATAGTAACTCTTAAGATATTAATTGAAATAATATGATCTCAAAGGAAATTTGGTTAAAAATTTAATAGTTGTGATGAATTACATATTCATTGAGATAAATACTTACACTAAAATTTATAATTGAATCATCTTTTCTAGCTTTAACATCAGCTTCTGGCACTTTAACAGTTTCTGCATTTAGATCTATAACAATATTTTGCCTTTTCCTTTTAGTTGATGAGAAAGATTTTTGAACAAATGCATCATTATTTAGTTCATCTAATAGGTTACGATCATGTATTGTAGGCATATCTTCTTTCACAGCTACATCTTTATACTCATATGTTGGAATCTTAGTCATAGTCAGCCCTGCCGCCTCAGCTGCTTTTATAGCCTTTTCTACTATGGTGTCTGTATTGTCTAACTGTAGTGGAGGCTCTAAAAGTTTTGTAATATATATTAATTTATTTCATTCTTTTATACTTTTATATTATACATGTTTGTATAATATATTTTATACTATGTACTTATAAATTTATTTTATATATATTGAACTTAATAAATAAATTACATAAGTTTAATTACCAATATCAAAAGAATTCGACCTGCTCTTGGACCGAGAACACTTGTGACTCTTTTTATTGTATTTTCGGTCCCGAGATGACAAACGTGACCGAGAACGGTCACGGGAGTATTTAGAGCGCTTAGATCGAGAGTGTGATGATGAACGCAGTTTAGACCTACTGTCATAACGCTCTATTGACGCACTTCTCGAATAACTCCGTCTCCTATGTTTTGACCTAGAATTGGACAGTCTTCTCTTATAACTTTTTGTCTGTAAATGGTCCTTAGAACGCGATCGTCTTTTATGTTTATATTTAGACTTTTTGCGCTCGTAAGATGACTCCGAGCTATATGAAGAACTTCGTCGATCTCGGGAACTACTTCTTTCACGATCCCTTGGCATAATAGCAATATAAATTATGCCCTGTAACGCATAACGATGGTAGATGTGATATACCTCAAGTGCTTTTACTTGAAGAAAGACCGATAGTTTGTATTATATCAATATTTAATGCAACTCGCAATGTTGTAAGATACACGTTTTCACAACCAAAACAGTATTATTTGAAGTTGAACAAGAAAAGGTTTCTAGTTTCTACTCTCTGTTCTGTAACTATTTTTTACAAACTGTTTTAAAAAAAACATTGATAAATGACAACTGACGACAGTTGTCAGTTGTCATTGAATTTCATTTTTTTTAAAGATTTTATGGCGGGGTAACGAGACTTTAAGCCAAAAGGGCAAGCTAAAGTTGTTCGACCATTCTAATTTATTGCTAAGCTTTCAAAATGAATAGGAAATTAGGAACCGTGTAAACTATAAACTAAATGCAATCAAATTAAGTGTTAGTATACATTCGTCAAAGTCGCATAAGTGACAAAGTTTTATTATTTTAATATATTAGGCCGGGAGATAGTCGACACAAAATAGTTAGTCATTGTACCAGTATGGCGGTTCTACAGGGGTCTTATTACAAAATTAAAAAAAGAATTTTGATGGTCATAGCGCTGGTACCGGCGGCCCAAGCGCGTGGGCGTTAGTCGAACTCGTCGGATTATTTACGACTTTTAAACGATTTGTTTCACAAAAATTCTAGTATTTTCCGATAGTCCATAAAAAAATAAGAGGCGGCAGTGTCATGCCATACTTCTCCGGTGTAACTTACAGCCCGCCATGCCGACGAGAATGCGATGATTTAAAAAAAAAGGGTGCGTGTACTTATGTACGCGCGTAAGAAGTTATACTTCTTTGTCATTATTCAAAATAGTTTTTGATTCCATGCAAATAATTAATTACAATTAAATAATCAAAGACTGGAAAAGGAGTCATTATAGTCAATAAAGTTCAGTTTACATTTGAAAAATTAAATAAATAAATATTTATTATTATTCTCTTACATTAAGTATAACATAAATTATATTATTATTTGAATGTTGTTTTTAAATTACGTCCAATGCCGTAGCATCTTCCGTGGGCAACTTCATACTGATAATTTTGTGTAACGGTGCGCGCGCATCGTAAAATTTCACTCTCATCAATTTTTCATAACGCGCCTAAAGAAGTATAACTTCAAAAAATTCAACCATTTGTACCAGGCTAATTTTTACACAGTTAATCATCGTCGTGCAGCCATTTACGAAAATCACCATGCCATACTTTTCGGACGCTTCCAAATGGCCGCCATACCTCCGTAAAATCAGGGTTTTCTTTTATTTTTGCCAATTGATTTCCGCGGATACAGGCTTTGCACGGCGTAGTCCGCAAGTAGAAGTCCTCTTGACAAACTCAAGAAGTGATGCCGTTATAGCCCAAATTAGTTTTAGAATCCTTAACAAAAATATTCGGCGATAACGTCAACTAGCTCTAGAAACGCATAGGTTGATGCTCGAAAGAACCTCCGGAGAGTTATACAAATTATTGAGAACTTTATACAAAAACAGCTGCTCCGCAATCCACCTTTGATGGTTGAATTATTACCACTCGATCTTTAATTTTTATTGATAAAAAAGGGTGCGTGTACTTATGTACGCGCGTAAGAAGTTATACTTCTTTGGCTTTCTTTATTTTTAAAAAATATTAAATAATTAAAAACAAATATTTAACGTTAATAATTTAATAATATTTAATATTTAGTATGTTACTCAATTATTAATTAATATTAATAATAATAATTTTTATTATTTATTATTTTATTATATTATTCATTCAATTTAATAACTACGTATGTTTCATAACCTTTTAACTAAGTGACAATAGGTCTTTGTGAAAAAGCATTGCTAAATTTCTTTGAAAAAATAATTAAAACTCCTATATTTGTTTAAAAGGTAAATGTCATTATGTTCATTCAAAATTCTTGGCATAGTTGCTAACTTCACGCATATTCTATTTCTTTTTACGTGTAGATTGTCTTATTCCCATCTCGCTCGCGCACGCTATAATCACACTGACAACTTTGTGTCTCAGGTGCGCGCGCATCGTAAAATTTCACTCTCATCAATTTTTCATAACGCGCCTAAAGAAGTATAACTTCAAAAAATATAGACAAATCACAATACTAGCCTGGAAAAATGCTACTGTCAACCTTCGTAAATTAAAACGTGACAAATAATAGTTTAGCTCATTTATACCGAAGGATAAGGATGGCGTTAGGAAATAAAGGATCCTATTCCTTACTCTATGCTAATTCTTGTTCTAATGTTTTCTCCTTCTAATTATTTAATGTTATATAATTTGCTCAGATTAAAAAAACTACACATGTCTATTTCCACACACGGTACGGTCTATGTGCACAGCTATAACTGCATAGGTAGACCACCCCGATGTCCCGTAAAGTGTACGGCCGCTTTTAGTTTGAAGATATTTGTTGTTTTGAAGAGAAGTCTTTTTCAGCGGCAAAAAAGAATTTACCAGAATTTTTCATCCGTTAGAGGTCAATTTTTGTTTTTTTTTAAATAAGTTTTTTATAAGTATTGCTTTTTAGAAATTCTCAAATTACTTTATTTTCGACACTAACATTTTTATCTGTAAAACATTCTTATATTCACGAGTACAAGTTAACAGAAATTAAAAGTTTTGTGTTAAGGATAAATAGATACCTATAAAAAAAATACGAAAAAGACATTTGTGGCGGTTTTTATCGAAAAATGTTCGAATATATTGGTTTTTGTTGGATTCTACGGGGTCATCCGTTATCGACTGATGGCAGCACTCATAAGCCACAGATTAAAAATAAGTTAAAATATCTAGGCAATATTGCAATATTCGATGACGGAATCTCCCGAATATTCAATCATCAATGAGTAAATTTTTATCAATTTTACGGTAGTGATTGGTGAACAAATATGTGTTTTCAGATTTTCATTTCAATTAATTAGTAGTCTTAAAATATCGCATATCCTTTGATAATAAATTAACATTTATGTTGCTCCAACTGCCTGTAATAAAGACTAAATTAAGTATTGTACCCGCACTCCCAAGTATTAAACGTGTTTGTGAGGATCATTGACATTCGATGTAGCGATACTATTTGAAAATCTTTAGTTAGTAATGTTTGTGCTGGTTATATGTGCCTTTATTGCTCCCGGTAAATGGATTAGACGTTTCTGATGTTTTGGAAGCCATGGAAAGACAGGAGCGGATCCACGGCAACATGGAGGCGCCCGATACCATCGACACAAGACAGGTATGAGTTACGAGTTTTAATACCGGTCCTTTGCCTTTGTAGTCTACACTAGAAATTATCATAATAATTATTAAATGTATCTGAACAGGGAAATCTAAGAAACATAACAATCCAAAATACATTTGATTTTGATGTTCTATTTTTTAATATATAAGTTTTCAAGTCAATGTCTCCTGAAGACATTCATAGAAAATCATGTATACATATTTTTGTGATGTTTCATGAGTGAATGGTGTCACCATATTATATTGTCTGTACAAATAGTTACTTGTGTGGGTGATGTAGATAGGTGACTGCGAGGCTCAGCCCACACAGCACACTGTTACTGTATAATTTATTATTCATAGGATATTCTGTTTATGTTACTTAAAAGATGTCATTGGTTACAAAAGATTGTTATTAAAATATATAGCTTGAGTAGCAAACTCAATAGCACCAATCAACTAAGATTTTAAAAATTTTAGACGGATACTTTGTGAAGAGTCTCAAGACCCTATGCAAACGTCTCCTCCTTTCACTTCTAATATATTACTTACATAATTTGAAAACATTGAAAATGTTCACTCAAATACAGTGTCTACTGAAAATGCCACTAATTGTTTTTTATGCCGTTTTATTCAGTATATTTTGTTTCTTAATTAGCTTTAGTTAACTTATAGAGTTTATACAGCTATTTAGATAGCACCACTGATGGGACACACTTTCTGGTGTTATAAAGAGTGGCATGCAAATGTATTGTAAGACAACAAGGCAAACTAACTAGAGTCATGGTATTTCAAAGTATAAATAGAGTTTGATGTTGAGTTGTGTATGCTCATAATTTTGATTTTATTGTCATGATTAAAAAGCTTTTCCTTTAATGGAACACACATGATAGTTTATGTTGTATTTTATAATCAATTTCAGAATGATAAATGATTAAATGTTAGCAAATTTGTAATTATATAATATTTATTGAAAATAAATATCTCACAATGTGTAGATCTCCCTCATAATTTATTCTTACATATGAAACAAAATCGAACATTTAATTGTAATATTTTAAAGATTTTTTATTAATGCCAATTTAAGAAAATTATGTCGTACTAGGTGAGAATGTTGATTTGTTATAAATATGGGGTATAAATAACCAAACTTTTCATAAAAAACCAAATTAGTCTAACTATATACGCTTTTAGGTAAAGTACTCAACTGTCTCTTTTTGTACCACAGTGTAACACAATTTCGTAGAAAGAGACAAAACACTTTAATTAATATATGTACTATGTTTAGACTGATTTAGTTTTAATTAATTCTGAAATAACAGATTTAATGAAATTTACTTACTCGAGAGGTGAACCACTGTGACTAGGTAATGCAAAATAACAATTAATTAGCCAAATAATATTTTTTTCATTGATTGATTCATAATTGTAATTTAAACAGAAATCATCTTCATTGTCAAGATTATTACAAATTAATTTGTTTTGCATAATAATAATAAATTAATTAGGAACCTCATTTGGAAGAGACTGCAACCCTGGGGAGGAAAAATAAAAAATGTTAATGCTCTCATAACTGTGTATGCTGCAAAACACTAAATTTTTTAAATTACATATATAAATTGCATATCTATTCAGTTTTAAAATAAATATTTTTTTAACAGTTTTATATCATACAAATGTTGCCCATTTATTTTGAAATTTTTGCAGTAAACAGTTTTTGAGATGGTAGCCCAAGCAGGTAAAACTAAAATACGTAAATAAATAAATAAAAAATTCTTATTTACATGAAAAATAGTAGTTAGGAAGCTGTTGCAGCCTACGTGTGTTTAGTATACAATGGTATGCAATGAGAAGTTGTCTCCTATGCAGTTAGACTGAAGGCAATGGTGGGGCGGGTCTTTATGGATGTCAGTAGACTCGCGCTCGGCGCGTTGACCACGCGTGCTCTTCGCTGGCGTTCAGTGATGATTCCACGATCCTTAGTGCTAGTGTAGTGTTTCGTTATGGTAGCTATGGTGGCCTCTGCCTCTGGATATGGCACCCTACGCAGATTCCTGAGTGCTCCAAACGGCGCCCACTCCGGTGACCCTGCTTTCGTACCGTCCGCCTCTGTAGCCGTCTCGGTAAGAATTATTGTCAAACGAGCCTGGCAATTCGAAAGTGTTTGGTTTTAAATTCTCTGTTTTAGAACCTATCGGTAGACCTTCTTTCTCTTTTAAGATAATTCAGAGGTCAATACCCCCGCTTAACATAATATGTATCATTATTACTTTAGATAATATGTACTACTGTAGCACAGCGACCTTGGCCCCGGCACATGTGTGTTGTGATTTCAATTACCATTTAAATGATGTCACGCGCGAATATATGTCGCCAGCATGAGTAGGAGTGGTTGGGATCGGGGTTGAGCTCGCAGGGCCTGGTCAATGAAGTTATTACGTTAGTCGACGAGATTCTCTCCTATCTTCTGTGTTTCTTTGGCGCCGGGATTTATCATTAATGAGATTTTTTATAAATAACACGTAGAATATACTTTTTTAAAATCACGGTCCGGCATATTGAACTGCCCCCGTCACAGTTGAGAAACGCCGAGTGCCCGATCTATCTTCGCGAAAGATTCTGTGATAAGACCATTCAACCAAGACGAACTTAGCTTCCCCTTATACTTTATAGTATTAACAAATTAGCTGTGCCTTGCAGTTTCGCTCGCTTTAATAAGTTGCGCGTTGCGTTGTGGTACTTATGGTATGGTATTGTTTTGTTAAAGGAGTAATCCTTAACTAATTAGGGCCTAAAGAACGTTTATGATACAATATGAAATGGTTTTATTTACTGGTGTTTTTGTTGTTAAGGACAAGACGAATGTCCGAGATGTAAACGAGTTCGTATCAAGAATTTCAATAAGGCATTATATTGCATTGCCTTTGAATTAATTACCAGTCTAATTTGTTTTATATTTTATACAATGACTCATTAACATGGCTTGTTTGTGAGACTATATTTTATACATTTTATCTTTTAACACTAGATAAAACTTTTTGATACCTTCCAAGTGGTAAGTCTTAAGGCATTTATAAGTTGTCAAGACCAAATTAAACTTGAAATCAAGGCTCCACATACCAAAGCACGGACAACAAACCAACTACCAATATGTGCGCCCACTCAATACCTTTTTTTGGCGTAGACCTTGTTAGTTGCTCGTGTGTAGGCTCATCTATATCTCGCGTTTTGCAATTATTGCCAATAACGCTTGTTTGCCAAAGTTTCATCTGGGCTTTTACAAATATATGTAAGCGGGACCCACTTTAGAGTCTTATTTTGAAGAGATTTGTAATGCCCATTAACTAACTATTACGTAAAAGTACGTATTTATCATTTTTTATCGTGAGGTGATAGTAAACATTGACATCTCACATATTATACCCATTTCTCCAATATCTTTGGCTTATCTATAATATTTATTCTTTCTTTCCGGTTTCATCCAAGTAGGACCCAACCTCTAAACAGGTGGTAACCGAACACAATACGGTTTAATATTTACACTGACTTAATTTAAAATATTATTTTATTTAATTAATACGACATTTACTAGTGCATTGTGTTAGTGAGGTATCCCCAAAAACCACCCACATACACTTCTGCCGTGTATGCACAGGCTTACATAATGACCTATCTATGTAACGGCAATTCAATCGGCAAGTCATCGTATCCGCAAAATTTGATATATATTACGTTATTTAGATTCCACTATGGTTCAGGGATATTTGCAAGTCACAAAAACCCTTGTGTCCGAGGTTAGGTGGCATATGTTACTCTTCGCCGTGTACTTGATATACTTGTATCAGTGCATATGCGAATCGAGGAGCAATTTCATCTCAGTCACGTATTGCCATTATTAAGAGTTTATCGCGCACTTTCTCGACCTTGCATCGCGCAGTAATGGTGCAACAAAAGGTGCCTCGTGCATTTGGTCATGATCAATACTACCACAGCTACGTTAGCCATACGTTAATATTGGAGTGAAAAATAAATAATAGCATGTGGTCCAAGTTGCCCTTTAACTTACTCTAGCCGCCAAAGTTCGGAAGTCGAACCTAAGTCGATCTCTTGTCTTAACAGTGAAGTGAGTAGCTAACTGCCCTGCGATTCTGTAACTCACTTTTCGAACTCACACAGCGGTTTTCGCATCGGCGGTCGCTCTCAAATCAGTCGTGAAGCAGTCATTTTATGATTTGGCATTCTGAAAAGGTGGGAGCTTGTAGTTTATTGTTTATCAGAATGCCAAATCATAAAATGACTGCTTCACGACTGATTTGAGAGCGACCGCCGATGCGAAAACCGCTGTGTGAGTTCGAAAAGTGAGTTACAGAATCGCAGGGCTGAAGGTAATCGAGCTAATCGCGACGTGGGAATTGTCGACTTCATTAATGAATAACTGTGAATAAGCTAAACTAATTTTTGTTGCAATTTATTTATAATAAGCGTGAAGTTTGAATATTGCAATGAAAGTTGTCTATGAGTCTGGACGGAACGATCTAATTCCGTTATCAACTGCTTTAATAATTAATAAAATGACACTTTACAGAAAATAAGAAACTAAATTAGTTCACGTAGGTATTGGACGAGATTTCTGAACTCGGTCATTTAGCTTACTTTGGTTTGAAGCCCATAAATGTTTTGAATTTTTCACAACAACACAACGCACATAGGTCGAATATTAAATTACTTATAGTTCTCTGTCGGTCAGACTTCATCAAATTCCTTATTATGTTTTTAAAAACCTATTTAAAATTTATAAGCGAAATTGTACATTTAGTCTTATAAAACAGTTTAATATGTTTCTTATATACAGGATGGCGCAATAGAACGTGCATTTATTATGTTTCGTCCTCATGAATCTTCAAAGAATAAAGGGCCAATAATTCCTTTGCTTGAGATTGCTGCCCATACCGTTACTTTCGGACTATGCAGTGGTTTTTGATGTTTCATTTTGAGGCTTAAGCTGACTGAGGAACATCAGTCAGCTAATGGAAAATATCCGTGGGGAAATGGCAGCTATCACCCCAGATTTATCGACAAGAGTTTTCACAAATCTGCGTTCTTGTTTAGAGGAGTGTCGTCTTCGGGAGGGCCGTCATTTAGATGATGTTATTTTTAAAAAATAAACTTCATTTAATTACCTAATCATCCTATATTTTATTTCAACTATACCTTTTGTATTTATTTTTTTAGCCTATACTTAATAAATGCACGTTCTATTGCGCCACCCGATACATATGCTTAGAGACCCAAGGTCTAGTATAAATTGTATGAATTTCCGGTCAAAGATTTTGAGGTTACCTTTGGTAGCTCCAATCAAGTCCATCGAAATAATCTTGTTTATATTATCTTTTGAAATTAAACGGTTGTTGTCGCTTATTATCGCGAGATCAAGGCTCAATCTTATTATAACTACCATTGGAATGGGAATTGAAGGCATCGTCATCTGTTATGGTCATGGAGCAATCGTCGTTTTTTAGTGTCAATGTTATTTATAGAAACATGGAAGTGTTTTAGTTTCCTACATATCCATATATGTGAGAGCGCAGATTCTTAACTTCCATATCGGATCCGTAGTCCGCAGTCCGCACCGATGCAGCGAACCATTTAAGAGTCGCTTTTCCTCGTCATCAATACTCCTTATTATTAGACTTGTCGTAACCGTAATTTTGCTTTATGTTATTTAGCTTAAGCATATGCTGAGTCAGTTCCTGAACCGGCCGAAGATTGCCTTATAAGGGTAGGTCTCGTTGATATCCGATACGTGCCGACTGCAGTGTCCTTTGTCGTTACGGCTGACCCTTGGAAAGAGCAGCTTTTGTCCTCGGCTAATTCACGATTACCTCAACAACGTTGCCTTAATATGTAGTTAATTATTATTCAATCCATTCTGAAGGATACTTTGCTGTGTCGTAATCTTTACGCTATTGCTTGGAAGAGAATTCTTGCATCCGGTGGTATTTGGAGATTAGACAGGAACCAAAAAGTCGGCACGTGCCTAATTAGCCCGCTGAGCGTAATTAAGTAGCATTCGGCGAGAGTTCACTTCGCTCCACTTCCTATATGGTGTAGGTTTGAAAGTAAATTAATAAATAGAAAGATGCGATCACTGTTACGTCGCAATAACCATCAAACAAAATTATTTGGCTTCAGCGTGCACCTCTCAACCCTTAGGTCGCGCGTTCGAATCTCGGCTGTGCACATTTAGGTGAAAGGAAACACCGTAATTGGCATATCTTTATCCCAAAAGACACTGATCCTAACCTACTAGACGATAAAAAAAATATCACGAAACTGATAAAAAAATGTGAGACCAAGTCCAAGGCTTTGTGTATTGTACGTCGAAAATGTTACAAACAGCTGCACCGTTACTTTATTACTCCCAATAGCAACCCCGATTTAAATATTGAGTTATTGTACTGCGCAAATCCAAAGTTGCGACAATCCGTATAAATTAATTTAAAAAGCTTAGTAGTAAACTAACTTAAGAATAATCATTATCCTATCATAAAATCCACAAACAAAAAAATACTTCTTTGGCGTAACAAGATAAAAATCTTTTTAAAAATTTTATCGCCTTATTCTACGCTTGTAGAAAAAACGACGCTAACAATAGAAAAAAGGTATTTAATATTGAAAGTTTTATTATATCGCATTATCTAGTTAAATAAAGTTTATTTAAATATAAAAAAAAATATTTCTACATAATGAAAGAAATAGACATATTTTATTTTAAAATGTTTACTATGCTAACTTCAGGGTGTCGGTTTTTTGTGACGGTGTGCGGGTGTTGGTGTTTTGTGACGGGGCGCGGGCGCAACAAAAATTTACTCTCATCATTTTTCCTTAACGCGCCAAAAGAAGTATAACTTCAAAAATGTAGATTTTCATACGTCAGTCACGTGATACGCTTGTAAATTATACATCGCTTATCTAATCCTAATACTATTCCGGAGTTTAATTCCGTCGGAGTCTGAGACTAGAAATTATTGTATGACTGAGAATTCAAAACAATAATGTAGTTTCTATAGTCGCTACTAATAAAGGTTACCATGAAAAACCTATCCTAGTAAAATATAATAATTATTATATATATTGTGCGTACGTATGTGTATGTGTTTATGGTTGAAGGCGTGATGTGAGTATGTGGGACTATTTACTTAATAAATAAATTTGTATATCATTTTTGTAGGAAACCTTTGTTTTATAATCAATGTCAAATTGAGAAAACGGATCATTCGTCCACGAAGGTCCTGTAGTAAGCATTGTGGCAGAAGAGTTTTGAATTCAAAAATAATGTAGAATTTACAGTGTTCGGAGTTTTCATTATTTATGTTAATTCGAAAGCTGCGTAGGTATACGATAAAGGTAACATTTCAAGCGAAGAAACTGTAAGTCGGAAGTAAATAACGGAACTAGATAAATATCGTCTATCGTCGAGTGACATTCATAAGTTGTTTTTGCAATAGTCAACGGACAGTGCATCAGATACATAGAGAGGTGTAGATCAAACACGGCGCGTGTCAGTAGCTTGTGACGCTCGTTTGATGAAGCCCCGAGTGGCTTCCTATTTGGGAGTGTCTCGATGACCTATTTTTATCTCTGGCATGCCTTACGGGGCGACGCACGCGACCTTTTTGCTTTTCTATGTGTCCTAACATCTGATATACTCGTTATTCGTTCGTAATGACTTCCTACGCGGATACCACACGAGGAATTAGATCTCCCTGCGCTTTCGTGTCCATTTGTAATGTGTTATGCATAACAAACAAATGTTTGCGTGTCTGCAGACATTTGAAGCCCTATAATGTTCGTGTTATTTTAATTGTACTCCGTAAAAAGTAGCCCTTGGACGATGTTAGCTGCATTTTACGTCCAAGTAGGTACTGAGGCACTGTTCTTTCTGCTGTACAAGTATTTATTTTAATATATGAAAGTATGGATTCCGTATTGTTAAACAAAGTTTTAGACCTTATATGTAACTTCCGCATACATGTACTTTAAAAAAAAACACATTCTTCAATAATATGTATTGCGTTATGTGTGAAGGTCGCACAAGGCTTTATACTGCAATAACTTGTTAATCTCGCTAATCGCCAATACTGTTTTGTTCGACCTCGCACTGAGTTTCTCGTTTATTCCGCCAATATAACGGTATCGTACTGGCGTGATAGCTATTACATATAATAACAAATTTTGTAAAACCTAATATTGCTTAGATATATTTTTATTATTATACTTTTTATATGCAGATCAATTATATTTACATCTACTTTTATTCTCTAATTTAATTTTATTATTTATGCCAAATAAATAACATTCTCACATAGACCAGGGATTGTCCAAAGTGAATTCTTTTAAATAAATAAATAATAATACAATATATTATATAAAGGCTTGTCAAAGTAAGGTGAAGCTTGAATAAAGATTTCATTAATGTTATGTCAGCCACTCATCATTTTACCAGTCCACCATTGCAAAGCCGCGGCAGATCGGACCAGCATTTGGCGTGTTGTTAATTTAGTTTTTTGTCATTGCAGTCGAAGCAACGCGCGTCCATCAAATGGCTGCTCTCGAAGGCGTTCAACAACCGGGTCCCCGACAACTTGCAGGAGCCCTTCTACCGGGATCATGAGGTGGGTGATACTATAGCTCTACCTCTCTGAGTACAGCATAAATTACAATTTACAAATTCTGTGGTTTCAGGGATTATTCAACAGACACAGACAAAGTGAAAATGTATTATCTGGGTTCTGTTAGAACCTATTGCTTTGTTACATAAAAATAAACATTATACACATATACGATACGATGTTGATGAACTCGGAGCACCTTAATATGATTAGATAGGAGCGCTTAAACCAGCTGATTGATAAATACGTCTTGTAAACATCACTCATAATGCCATATTTAAAGTACCGAATTCTAACATTTACGATAGTGAACAAATAAAGTTACTGATCTTCCATAAGCAATCATGCAGCAGGTGCCGAACTAACTACAGGCTGACTCGGCTTGCCGAAAGAATTTAAATGATGTCTCTTATAATTATTTGAGTCGTTATGATGAGTGGGCTGGCTCTTGCAGCTATTGACCCGTCAGCCGATATCGTAGGAGACGTGGTGCGCCAGCACGCGATCGCTTTGGTCCCGAGTCGGCCTTTAAGGAGTGCCTCCGACATGCTTTTGCATAAATGTTATTTGTCCAAATACCAGAAACGCACTCGCTGCAAAAATCTCTATATAATTATCCAATACTTTTAACTACTTACTCCACTACACTTTGCTTGTTCTGAAGGCATTGTTTGTTATTCAATCTGCGCGCGAAATTTACAACAAATTAAAGCCTTTTTGTTTCTCTGTTCGGAAAAATGTCTTGATACTATTTTTTTATCTTCAATTCAGCTCTTAAGACCGGAGCTGAAGTGATGTCCCGTGTCGTTATGTATGCCGTGTCTAACTGGTTTTCTATTTACATTCATACCGAGTGGCGTAATACTAACATAACATAGCACCTGAACCTCGTCAATGATTCGATGCGTGTATTTGCACCAGAAGTTAAGCCGTAAATAACTTGGAGAGTTCTTTATATCGTTCGTGTGAGAATAAGGGCCACGGAAATAGTATTCCAACTCAACACTTTTTAAGATTAAGATTTTTAAACTACGTTTGAATGCTTAATAGATAGACTCACCTAGAACATCAAGGACATGTTTGTAGTTCAATCGTCATAAAAACAATATGATTTGTGTAGATATGACACAGGGGCCAAGTGAAACAATTTTAAAGCTGGATCAGTTTAATTTTGAGTTCATTCACTTTTATTTGTACATCTGTTGGCTGACCTTTATAAATAAAATAAAATTAGTAAATAATTAATGTTGAAATCCGATGACGTCACACGCCCCACTCAAACCACGCCCGGTACTTACCAAGGTGACACGCATGTCTGTGACGTCACCGTCGCGCCCTAGAAAGACTGAACTGAGCGGTATCTACACAAATGAATGTGTCTGTCTGTCTACCTTCAGTCCATACTCAATGATAGTTTATTCGACAAGCCTAGACTAAGTTTCTGCTCGCTCAGGTTTCAGGTTTTTAAATTATTATGGTTATTTATTATACAGCTTCTCCTTAGACAAAGGCCTCCTCTAAATTCCAATCTTGGCGTTCTCTAGCGGTTCGAATACACATTGGACCTTGTTATATCATCACCCATTCTTCTTATTTGCCGGTCTCCCTTTCGTGGGTAGCAATCCGTTACTTGTTATTTCATTTTATTATGAAACATACATAGCCAAATACACATATTGTAAACATTTCCTTGTCTTCATCCTTCACACCTTCACCCAGTGACCAGAACCGTTTCCAAGTGTTGGCTATCCTTCTCTGTATTTCTTTGTGCATGCTATCATCGGGAGATGTTAGGTGCCCTAAATAAATATATTCGTTTAGGTATTCTATTATTTCGTCGTAAATTTTTAGTTTCTTTTTGTACATAATTTTTTTTGATAAATTCCACAGCTAACTGTTGTAACATTGTCTCTAGATTTTTCTGGTTAACTAGTCCGCAAAACGAAGCTGGCTGAGGTGTTCACCTATTTAATCCTAGGTTTATCCAATCCAAGTTCCTGAAGATCATTTCTAGGAAAAATATTCTCTGCTAGAGAATAGTTTTGGGGTGAAAGGATCACCCTAACGCGCAGCTCTTTTGAACGGGAATTGTTCAAAGAGTTCCTGTACATTTGTTTTACGGAATTCGCGCGCCGTTACAGGGTCAAGAGCGGCTGAAACCGGCGATAACGGGCGGCTTGGCGAGTGCCGAGCTGTACTGTCTGGCGCTGGCCAACGTTTACTCCGACCCCGGCTTCCACAGCCTGAACCACACCGCCATCCTGCAGGCCCTGGCTAGGAAAGGTGCGCCGCCAGTCGCGGCCGCGCCCCTCACCGAGACCGTGCTCATCCAGAACAACCCGCTGCGGCTGAGCGCGCACCTGGCCGTCACCGAGGCGCTCATGGCGGTGTACGCACGCGAGGTGGTCACCCCGGAACGGGTGGCGGCCGCCGCGCTGCGATTTGGCGGAGAGCCTCCCGCCGGAGTCGCGTCGCCCGAGGACGGCCTCCTCGTGTGGATCAACGCCGCGTGCGCGGCTTTCAACCGGGCCCGGGTACGTATGCGAGTCAGAACAGACCGAACGCGCTTAATCGTAGTTCGCTTGATCGAGCTTCGTGTGCGTCACAGGAGGCGGGGTGCGCAGAGGTGACCGGCGTGCGCAGCGTGGAAGAGGTGTGCTCGGGGGCGGCGCTGGCGGCGCTGCTATCGTGGTACTGCCCGGGTGCCGTGCCGCGATCCGCCGTGCGCGCCGCGCCGCTGGCCTCGCTGCACGACTCGCTGCACAACCTGTCGCTCGTCTACGACTTCTGCCGTGACCACTTGCCGCACAACTGCTTCCACATGCAGCCAGAGGACGTCACCTACATGCGCGGGTACGCCCTCCGCGCCATCTCTCGAAGGGCTCGCCTTCTGTCTCGTCGACGGCTGACCGCTGACTTGTTCCAGATCGATGCGGCAAAACCTGGTGGCGTTGCTGGCGGATCTGTTTAACCTGCTGGAGGTGCACCCCGTGCTCGCCGTGCAGCGCTCTCGCGGTCAGTACCCCTCTCGCCTCGCCTCATTTCCCGCCTCGTTCCGTCTGATACTTGAACTTCGATATCTCGATCCGAATCGGGTCTTCGATAGGTAGCTTTTAATCGTCGGTCCGTCGAATTCGACGCCCGCTACGAACGCTATTGCATGCGCTGGGAGTATGTGGTCATAATGTCGAGCTCCGCTACTAATTCGAACGCGACTAACGATCGGTCGCGTGCGTCTCGCGGTGCGCGACTTTTTAACTGGAGCGGGACTCGCTCAGTAGTGATATGGTATGTGGTGCAGCGGGTCCGTCGGGGTCGGCGGAGCGGAGTAACGCGTGGGGCGTGCGTCACTCGCGCCATCTGCCGCCGCCGGACCCCGTGCCCATCCCGCGCCTCCGGGACTCGCTCGACGACCGGCCCTTTGCAGGTACCCCGTTCGCTCGCGTGTGTGGCCTCGTAGTGTGCACGTAGACTTTACTCACTTTTCTGTCTTTTGCTTTTCACCGCTCCTCCACGCTTCGACTTCGCCTAATGCATGCGGTCGCTTCCGCTCTGACGCCTCATTTGAGAACGGGTTGGCTACGCGCTTCGATGATCCTTTTTGCTTCGATGTGTTTGTCGTTTGAGTGTGTTTTAGAGCCATTAAACGACTGTACGACGGAATGATGTATTACGCATACGTGCACGCAGGGTCTCGGTCGCCTTCGTCCGGCGGACGAGCGTCGCGGGCGGGAGGCGCGGGCGGAGACGACTTCGCGATCCACCGCGGCAAGGCGGTCACGACGCTGTCGGCCATGTTGCGGCGGGAGCTGAACGACGACGAAACGGGTGAGTCTCGCGACCGGGCGACGTTGTCTCTCGATCGTCGTCCCGCGTCTCGACCGAACGTGTGGTTTTCAGCGAGCGAGCAGCAGGCGACGGCGGCGGGAAGACCGTCCAAGTGGGGCACGAGCCGCGAGGGCAGTTTCGCCGGTCGTCGCTCGCGCCGCTCGTCCGTCACCGACGACAGCCAGCTCACCGTCGAGAACTTCGGCGGCTCGGCCGGCGCCAACCACTTCGCGCAGCGCAACCCGCAGAAGGACCTCGCCACGCTCGATCACCTGGCCGACTTCGCGCCCCACCACGGTCGGTCCCAATTCACGCTCGGCGATATCGCTTTCGTGACGCCCCGTTCACCTTCGGCCTGCCCGCAGGTAACCTGAGTCACAACCCGCCGCTGCGTTCGTCGCGGCAGGACATCCGCGGCTCCCTGAGCCTGGCGCACGACGAGACCAACGGGGACCGGTCACCCCCTCCGCCGCCCCAGCCCCCGGCCGGCGACGGGCCCGTCTGCACCAACGGCCAACAGAGAGGTGCAATAGAGCTCCGACCCACGATATAGATACATTATGATCACATACTCGCGTCTTCTGTCGCTTCACTAGTGTCGCCTACGCGTTGTACGCGATCGCTTCATAATACGTGTTGAGCAGGTCTGCAAACGAGAGGCGGCCGGGAGGACGGGGAGAGGCGGAAGAGCGCCGCGGGTTCGGCGCAGAGCGGCACGACCACTTGGCACGAGCACTACCTGCAGCACGAGCACCAACTGCACAGTGAGTCGAACTTCGGCCGACGAACGCACTTCGAACGGACGAGCGCAGCTGAGCCACCGCCTCTTTCAGACGGCGACGAGGAGACGGAGGAGAGCGACGGAGGCGAGGGCGGCTCGGGAGGCGCCATGGCGGCGCAGCTCAACAACATCCGCCTCAAGCTGGAGGAGAAGCGGCGCCGCATCGAGCAGGACAAGCGCCGGCTCGAGCAGGCCGTCGCCCGCCAGCGGCAGAACCTCGGGCACCAGGCCTTCCTGCAGGCCGTCACGCGGGTGAGCGCCTCGACCTTCCCTCCGAGACGTAGGCCCCATCGACTTCCCGGTTAACCGTATCTTTTTGTCTCGCTAGGCTGGATATTTGCAAAGCCGGCCGGCCGAGGCGGTGAGTGGCCGAGATCCGTTCCATTAGTCAGTCATCGCCATCGCTCGATATCTATTTCGTGGCCAAAGATCATTTCGCTCTCATTTCGAAGTCAAGCGCACGCTCACTCCGTAGATAGTTGACTAGTCGATAGTTGAACTCTTTCTTTGGACGCGTGTGTGACGGTGGCTTGTTGCAGGGCAAGTCTCGCGGCGCGGACGCGGCCCCCTCGCCGGACCCCTCGCAGGTGAGTGCTCCGAGTCTCGCCGTCTCCGCCGACGAATCTTTGGTACGTCGGTCCTCACGACGTTTTGTGTCGATTCAGGAGCCGGCGGAGCCCCCGTCGAGCGGCGCGGAGAATTCGGCCCTGGAGCAGTATCGGCAGTCCATCACCAGGTCGGTCGGCGCCTCGCGCGTTTCCCCCCTCCGCTAGCTCCCTCGTCCGCTCACCCGCCTCCTTGCTTGCAGAATGAACACGAGTCTGCAGGACATACAGAGCGACATAGCGCGCCTCGCCACGCAGCACAGTCAACTTCAACAGCAACAGCAGCAGCAGCAACAGCAGCAACTCCAACAGCAGCAGCAGCAGCTCCAGCAGCAACTGCAACAACAGCAGCAACAGCTCCAGCAACAGCTTCAGCAGCAGCAAGCGAAGCAGTTATTTCAGCAGCACTTTGATCAGTATCAATCGAATATTCCACAATTGGTGAGTCGGATTCGTGGTTTATTTATTATTAATATGTTTAAGGCACTCGTTGTTCATTGTTGCGCTTGTTATTTAGATTTTTGCATTGCATTAATATAATATGTACGCTACCATAATGATATTGCACAGAGTTTTGACATTTCTCATGGTTCTCTGGCCTCAGCTAAGAGTAGAATTAGGACACAGTACCGATCATTTATTTTTTTGGTTCAAATAGTTTAATTCTTTTATAGTTTTTAGTTTTTAATCTTATGGTTGTTTGTATTAACACTGATTTCACTGGTCGTGTCCATGTTTTAGGGACGGCACCGCTTTTATATTTTTGTATGTATGTCAATTTATATAATGTGTTTGTCCTAATTTTGTGGTATATAATATATAGTATACATAAGCATTCTATTGCGTAAGTGACCTTAAAATCTATATAGATATAAAATAAATAAATATTTGAATAATCACGTAGGGGAGGATTGAGAGAGTGTGCCAGGGATTTTCGTCACTTAAAATCAGAGGCTCGTCTGATTTTAGCGAACAGCGAAACGAAAGTGAGGTCATAGAAATAAATAATACTTATTGAAATTCAGATTTTTTTTTAAAGTAGATTTTCTATTAGGAAGAAAATATCACGCTTTGCAATTCGTATAGATCTTTCGTTTTCCTTTTTGATTAGAAAATAAATTTTGAAACATAGTCTAGTCGAAAAGTTGAAAATGGTACAAAATAGAGATACTGCTCTTAAAATTATGTGCGATAGCTCATTGGATCCGGAATGACGTCTAGAAAAATATGCCAAAAGCGTGTATTAGCACATAAAAAATTGCAAAAGTTATAAACAATTAAAGATGAAAAAAAATGGCATTTCGTTTTATGCCAATATTTAATAAACTATTAACATTTAAGAAATTTCAAAAAAAAGATTCTGAAAGAGGAAATTTCGAGGAAAAGATTTCCAATAAAAAACTCCTAACTCCTGGAACTCTATCTCCATTATTTATAATTTTAATTTAACGCTGAAAATAGGTCTGCGCGTGACATTTTTAGGATTCGCGCGTGGCGTCAAAAGCGAGTACGGCACATTAATTTATTTATTTAAGGTATTGAATTTTTTTTTTAAATTTGAAAAAATTATGGTGTGTTCTGAACACTATAAATAATTTATTCCCGTTGGAAATTTTACTTAAAGGTAATTTTTCAACAAGTTAAACAACTGTTAACTAACGAAATTTTCTCGAACTACCGTCTTAATTGTAAGTGAAAAAAAATGTTTAAATAATGGTCGTAAAAAATTTTCGCTTCGTAGAGCCTTTCTTACATACATACTTAACAAGATCGTGCCATAAAAGTTAAAAAAATATTTATACTTTGTTTATAACAATTTTTTTACTCAAACAAAAACTTAAAAATCCAAGTAATGTTGTTAAAAATGTTTTTTTGTCTAAATCATCATATTATCGTTTTTTTATTAATACAAGATATTTATTGATTTGCAAAAAAAAATTTCCCGCCATTTGTTGATAAATTTTTTTTAAACAAATTGATTAAATCAATAATTAAAAAAAAAATTCACAACTTTATTACATTACAAATATTATGATTTTAAAAAAAAAAATTTCCTTAATAACATTTTTTAATTGTTTTTATAATCGTTTTTTTTTCTATTGTTTAAATAATTAGTTAAGAATTTTTTTTTCTAAAAATCATAATTGACAGTCCTCTATAAAGTAACAAAATAAATTTTTTTTATCAACAATTCTATTGTTTATTAACTTACCAATTTGTTATAAACAAATTTTCAACTTTTTTTTTTTAAACTTCTAATATTAACAAAAACAACCATATATAACAAAGTATAGAATATTTTTTTTAATTTTAAATAAAAATTTTTTTTTGCTTTTGGCACATTTTTCTAGACGTCATTCCGGATCCAATGAGCTATCGCACATAATTTTAAGAGCTGTATCTCTATTTTGTACCATTTTCAACTTGTCGACTAGACTAACATTTCACCTCCAAGACCTGAATTAGAAATTTCAAACAAGTTTTTCAAAAAGTTTGGACCAATTTTTTTTTTATTTAAAAAAATAGCTTAAAGTATATTTGAAGTATACTAGAAGTTTCATAGTGGGATGGGTACTAGTTAGGATGATAGGTAAATTTATGTAGATGCATGTCGCACTAAGTTTGATGTGAAGATGGTATATACCTACTTGTTTAGAGCAGCATTATGCTGTAATATGTACATCATAACATAATGAAATATCGTATCATATTCTAAATGACTTTATTTTATAAGTTAAACTATTTTACAAGAATAATCTATTCTGAAACTAGTTATTTTTATAACAAGTGAACTATCTATAATGACACCCAAACATCTGCTTTTAACGTCTTTCTTGGTCCCTTTATACTGGGTGAAGATTTCTTTCTTTTTGCAAATTTTATTTTATTTTTTATTTTATTTTATTTCAAAAGGCACACTAACGAAACACATACAAACACTTACAGAGAACACATAACATAGAAAACAAGATACATGCATGTGCATCAATAACAAGTGTGCACAACATTTATAGGGAAACATTACAATGATGAAGAGAAAATAACTTCAACATTAAAAGTAAAAAAACAAACTAGATTAAAAGAAATACAAACATGCAATTTACAAATACATATAAAAAAAACAAAACCAATAATTTTCAACTTTGCAATTATCACTATTGGTCACGGATCAACATTGGCTGCAGCATCTTACGTCTGAAGACATGGAGACTGTCACTAAATGGATCTGCTTGGCATGTACTCAGAGCAATATAATTTGCAAGATATGTACCTTCATTAAAAAATAAACTGTTTAGTTGCTCCTGCAGAAATCTAATATCGATATCCTGCTGAAGATTTTGGTATAATTTTAAATTATCAGCATACATGTCAAGATTGCACTTTAAACTATATGCTGAGACATTGACAAATTTGATAAAGAATAAAGGCCCTAAGTACGATCCTTGTGGCACACCTCTCTGTATAGGCTGACCTCTAGAAACAGACCATTATCGGATTTTTACCAGTTGGGTCCTGTTTTTTAACCCCACCTAAACAACGATCCATGAATGACCATGAAAAATATTAAGGTCAGTGTATATTGCATGGATTTCCTGTCCGTTGCCGTTTCCCTTCACTGCCTTCAGTGTGTTCAAGCATGTTTGTAGATTTTTTGCCATGAAACCATGTTGCTCTGGGTGTATACTCTGTTTTACTGGGCAAAAAATTATCTGGTGTATAAGACACTTGAATACTTTTCCAGGTGCTGGTAATAATGAAACTGGTCTAAGGTTTTATTTTATTTTATTAAAAAAACATCCATACGCTAGGTCACACACCTTGACGCAAAGAAACATTATAATCATGCATAATAATTATAGCGGAATCGATATATTATCGGCACATTTCTTATATATATTCTTATTAAATTTGTTTACCTATAACTACCGCAGTTCACCTTCGACGTTCTCAGCCTCGATAGAAATATCTATACCGTTCGCGTCGGCCGCTGTAGTTCTCCCGCCTCGTCGATAATAACCGGTGCATAATGTTTCAGCACAGCCAGTTCAGTTCGGCGCAGAACGTGTCGCTGTCGGCGGGCGGCGCCTTCGGCTCGTCCCCGCAGCTGGCGATGGAGCCGCAGTACCGGCCCATCGAAGCCGCCTTCCTGTTGCACGACGCTCCTCTGTCTACGCCGCAGCGTCGCACCTGGGCGCAGCACGCGCGGCTGCAACAGGAGCACAACGAGCTGCGAGGCTGGCAGGTGCGCCCCGCCCCGTGCCCCGTTTCGGCCGCCCTTCGCCGTCGCTCCCCGTTGACCGTGATCCGTCTTTCAGCTGTCCCGACAGAGTCAGCCGAGCGAGTCCTACTCGCCCTACGCGGAGAGCGGTCGCGCCTGGCGCTCCCCGTCTCCGGCGGCCGGCGAGCGCGGCAGCTGGTCGCCGCAGGGCTTCGTGCTGCACGACCGGGCCGCCGCGCCCAACGGCGAGGTGCGGCACGCCAGCCTGGCGCCGGACACGCCTCCCCCCCAGCCCGAGACGGCAGCGACCGCCGGCGCCCTCGCCGCCGCCGTCGCCGCCCGCCGACATGGAGCCGCAGAACATCTCCTTCATCGGCGCCGCCGAAGACGAGGCGCTCGGCGGCCTCGGCCGCCTTCACATCTCGTCGGGCACGCGCACCTACCGCATCCCCTCGCCCACGAGGCCGCCGCTCTCGCGGGACTCTTTCCGTCGGGAGGAAACGAACGAGAAGGGCTTCTACATCTCCTTCGACGACGAGCAGCCCAAGCGCTCCAAGCCGCCTCTGCGGCAGAAGCGCGGCTCGCCCCGCGTGGACCGGCCCGACGACCGCGTCGACGCTCCCGACGCCTGGCCCGACGACGACTTCGTCGTGCACAGGTACCGTCGCGCTCCCGTCCGACGGACGAGCCGGACGTCCACCGCGACTAATGATCCGCTGCGTGCAGGAATTCACATCCGGAGTCGAGGTCCGATCGCCGCGAGTCGCCGGCGCGGGAAAACAGCTTCCCTCGGGATGACCTCGCGCGCCATACACCGCGGCCCGCTTACGCTCCGCCCCCGGCAGCGGCCGCGCCCGCTCCGGCTCCCGCCCCCGCCGCTCTGGTCGTCGGCGAGGTGACGCCGGACCCGGTACGTGAAGAGCGAGACGCCTCGCCCCGACGCGGCGAAGGGCGCGCGTGACGCTCGCGTAACTTTTTACAGAACGGCGCGGAGGAGATGGAGCGCAAGAAGGAGCGCATCATGATGCTGTCGCTGCAGCGGCGGCAGCGCGCCGAGGAAGCGCGGGTCAAGGCCGAGGCCGACGCGGCCGCGAGGCGCGCCCGGGAGGAAGCCGCCGCCGAGCTCAAGGCGGCGCGCCGAGAGGAGCAGGCGCGACGCCGCGAGGCCATCCTGCATCAGTACAAGCTCAAGAAGGCCATCGAGGAGGCAGAGCGAGAGGTAAAAGCGAGTTTCATCGGAATCATCCCGACGCTTCCCTTCGACCATAATTCTGTTCGGTTTCACCGGCGTTCGCCTCGATCCTTTCATTATTCATAAAAATGAGTAAATGTCGATATCTAACAATCGTTGACGGGTCGCAGGGCAAAGTGCTGGACAGGTCCGAGTTCCCCGATGCGCCGTCTCGGGCGGGCGGAAACCCGGCAGGGGCGACGGGCGCGACGCGTCTCCGCGGCCGAGCGGCCGCCCGAGCCCGCCCCAAGACCATCCACGTAGACGGCGGCGCCCTGCACGCCGCCGAGGGCATGCTGCGGCGCCAGCCCTCGCACACGAGCCTCGCAGGTGAGTCCCCGGCCGCGGCCGTTCTCTCTCGTTCTCGACCTTACCGACCGCGAGTAGTGCAAGTGGTGTGCTTTGGCAGGGGGCGCGGGGCGACGCGACTACTACCGGGGCTCGCAGGACGACCTGCAGGACCGGCCGGCTCTCGCCAGAGGTGAGCTTCTTCTATCGAGCGACCGGCTCGGGAGTCACGAGGGCTTAAAACCACTCTCATAACGATCGTCCGGCTCCAGGTCCGCCTCCGTCGGGGTCTCCGGGCGAGGAGCGCGGCGTGACGTCGCCGGGCAGCGCGTCCAGCGGGCCCCTCGCGCGCCGCGGCTCCTGCAAGACCTCCAGAGGTAGGCCCTCTCTCCGCTTTCGAGCGTTCGCTTGCGAGGCTAGCTATTGTTTATATTTTGTAGACCTTCCTCGGTCAGATCCCCCTTCGGTCGCTTCGACTCCGATCGGAATGTTTAAAGAGACGGCAGCCCTGCCTGTGGTGTTTCAGAGCGCGGGGCCGAGGAGCCGCCGCCGGCCCGCGGCAGGTCTAAGTATTCCACTTACCAGAGTAGCTTTAAAGCCGGAAGGAAATCTAGCTCCCTCGTCAACTTGTGCGGTAAGACCCGTTTATTGGCCGCGCCTTCGCCGCACGTCCGCCGTCGGACGTCCGCTTCTTCTCGCGCGAGCGCGCTCGTCTAGCGAGCCGCCTCTCCTCTGTTCGGTGGCGGGTCGTGGGTTGCATGCGGTCGCGTCTCGGTGGTGGAACCTCAGTACTCCTCTCCGTCTCCGTTCCCTTCGATCGGCCCACGCTTAATGTCAGACCTTTCTTTCCTTTACATTTTATATTTGTTTGCGGCTTCGCTTGGCATTCCACGTGTAGTTTCCTCGTCCCGTCATTTCGCTTCCTCACATTGTGATCGCCTTTGGAACTCGTCACCCGACGTCAGTAGCGAAGTGCACCGACGGACCCTCCGAGAGAGTGCTTAGAATACCGTCCGTGCTGACCTAATGTGCGTCGGGTGGGCCGCGGGCTCTCGAGCGCCGTGTGCCATGTGTTGTGCGTGTGCGCAGACTCGGGGCTGGGGCGCGCCACGCCGCCTCGACGCGCGGCGTCGCCGGGCGTGCGGACGCTGGGCTCGCCGTCGTCTCCGGCGTCGGGACCCGGGTCGCTGCCCGGCGCCATCGGCAAGCGGCGCCAGCCCGCCCACGACGACGTCTCCGACGTCTCCTCCACGCACTCCTCCATCGTGGACTACTCGGGTGAGCCTCTCTCCGTCCTCGCGGGCGATCTCCTTCGGTCGAAGCGAGGAAAGGGGTATACGAGCCGAGGGGTGCTTCAGGTCCGCGGCTCTACAAGCAGCCGGCGACGAAGTCGAACCGCGGGATCATGCTGAACGCGGTGGAGTACTGCGTGTTCCCGGGCGCCGTGAACGCCGAGGCCAAGCGGCGCGTGCTGGAGGAGATCGCGCGCTCCGAGAGCAAGCACTTCCTGGTGCTGTTCCGCGACGCCGGCTGCCAGTTCCGCGCGCTCTACGCCTACTGTCCGGACACGGACCACGTCACCAAGCTGTACGGCACCGGCCCGCGCTCCGTCAACGAGCGCATGTTCGACAAGTTCTTCAAGTGAGTCCGATCGCCCCCTCCGCTCCTCCGCCCCCTCGCCCCCGCGCCCGCTGACCTCCTTTCGATTGCGGTTGCAGGTACAACTCGGGCAGCAAGTGCTTCTCGCAGGTGCACACGAAGCACTTGACGGTGACCATCGACGCGTTCACGATACACAACTCGCTGTGGCAGGGCAAGAAGGTGCAGCTGCCCAGCAAACGGGACATGGCGCTGGTCATCTAGGCCTCCCCTCTAGTCGACGGTCGGTCGAGCCGCCTCTTTCGCCTTCGACGCGACGTAAACTGAGCTTTAAAAGACATTTATTTTAAATTTAACGCGATTATTCCCACGACTGACCGTCCCAAAGCGGGAGCGTTCGCTTTTAATCACAATTATTACGAGCGGGAGAGAGAAGCCGGGCGGCGTCGCAAGTTAACTTCACTAACCGCTTCGAATCGTTTAGGTGTTTAAGTTAAATTTTTTACCGCTTGTATAGCTAAACTAAGGACGAGGATTGTACTGCCTTATTCTGTAAATAATTGTTTTTCGTTTTGTATACAGCTATTTATTAAAGAATGTTAAAGGAAATTGATGAAAGTCATTTTTCATTGTTCGATGGTCGGTCATCAATTATATTATACCTACGTACTACCGCGCGTTTACGGTTCGGAAATATATTGTATTAATAAAACGTAACGAAATAATATTGAATTTCACATTTGACCCATGTTTCATTCGTCCTTTTGTTGTTTCTGGACTCTTCAACGGTAAGTTATTTCTTTACGTAACTGTTTTCAAATATATCGACGTGTTTTAGATTTTAATTAAAACACTAGTTGCTTTTATTATATTTTATTATAGCTGTTGAAAATAACTAATTATTAAAATAATTAATTTTGTTTATTTATTCATTTAGTATTTTATTATGATAAACTCATGAAATTGCATCTATGTAGCATATTTGTTTAGGGCTCGATGTGGTTGGTAACGAGTGCGCATCACAATGTATTTTGTGATCAAATTTATTTATTTATAAATTATTATAAGTAACAACATGGTTAAAATATACAAGAAAATATGACTTCACAAATTTTACATACGTTCATTTTACATTCACATCAATTATATTAGAACATAAAAATATCAACTAAATAGAAACTTAAACCTAATTAAGAGCGTGATTTACAAAAATACGGTAAGTAGAAAGATTGTTGTTATGAACATTTGTCATTATGTTATAATAAAGTTGTAAGACGCGAAATAGCCCATTGGCAGCATTCAAGTTTGCAGCCATCAAAGCGATGTCATAGGTTACGTATGGAAGACTCTTTAAAAGTGTATAGTGACATCAACTGGGATTCCTAATGAAAGGAAAATCTAGATATTCAGAGGAAGGTCGTAGAGCTATGAGTATTAAATCTATTTGTATAAACCCATGCGTTTTGGATAAAGATTTACTGTACTTTTAACGTTTGTAATGACGCGTTGAAGAGGACTTTGCAATAGTGTTTAAATACTATTGCTATAGTTTCAGACTAACTTTGTCTGGCAATTGTAGGTTGGGAACGGGTAGTTCAACAAAATTAACATTTTGTACTTCAAAGTTGATGTGGCCGAGGTTTTACTATTGTCATGAATATTAATACGAACGATATGGTAAGTTCAGTTGTATGTTCTTGACACTAGCAGCTCGAGTATTACTGTCTTTTTAAATGAGACTATAAGAGATTTAAAAATCATTAAAAGGTTTACTGACACCAATCACCATGTGTCTAAAGTTGCAAGGCTGATGGTTCTGAAGACCAATACAATGTTCAAGTCAACAGTTGTTTTTTTAAATTAAAAGTAATCTGCATCTGCATCATTCATACAATACCAGGCATATACTAACAGGACCCTCAAGATGATGTCGCTTGGAATCGTTTGAATGGGACACGAAAAAGGTATGAGTCCTTCTAGAGCATTAATGCCATCAGCCCCAGTTCCTCATCTTAAACGTTCTTCCATGTTTACTGCACCTATCTGTAAAGTTCCTTTTTGAGCAACAATCTGGCTAGGTTTGGTCGTTACATGCCTGTAAAAGTTGAGAACTAATTTGTCGTACCCTACCTCATTTTTTTGAAAACAAATTAAAAATTTTCAGGACCATCCAAGCGAAAACAAGTTTAAACAATGTACAAACAGCCTAATCAAAAAGTCAGATATAGAAGACATTCAGATTACTTCCATTGCCTTTTACATAAAGATACATTAAATATCAAAATTATCGGAAATCGTAGTTTTGGTGTGATATAAACCCGTAGTATCCTCTCACACAACCTAACTATGCGTTTAATAAAGCGCTATATCTAACTACAGTAGGGGACACTTCAACTATCGCCTGAGCAGCAAGCTAGTGTTTCGCTTAGATAATCTAAGAGCATTTGTATAGTTTCAGACGTAAGATTTGTCTCCGGATTTATGTAGGTACTGTGCTGTTTCCCATGTATGGAAAAATACCCAATGATAAATATTTATTGTAAATAATTATTGTTAACGGCAGTGAGAGAATACCATAACTCGATTTTGCGAACTATGACGGAATTCCATTCCGGGTCTTTTATTTGGATTTAACGATTTTAGAATTTTACGTGTTTCCGTGTCTTGTACTTCTATATTGTTAAGGCAACATAGGCTGGCAGGCTGATTCATAAGAAAAGTTAAGATTAGGCTTAGACAATGTATTCGACTCATATAAAGTAGAAAAATAATCAGCTAACATATATACAATTTCATTATATATATACAACTTCACGAACATTTTGGCAGTATTATAATTATAGGCTCTGAAATAGTCGACTTTAGGATTTTAGCGCCAAAAACTTGTACAGACGTGATTGTTTCCATTGAATTGTCACATGTACTTAACACATCAACAGAAAAAAATGCAGTTTCAACAGAAATGGATCTTTTCTTAAATATAACAATATATCACGTCATGATAACCCGTATACATGGTGGCAAGCAAGGAAATTTGAATTTCCGTGTTTGATTAAGATTGCAGCAAAATATTTGTCGGCCCCAGGAAGTAGTGTTTATTCAGAGCGCCTTTTCTCTGAAGCTGGCATGGTCTACGAGATAAAAAAATCAGTTGTCTGTAAAGTCGGTTTGACTGACGATAGTTGAACTCACGACAACGTCATAAGAAAATAGTGATTGACGGTTGCATTTTTCAAAAGAAAATTTTAATTTTATTTGTTTGAAGTACATATTTTGTATGGATATAGAGAAAGAGGTAAATGGAAATTACAACTGAATTTATCGATTACAATTTAATCGATATAATATATATAATATACAGTAAAGATGTCGAACGCTGCCGAACGCGGAGGCCGATTGTGGCTCTCTGTCGCTCGTTCCGCGCTCTCGCTTGCACTTCAAGCCTTAAATGGAACGCCTCAGAGCGAGGTAACGCCGCATGCGTCATGTTTTTTCGTGCGTGCAGCCGGCTCCATCGAATTATAAGACGTTGTCACGTCAAAAGAAGTAAACTACTTCATAATAAAGCAGAAAAGTTAGTCTTTCTGCACTATAACCTTACCTTTCTAAATTTTGATTATGAAAATAATTCAGATGCATAGAAAAAATCTTAACTTGTTTAATACAGAAAATGATTAAATTATGTACCAATGACTACTTAAATGATTATAACAGAAATGAAAATATGAATATATACGTAGATAATCAATCGATTATAATTTTTCATTTTACCAATAATTGGTAAATATTATTTCTCTATGACAAAATATATTATTTTAGTATTCGGTATTCGGCGAATATAATAAAAGCAGCCGAATAGGCAGAATACCGAATAGTAACCGAATATTCGTTGCAAGTCTATAATATATATTAAAACATATAGTTGCAAGAATAGACTCCAAAATTGATAATAAAGATCCAGCTTTACCATTTAAGTGGTAACGTAAGTAGTAAGTAAACTAAATAAAGATTATTTATTATGACTACTTAACAGCATATGTGGCTCAGAGAGTGTTATATGCAATAAAGTATTTTGAGAGACTGGTTTCTGTCAGCTGTCGAATGTAGTAGTTTTCCTGTGTCTTACTGGTCTGTGGCAGAATCGTGCGGGTCAGTGTTGTATATTTATTTTTGTTAGTGTGGAACTAGGCTACCGAAATAGCGATACTATACGTTAAATTATGCGTCTTGTCGACCCCCGATTTATAAAACATTAAAAAATTATCATACCATAAGTGTTGATTTAACCTGATTAAGCAGGTAATTTTGTAAAATAGAAAAGAGTGTTTTTGTTACTAAAATATGTGAAGAATCTCTGCATCATATAATAAAGTACTTTGCTGTATTTTATTTGTCGAAATATTGTTACCCATTCCACTTAGTACGATTAAAGCAACAAGCGAAACACATAATATCTCAAGAGATTATTTAATACCGAATAGGTTTTACCATAAATGGAAAACGCATACGTAGACTCTTAGACAAAATATAACTTGTATAAATAATAATAATTATTAAATTTTTCATTTTTTGCCTTTTATCTGCTTCTTTTCTAAAACGTTCAAAAGGTTCAGGACATTATATAACTATCAAGCAAACTATTTCACCATCAATGGAAAAAAAAAAAATTTAAGATGCAGTTGCCCCCAAAAGGAGTTTCGTGTGGAGAAGAATGGGCAAGAAACTCCACATTATCTATTTTGACATTTACACTTACAGTTTTTAATATCCATAAATTAAATTGTGACCTGTGTGTGTGTATGCTGTTTGTATAACCATAAACACTGACGAAATTCACAACCTTAACAAACAATACGTTTTATCCACAAATTCCTCGGATACTAGGCATATCGATACATATTTACACCAATATTTGGATTATAACATAATAAATATTAATTTATAAATAATTGTGGTCGTTAAATGTATTCAATACACAAGATACATGTTTTTTACCTTATACAGAAAAACGGTAATATCTAGCGCTTTTATAGCGCACTTTCATAATCGGGAGATGATCGGGCGTTGGCAACACTGCTCAACAGTTCGGTTGAACACGCCGATAAGAGCGTTTGTGTATTCTGTTGTGCTGCACGAGCGATAACCGCGCACGCGCTTTCGCGATCTCAGTGATCCAGAATAGTTTGGAAATATAAATTCATGTTACGAAATCGCAAAACAACGAAAGTGACAGTTTGAGACATTTCTGATTTCGGGGTGTTTAAAGATAGTAATACAGTTTGATTTATTATGACCGCGTAGCAAAGAAAATTTCAATGTCCTAACAACCTGACAACTCTTAGTGTAAAAGCAGTTACGGTGCAAGTTTGAGTGTAGAAAAGTGTTGTAATGGGGCAGGGTGGCTGTACGAGGTAGGACACGTGAAGATGAGCGCGGTGTGTGCGCTGGACGCAGGCGGGCGGTTATCGCTGCAGCAGATCCTGCAGGCGTTCAATTCCAACGTCAGCGAGGAACATGCATGGGCACTGTGCCATCAGGCGGCGCGCTGCTTCCAGCGGTGTTTGTCCTCCGGCACCTCGCCACCGCCCGTCTGCTTTCTGCCAACGCGACCCTCGCATCTGCTGCTACATGCCGATGGCTCCGTACACCCCGACACGCTGCTCGACCCCACAGGTAGGCAAAGAATGCTCGATGTCCTCTGGTTGAACGATCTTTCACTTACGAACATAGTAATTAAGTAATTATTGCAAACAATTCTATCAAATTTTACGTTATCTGTCACGTTGATGCGAAATGGTCAACACTTTGTTATCACAGAACGTTTAACAAAACAAATAGGTACCTACAGATTACTCGGAAATCATAACTTATTTTTTTGCTTAATTTTTGTAATGATAAATGTATTTGTTGTTGTTTTCTACCTCAGCAGGTAATAATATTTAACGTAGAGTTATTGAAGTAAAAATGCAATACCTTTGCGTTTATTATTGTTATATTATTACTTATGTTATGGCCGGTATTCAATTAAATAGTTGTATTTGGTGTAAACGGTATACATTATATAATAGTACAAATGTGATGTTAATTATTTCTGATATTCAAGTATTCATTTGCCATTTTTTTTATATATTGTACTCAATTATTATTAAATGTTAAGTTACCTTAGCAATATTTATTAAATATTTAATGTTGGATAGTTCTTTTATCGAGTAGGCAATATTATCACACAACGACCAATAATAACAGAATAACAGCAGAACATGATTATGACTATGAATTATGTTAAAAACGGGAGATATCGTGCCCTGCGTAAACTTCTCCTGCGTAAAAGTCCGCGACATGTCATGTATTAATTCTAAAATAAATATGCAATGTTTCAAGGTTTTAAAAAGCTTTTAATAATCTATATATATACATAAATATTTACTAATTATAACAAGTTTGAATTTTCGCACAAAGTTGCCATTGACAAAATTTGATTTTAATGAATGTTTAGTTTTAGGTGATGTCATTATATTAAACTAACTTCGCAAATTAACCGTATGTTAGGTATCTTTTTAGTTAAAGCCCGACCTTGGATATAAATCTACAGCGTTTATGATTTTTGTTACAATAAATAATTTGATTTATTTTACGAAACGAAACGAAATTATTACATCTTCACTGTCTCTATCACTTTTGTTGTGATAGCGGATCCATTAGGGCGGGTCACGGTCAACATCGATTCTAAGCTCCCTCCTCACTTCCCCGACCTCCGGTGACCTCAAAGTGCCCCTTCAGACACCAAGATTTCGCGAGCATTGCTGCAAGTCATAACAGATACACTTCGGTGGTTAATACTTGTCTTTACCGGGAACCGTACTTCATGTATCTTTTTATAGAACATGTGCTAAAAAGGTAGGTGGCTCATCTGATGTTAAGTGTAACCGACGCCCACACACTCAGACTGCCAGAAGGCTCGAAAGTGCGTTGCTGACCTTTTAAGAATTGGTACGCTCTTTCTTTAAGGGAATTTCCTTAAGTCGAATAAGTTCGGAAATACTTCGGTGGGCAGATAGTGGTGGTGTTCCTCAAAGCGTCCTTAAAAACGCTTAGTTCAGGAACGACGGACTAGGCAGAATACGAAATTCCATCCGTATTCTGCCTCGAAGACTCTAAGATGATGATGATCTCTATGATGATGAAGTCAGTTGCGCCGGTATCGATCCGAACAGTTTCGGATGCGGTAGAACATGCAGAGAGACCCCACATCTACGAAACGCCAAGGGGTCAAGCCGCTCAGAAAGTGACTTTATATTCTCTTTTCACACGTTTTGGTATTTTTACCAGGCGCCCGAATAAAGCCGGACATATTTAGGATTTTGATTAGGATTTCGGCCAAAATAATCCGGCTGTAAAGAACGCCACGGACTACAGTTGCAGAATTTAACTGCATTTTGAAACTGAGCTTTCAAATCTGTTTTCCGACAACCAAAAGGTATTTAAGTAATTTTATTGCTTTAAGAGAAGAAGTTTTGATTTGTTTAGATTGTTTATTTTAATGTTTTGCTTTAAAAAGTAGGTAAGTAAGTATTTTAACTAATTAGAATTTAAATAAGGTTGATAAATGTTTATCTAGAATTTAAAGTTGACTGATTAATAATTAAGTACTTAGACTGACTTATTTCATTTATATTTCATTAGAATTTCACAAGATTTACGGTTATAATAAAAAAAGCTTGGTTTTAGTTACAATTTCTTTGTCGTACCTATTAATACTGATACTCAAAATCCTGAATAAGGTAGAGTATTCGCCCTTTTTACATAAACGTCGAGAGAACTTTGGCGTTGGCGACCTGGCAACCCTATGCACTGGTTGTAATAGATGACAAACTTTATTATTAATACCAAAACCTTGTCTATTATTTGTACCTATTCGTGTGCATTTTAAATTGCCTAATAATACGCCGTTGGTAATAAACAAGAATATGTTATGTTAGATAATGACAGTGATTTTCTTCAATCTGTGTTTTAAGGTGATCGTCATATCTTTTCGGGACTGTTATCGCAGTATTTCAATGCGCTATCAGCCACAGCCGACCTTTGAGTGAGCTCTCGCTCCCGCGTGTATCAGATGAATGCTCATCCTTGATTAAGACTATTTGCCTATCGGTAAATAGAGTTACCGATATTGTACTTATGTGCGAGGCTTGATTTGAAATTTTTAGACTGCTTTTATCTTATCAATACGATGTGACGCAATTTAATTAAGTGTGAGATATTATGAAAATAATAGGTATATGTGTAGGTAAGTATCTAATAATAAAGGATTATCTTATCAGCAGTGTGAAGGCAACGGTCGCCGAGCATTGAGAACTGATATACATACATATATATACGTCGTAAAGAATACAAATTACATAGGAGACGTCACAAATAAACCTTCAAGGAGTATATAACATCTCGATTCTTTTAGATATAACATATTATAGTTTTACATTCGTAGTTAATGTATTATTCCAAATAACGTGGGTTGCGAATTGCGATATTGAACACGTCATCGATATCAGTTACGGAATACATTGCATAAATACATAACTTCGCATTAATTGTCACCTGAAGGTTGGCTGCTGTTACATGCTACGTTTGTACGTCTGTTGCAATTCATCTACCGACAATGTATTATTTATACATTTTACATATGGGTAAATCTTAATAAACTTATGTTACCCACATTCCATGCTAGATATTCTCTAAAAAGACATTGTTTATAGGTACCCCACACAATCCTCTCTATTAGGACCGTCAGGGGTCTCTCTGGACATTCTACCTAAGCTACGGTGCGGCCGACCAAGGTGCCGACCAATTACCGAGTGCTCTCTATGATCTCCATAGAAAATTCACCGCACTGCCATTTGAGAGTTGACTATTCGCTCAGGAGTCTCGGCCTTCTAACAAAACCCCTCTATACTCGCTCTATCTTTGTTGGCATGAAAGTATAATTAATAATCAAATGCTACGTCCCTGCGAGACCGACCGTTTGATTTTTTTTACGAGTTTATTCTCGTTTCGTGATTACTAAACGGGATTTCTAATTGATTTGTAAAAATTATATCATCTAACATTCAATCACCACTTTACATGTTAGAGATTTTTGGAAGCACGGGTATTATATATTTTATTGGATTGCAAAGGATTTCGATTTTACATAATAGTTTTAAAGCTGTAACTTTGCTCCTAATTCATGATATATCTCCAATTTAACAATACATCGATCATGGTAATCAGTGATAAGGTGTGATGCGCCTTAGCGTTTTATTGGGGTTTTTCCACTAAAAACTTGCTGTTTTCAGCAAATTGAATCAAATAAAATGAAAATAAACTTTCGATTCATAACTTGAATTAGGCTTTATTTTCTGGGTCACATTCTTAAATAGGTAAATAATTGTAGGTATTTTTGTTTTCGGTTAGGGCGAGTAGGCCTTGTCGTACGTACCTGGACCAAATCCAGGACGTACTAGAGCAGAGACAAGTCAAAAGTGATAGTCCCATAACCGGCGAGCATGCATGTCATGATAGTGGATGAGTGTGGTATATCAGGACAGTATCAAGTAGATATCCATGGTCTCTGTCTATCGCTTCGGGATAAAGGCGTGATTGATAGATACTTATGACATATCGAATATAATTATTGCATAGGTTTATATCATAGGCAATTTCATTCAAAATTAAATACTTGGGTGGTATTACGTATTTATTTGGATAAGAATTTATAACGGTTAAAAAACGTCAACCTTAAAGATTGGCACATAAGTCTGTCGCGAATTGTTTTAAAGAGGAACAGTTTCGTTCCATTATGATATTTGTGTAGTTTAAACCGTTACTCGTTTATTCCACATTTATTATTAATGATTATTATCCAGTAGATTTGTTTTAAATTTGAAGCAGTGAAGCCTGAGACAAGCTTTATATTGAATATTACTAGTTACGGTTTTGATTTGGTCTACTTTATTACTTCATTCGGTGTTTTCTTATATCTACTAAATGTAAAATTAGAAGCATTAATATTATGTATTTCTTTACTGACAAGTCATAAGTGTACAATGTGTTACCCATAAGATAAAATTATTGTTGAATATATTTATTTCAATATTATATTAATCTTTATCATATAGTATATATACACGAGAAAAACACGCAATCGGACTCACACTTTTCACAGCCGTATTATGCGTAATCCGCATAATGTCCATACAGCTAGTAGAACATTAATAATGTCGCAGTAGAATGTTATTGTCTATCTGTTATGTGAGTCTTACACGGCGTCTGCTACACGTGGGGAGTAGTGCTTGTGGTGAATAAAAATGTCGTTGAATCGTGCCCTTAATTATTTACGAGCAACTAAATGCTGTTACGCAACAGTTACGCATCCGTCGCGGCCATCGCTCTTGCAATGTCAATGTCAGTCTTGCTGCCGCAATGTGCATCGATATTACATGTGACCAACTTTTGCTCACAATACCCAAATCTAAAAGATATTCTATTGTTTTACGTTTACAGTACGTACAGTTTCATCCCATGAGTACACTGAAATATCACTCTTTTAGCGAATAAATGACGCATCATAACCACAAATCGCGTGGGCTGGCTTCGCCTAGGCAGTCAAGTCCACCGACGAACATTGGGTCTGTCAGCCTTAATATAAACAAACAACCTTAATATAAAATGAATGTTATAAATAGCGCTAACTGTGTGTGAACTC